ATTGTGATTCTTTTCCTTCTAAGATGTGCTTCATGGCCCAGGCTGTCCTGGCTTCTCCTGTGGCCTGGATCCACTCAATCACTGTAATCAGTGTTTGTCTGGAGTTTAGTATCCAGTCATGATATTCTTTGGACAGACCTTTCCCAAAGAAGATTCTGGCTTCACAAGATTCTTCTTTCAACTGAGCCTTATTGACCAGGCCCATGAACTCTGCAATATACACTTCTAGCTCTCTTTTCTCCTGTTTGATGTCTGACAAATGAAGTGTGGCAAGTGCAGTTTGATCTCCAGATTTGAAAGTGGCTTTCAGTCATTTGACAAAATGCTTAAAGTCATCAAGATAGCAGATCATTCCATCTGACAACTTGTGCTCATTCTGGTAATTTTCCATGAAAGACACTGCTGCTCCCTTTGTCATATATGAAAGAGATCTTTAGAGCTGCTGTGTTGTAGAAATGTTGGTTCAAGGCTAAGTAGCCTTCCACTTGGGTGAGCCAAGTCTGGAGCCCATTGTGGCTTCCATCAAATTCTCCAGGATGCCCAACATTAAATTCCCAGCTGCCATTGGGTGGCTGATGATAATGGTCATAATCCTCATCATCTTCAACTTGGGCTTTCCCCTTACTGCCTCCACCAATGGGAGGCTCTGGGGGTATGGCCTTTCTGAAGTTCCTGGTGTACCATTCTCATAGAGCTATGTCAGTAGGTGTACCTCTAGGAAACAGGTCATTGGCAATGATGGACTGGTGGAACTGCTCCTCCAATTGTGCTGAAATTTCCTCTATCCTCTGCTCCACCTCTGCCTTAGAGTATTGTCAAGGGGGCATTTCCAGAGCAGACTCTCTGTGACCTTGTGTCATGGACATACTTCCCACTGCTTCCTGTTCTTCCTTGAGGACTGATCCAAAAGAAGTCTTGGACTTCTGATCTTCTTCTTCTTCTGAACTAAGCATGACCTTGGTTTCTTGGAACCAAGAGAGATAAGATAAACATGGGTTGGTGGCAGTGACCAAAGGTCTGCATCAACCAAAGGGGGGCAAAGGGGGATTAACTCCCAAGCCTTTACTTGTAGGTGGTCTAGGGGGAATGGGGGGTCTCTGCTTCTGGGGGTTAGACACTTTAACAGATAGTGACAACAAAGGCTGAGGGAGGAATTATATTCTGAAGAAAACATGTCAGCTAAGATCTAGGGAGGCAATCTATTAAAGCCTAATGGCTGCCTGTAGATCAGTGGATTTGATTGAGATAGGAGGGATGCTCTTCCATGTTTGCTTGCATGATGGAAAAGTGAAGGTGAGTTAGTCTTTTATGTGAAGGGAGACAACAAGCCTTGTGAAGACCACAAGAGTTTTTCGATTTTGTTATGCCTGAGCCAAGTGACTTTGTCAAATGGACTAGTCATGAGTGATGTGAGGGGGAGTCTACAGGCCAAACTTATTTTTACCCCTATGGCTCAGTTATTGATGAAGTCTGACAAAGGTTTCTTCTGCTGGTGAGTTCTTCTGAGATTGTGATGGGAAGGAACAAGGATGAAATCAAAGGAATAAGCTGAGTTGCAAGCTATTGAAAAACTGAAGATACATGGTATGGTATGGCTGTATAAATACCTCAGGACAAGAGTACCATACTGGTCATGCCATCTAGGCAGTAAGTATCTGCAGCAGTAAACAATGAAATAGAAACAAGTCATATGGTGTCAAAGATGGGGGTAGACAAGGAAACAAGGGCTATACCAGCTGTGCCATCAATGCACAATGAGGAGCCTGAAACCAGAGCAAGAAGTAAATGATCAGGGCAATAAATATGAGTCAGAGACAAAGTATGAAATTGACTGTTCATCAAAGATGGAGGTGAAACACCAGACCTCCTACAGGTGCACAGCATCAGAGGGCATTGGAAATACCATGACTGCCAGAGATCTGAGGCATCCTTTGAGCATAGACACCCCTAACATGATGATGGTTACAAGAGACATGAGCAGGCACATGATGCATGTGACCATGATAAGCCAAAAAAGGAAGGACCCCTGATGTGGGCATAACACCTGGGTATGGCATGATGATTTGCTTGCTGTTAAGAAGTTTATCTATGGTTGGTAAAATAGGCTACAGTGGGATGCAAACAGGTGACTTGAGGGCATCTAGTCCAGAATCTCCAGCACCTATGTTAGTCTGTTGATATCTTTTCTCTTGTTGGGAGCTTTGAGAAGGTGTCTTGAGCAGTAACTTCACTAAGATTGGCATCACCACTTGAACATTGATAAAGAGCCCCACACATCTGGCACTCTAGCCAGTGCAAACCCTGACAAGTGAGGACTCAGTGAGGTACCCAATGCTGAGTACCAGTGCAAACCTCCACCATAATAACTGGTGTGTCTTCACAGATCTATGGTGCATCAGACAATATTGTGGATTAATGAGAAGGCTAATGCTTTGTGTGTTCAACAATCTGCCTCCTGAATTACACAATGCCAGCAGGCTGACAGCTCTCATCTCCAACAATGGCATTTGACATAGTTCAGATTTTGAAGTGAGGATAAGAGGTACCATGCTCAATCAGACAGCTCATAAATGGTTTCCACTGTGCATTGGGTGGGACTGGATGTGTTATTGGGGGAATGCATAAACATTGTTATAAGGAAGGTGATTCACTTAGTTACCAGCACTTTGGACAACCCACTCAGTCAGACAAGTTTTTTAAACACATGGACCTTCAACTGATATGGCACATATTTTGCATCACAATAATGCATAGAAGTTAACCATGAAAATTGATGCAGAAATGGTGGGGATAGAGGTTTGAGTGTGACAAGTTGATCATCACACCAATGCCATTGTGCTGAAGCAGAGATCAAATATGGATATGGAAACATTGTAGTGGTTCAGTGCCTCAACAGTGCCACTTGTTCTGATTCATCTCATGGAATGCATCATTCATTCACACTCAACAGTAGAAATATTCTTGCATTCTTCATGATACCATACACTTACAGTAGACTTCTAACTAATCAATTTATGTGATGCTAAGTTTGAACCCCCTGGTGGTAATTGAATGCAACATGTGTAATGAACATGTTACTTTCCTGTGATGTTTGTGACTGTCTGAAGTACTCACCAAGAGCTGTTGTAAATGATGCACAACTGTCCTCAAACATCTGGTTTTCCCCTTCCAAGTCATCAAGGTTTAGTGACTCTTCTCATTCTCATTTGTATGGTTGAGCATGAATAGCAGGGAGATACTTGATAATGGTTGGTGTTCAAGAGGTATGCTCACTTTAGTCCCCCAGATTAAGTTTACCATGTGCCTGCTAAGGTCAAAGTTGTGTGTGATGCCACACTTCAAACCATAGTGGAGTTTCCTCTATCACCTTTACTGCATATTGGTATCCCTACTATATCACTCCCATTACAGGCTTTCAAGCTGATGACACCAACCTATCTGACAACTCTCCATCACCTTGTCATTAGTGAGGTGGCATATCATGTCTGCAAGACAAGTTCAATGGCTGGCTGGGTGTCATGTCCATGACTCTCAGACTCAAGCCCAGTCTGGTCCAGACCCCTGTAGCCCCTGTCTCCAGTCAGGTCTGGTCCTGGTCTAACCTAGAAAACCCAACTCCAGCCTAAGTAACCCAATTCTGGCCCTAAGTAACCCAACTCCAGCCTAGATAACTCAAGTCTAGTGTTTTACCCCTATCTCCAGTCCACTCTGGCCTCTTGGCCTTGTGTTGCTCCACTCCAGTCCTCCCAGGTCCATGTCTGGGCCACCTGGACATAACTCTGGTCTGTTTCCCTATGTTTGCACTATACTTAGTCTAGTCCCTTTTGCTGATCTTTGCTTACTGTACAAAACCTATGTCTGACTCTGGTTATGCCAGTCACCCAGACTTTGACTATTAGTCTTGGCACAGCCTCCATGGCTGCCCACACCTTGCTAATCAGCTTCATAATAGCTTACCAACAAGTCTGGCTTCATGTTCATTACTCCAGACTGGCCTCATGTATTTAACCCCTGTACATACTTTGTAGCACTCCAGTCAGAATATCATCTAAGTATTACCCTCAACTCCATACTACATTCCAAGTCTACTCAATAGCTAAGGTCAAGCCTTAAGCTATTCCCAGCCCCTGTCCCAGACCTCTCCCCAGCTTGCATAAGGGTACAGCACATGAGCTGAGACCAAGGGAGGTAGACCCAACCCTGGACTGGCTTCCCCTATGCATACTCTGAGACTGGTCAGTTTCCCACACTACCAGCCTTGTGCCCATGCTCCTGGCCTTGAGTCCAGACCTCCAGCCTTAACTCTAGTCTAACCAGACTTGGCCCCTGTCTCCCAGCCTTGACTCCAGTCACCTGGACTTAGCCCATGTCACCCAGTCTTGAAACCCAGTCACCCAAGGGTAAACCCATACTTCACACTGGGACACTGCATGGAGATGAGGTTGCTGAAGCAATGATTGAGTCATGCATGGCAAGGAAGTTGTCAATCTTTTCTTTAAAATTCCAGCCAGCAGCTGTCCTAGGAATGTCAGAGCTGTCTGGCATAAAAACCCTTCCCCCAATCAGGGAGCGTTTCCCAGCTTGGATGTATTCATGACACAGCATGCACTCTGCAGTATGGTGGCCATCAGTCCCTCCACAGAAGAAATGCCACAGGTTGAAAGAATGGTGGAATTGACTTCCTTGACCTTGTTGAGGGAGAGATGCAGAGGCAGGTTGTTGGGTGACTTGAATGTACTCCCATTTCAAGATAGTAGGGACAGTCAACAAGGAAGGGCATCAGGAAATTAACAAAGTACTATCTGTACTTATTTAGCACCAATTGTCAAATAAGCATGGATAGCACTATGACTTATTTAGGTAGATCCTTTGCCCATCTGGGCTTTTTTGCCTTTTCACTTAATGACTTTTTTGACTTATTCATATTATTCTACTATCCATGCTATCCACAGCACATTGTTCTTGTTATACATACCTACCTTTTTTGTTATTTTAATCAGTCATGCACTTATCAGGTTAGAAACATGATAGGTATTGAGAGTGGAGGAGTACCAAACATTAAACAAATGTAGAAATTGTAGTTGTGAGTTGGGGCTGACAGAAGGTGATAGCAAAGTGGCTACAAACATGAATTGATGCAGATTAGAGAGTAGTGATAATGACTGGTTTGAAGGAGGGGGAAGAAGGGCACATGTGGAAAAAAAAAATACTGTGGATGTGTGACAAGGATTCTGTCAAACTAAGTCAGTAAATCATGTAGAAACAAGGTATTTGTCCTACAGACATTCATGTGCTGATCTATGGACACACCAAGGTCTTCTGCCACTGAATCAACTTGGAGACTACCATCATCCAACAAGGAATCCATGGCTGGTGAGACAAGGGCATTTACCATGGAAATGATTTCTGTCAGTGCCAAATGATCACATTTAGCAACTGACATATAATAGTGCCTGGTACACATTCCCCAGTTTTGCTCCAAGAATGCCAGGGCAGCCAATGATTCCTTCCCAGACATCCTGTTGAGTTTGAGGGGAGTCTTCACAGTGGCCTTGCCCCAGGTACTGATCTGGTTGTTGATGTCCATGTCACCCCTTTGGAATAGCTGAATGGCACACTTGAGCTAAAAACCTTTTGTTACTATGTGATCTGATGGGCAAAATATACTACTCACTACAGCACAAGAAAGGGCAAGGGCCCCTTGGACACCAAATGCTTTCAAAGTATCCATTCTGAGTGCTGGGATATCAGGGCATCCAACACAGGATTGCAAATGAGTGTGGGCAAGGAGCTGCAGTATGAACTGTGAGTGGAAAGTGTTTGTGGGATTCTGATGGTCAAGGTCTTGACACAAGAATGAGAACCTCTCCAGGAGGTCATTGCATGTCTCCTGAATTGCAGGCAAGTCCATAGACTTGGCATCTATATTGTTAATAGGGCCTGCCACAAGGAAATGAGCTATGATTGTGATAGCAGTGGAGCCAAAGTTGCTGCACCACACCATAAGCAGACAAGTTGCCTGTCCAAGAAAACATAGGTTAGACCTTTGATTAACTATCAAGGAATTATTATTAGTACAAGGGAGAAAATAGGCATTCCAGGACATATCACACTGAGGTCCAGGAAATCTGTGCTGCTTGGTCCGTTTTCTATCTGCTTGCAGTGCAGCAGGAAAATCTAGGTTGATGTAATGTATGTGCCCAGTGCCACTGGTTCTGCTTGATGAGACTTGACTGGGCATTCCAGGCCCCACTGAGGACAATGGTCTCACAGTATTTGCTCCTTGTTCACTAAAGTTGTTACTAGTCTTTGCTTTCTTCACCAGCTGGTCAATTACAATATTACTCTGTCACTCCACATAGTTAGCAGGGCACTTGAGCAGGTAGGAGGACATACCATTGCAGTCACATGGCAGTGCTCAGGGGCCTTTGGTGTGTGTAGATGAATATTTCTATCATGGTGGCCATCATCATCCACTTCATCAACCTCAGATGTCACAACATATTCAGAGCTATGGTCAGTATGTTTGCACTTAGAACTGGCCAGGGCCATGTTGGAAATGGGCCTGTTGAAATCATTGTCACTCTCTTCAAGTTCTAAGTTAAAATGGGCATTGGCCATGTGTGCAACCAGCTAGAAAACATAGGAATTAAGGCTGAATGATATTCTTAATCAGTTGATCAATAATGTACCTTTGTCTTGTGATAGCCTGTGAACCTGACAGGTACAGCTCCCTGTTGATCTTTGTCATCATCTCCACTCTCATCATGAGTCAGCAAACCACTTGGGATTATCAAGGGAGTTCTGCTGTAGACTGGAATTGTATCAGATGCTGCTGAGCTGACACTGGTAGCATTAGTGGTTAAGGAAGGGACAGTCAAAGATGGTGGGTGGTGTGGGGAGCAGGAATCTGCTACCTAGTATGGGGTTGTGGGCTCCAGCCTAGAGATAGGCAATCTGAAGGGGTGAATTTGACCCAAGGGGAGTTGCTCTAGCTTATGCCTGTGACTCAGTGCTAGACAGGGGAAACAGTAGGGGTCATGTTGATGTCATTACTCTGCTTGCTCTCTCTGTCTCTAACTTGGGGGCTTCAAAGTTGTTATTCTTCCTGTCAACAAGGACAGGTATATGTGTAGCTACATGGGGAGTATGTAACTATGAACTAAGTGACATCAAAAGTCAAAAGAGCGACAGGAAATGATGGAAATTAACTGAGATTGATGTAATGATGGCCATGAGGCCAGTATAGTAGCAGCAATCAAAAGAGTGACTAAATTAAAGAAAGCACAAGGAAGTGCAAGTGGTCTGAAGGGAAGTGAACAAGAGTACAGTGAGAGCAACAGACACACACTTACATAACCAATAGTGCAGACCTGAAGAGTGCAAGTGAGTGAGTGCAGGTGCCCTGAAAGTGGTTGCAAATATTGGAACCTTGTTGCATTGGCCAAGGGGAGTGTCTAGAGGTCATGCGACAATGGGGGAAGTGGTGTGACTGAACAGGGTGGAGTACTAGGCAACCTGGAGCCCAGAGTGTGTCAAAGATGCTTGAGAGGGGTCACATTTGCATCACTTTTGTTGCAAACCCTATAGCTGCTTAGTAGACCTCCAATTGACACTATACATACACTCCTAGTGTAGGGAGATCCCTCTCCCCACAGCAGGGTGTCAAATTGGAGTGAGAGTTGGAAGGAACAGAGTTTTGAGGACTATTGTTGCCAGAACTGGGGCCAACATCATTAGCCCACTTGTTGACATGACCAAGAAGGAGAGCTCTCCTGTTTGTGGTGCTGATATTCCATAGCAAATTTAGCCAGTGTAAAGTTGATTCAGTTAGAAGTAGCATCATAGAAATAATGCAACACACTGTTGACAGTGAGCATTTCCCTCTTGGACTTATGCATGGGTTGACTCCCCAACACCAATGTAGTCAGCCAAATTAGCAACCACATATTGTCTTTTCACTGCATGGCTGCTGGGAACCACCCTTGGATGTGGCTTATCTCTCACATTCAAATCCAAAAGATCTGTGACAACCCAAGGCATGCTGAGTGCATGGTGAGTATCAACTTCCATATCATCCTGATCCATTTATCCATTAGCTCAGAGTTCCCAAAGGTGGAATAGAACATGCCCTCACCATTAACATGAGGAGCAATGGGTATATTAGTGAGCTTCTTTTGAATAGCTCCCCTTGTCAGCTTCACTGGCTTTGTTTTCTCAACAGTGTCTTCCATACTTTGGCTGACCTCCATTGTGGCCTCCATCTCATGGATCTGGGTGCCACCCTGCTGAATGGCAACATCCTGAGCATCTTTGATTGCCTTTGCATGCAAGTGGTCTGCTTGCTTCTTGGCTGGGGTGGGTCATTTAACCTGCATGTCAAGCACTATCTGTCCCAGGTGTAGGTTAGCCTTCTCCCTTTGTGGACAATGGCTCTGGGGATTGTTGGCTGACATTGTCCCATCATGCAAGGTGGAAAATGGAGGCAACAGTGGTAAGTTTGAACTTGTCTATTTTATGGTAATATTTCCCACAAACAAATGACCTGATTTCTTGGACTAAGGCCTATTTACCCTGATGACTTACATATCAACCATGCAGCACTCAACATGATTTTTTTTTCAATACATACACTGACAATGCCACCAGCCAGGGATGACTGTACTTGCCAAAGACCTAATGCAGAGGACTTTCAAAACTCTCTGACACCCTTGTGATGAACCTGGGTGCAACTGTTGGTTCAAAAACCTTTCAGGCCTCACTCAACACAAGCACATGATCCATCCATGCTTCCATCTTTTCAACCAAGACTGTGCAGGGTCACCTGGCAATTTAGGACAAGAGGATGACACACTGCCTTCGGTAAATTGCCATGCTGCAGGTGTGGATGATGGCCATCAAGAACAAGACCCACTAGACCAGGAATGTGAGCAAGTGAGGGCAGAATTTGTTGGCCCTGGGAGGAAACTTTATTGCAATTATCACACTGGTCTCAATGGTGAGCTATCATACATATGCTGAGCTTAACTAACTTTTATTACAGCATGAAGATGTGATGCCAAAGGAAACTTTCTACCAGATGATGGCCCCCCACCACCATGCATGCAAAAATCACCAGACAACTGGACTCCATACTGCAATCAGTTGGAGTTCAAGCTCACCAATTTTCTCTTTACACATGCTGAAATGTCTTTTTCACTTCTGCATTTCCTAGTTACCCATATATATCCACCCTCTGGTTAGGGTTATGCTTGGTCATCTCAGACTTTTCCTTTTGCTTATGATATCATGTTTACATGATACTTAGTCAGGCCATGCCTTGCTGATACCACATGTTCACATTCATCCAATAGCATAGTTCTCTCTTTTGTTTACTTTCTTCTCAAATGTTCTCTTGTGGCAGTACATACAAACAGTAAGGCAGTATATAAGTCCCATCATTTGTCATAGCCAGTTTCTCTAATCTAGTTTGTTTTGAGCTTGGTCCTCAATCAACAGGTTCCACTCCCAATCTCTCTGGTTTGAAGTGATAGCTGAGAAGACCTTCATCTTTGATTGCTTCACTCAAACTAGATTATAACTTCTCCCCTATCCCTTCATACCTGGTGCCAAGGGTCAACAGCAGTATGATACTTGTAGTGGGCAGTTCCACCCATAGTTTCTTTTGCCTCTGTCAAGTGTGACCAAGAGCACCCAAGCAACAAAGCCAGTTGGGCAAGCATCTTAGGGAGTTTTACTTTATGTATATACACCATCCCAAGGTTGAGCTTGGTGTACAAAGGGCAATGCTTGATCAAGAAGGCCTGCAAGGTCCAGAGTGGCTGAGCCATATATAGTTGTAGTTCCCACACAGCAGTGGAGGTAGACCAGTAGTTGACATTCCTGCACCCACCATAGTTTGCATAGTGTGCCAGGCTGGTCCCTCTCTATTGCTAGGAGGTCAATCAGGTGCATGACAGTGAACAGACTACATGTTTAGTGGTATTGAACACCATCAGTGAGTAGTACACCTACATTGCCTTTACTTTACCACCATTCCTCCCATCAAGAAGGAAGAGGTTGAGCTTTGTCTCCCTCTTATATTCCTCCCTTACAAAAGGGAACTCTCTACCCCATGCCTCTTGCACTTGCTTTCCCTGCTCACCCTGCTTCCTCTTCCCCCTCTTGAGCTTTTCCATGAGGTAACTCTGGAACTCATTTATCCTTCTCCATCACCCTCTCCTGACCCAAATGAACTTGGGTTCATTTTCAATACTCCCTATAACCTTTGGAACCATTGTTCCATCTGCTGCCCCCTTCATTGCCCAGTTCCCCTAACTAGCAGAAATGGACCCCAATCATCAACCCCAGCCACCTCAAATTTATTATGCCATGGTACAGGCAATGGTGGCTGTGATGGCACAAGCCATGCAGCAATATGTACTGGCACCACTGCTGTCTCAACAAATGCATAACTTCAACCCCACAAAAAGGGGTGTTGCTGAGCCTGGAACCTTTGATGGGTCCATGGCTAAATATGAAGAGTGGGTCATCAAAATGAGGGCCTTCTGCAAAACAGCAGTCCACTGCTATACAAGTCAGGACTGTATGGCCTTCTGGACTCAGATGATGGGTCCAATTGCTGGAAATTATGCCCACACCAAGTTGGACTTCCACTTGGCAAATGGAAACTGGCCTTCAATGGATGAGGTGGTGACCAACCTCAATTCCAGATTCCAGCCCATGAACAATGGGGATTGGGCCCAGAAAAAGATGCAAAAAGTGAGGCAGGGATTGTCTCAAATGGATGCCTTTTTGGCAGAGTTCAACAGTTGGAAGTTGATGGTGAGTGCTTCCAACAATCTGGCTATCCTGTGCCTCACACAGACAATAAACCTGGAGGTGCTTTGGCTCATGCACCATCTTGGAAAAAGAAAAGACATGTACAAGGATTACATGACTGAGCTCCAGCTGGTGGCTGGTAATTTCAAAAACCACCAGTACATGACAGCCTCCTCTTTGAAGGTATGGCCTCAGAACCAACCTTGTGGCTGAGAAGCCACAGGAATGCAACCCAGGGCTGGTGCCCCCATGGACATAGGCACCATCCCACAACAAGGAAAGGGGAGGGGACCCCCTAAGGACAAGTCCCACATAACCTGCTTTGGATGTTGCCTGAAGGGCCATTACTGCAGCAAGTGCCCAAAGCAGGCACAACCACAAGGATGCCCTGTCAGGGCTGTAAATACTGACACTGGACCTGACCCCCACCTGAAAGCAATGGAGGGGATGAGCTTCAAGCAGATTGTTGCTCATATCAACCAGTTAAAAGAGTCAGAGCTGCAGTGAAATTGGGTCCTGCAGACTCTAGCATATGGACATTTGTTCCTGTTTCTTCTTCTTTTGCTTACAGTTTTCATTCTACTTACAGACTTAAAAATACAAAAGAAAATACAAAAATCAAAAATCAAAATACCAAAAATAGTGTACCAATAGTTTCTTTCAATCATTTCTCTTTTCTTGATGTTGAAGAACCACAGGAGTTATTTAATGGTTCAGAATCTGTTTCTCCTTCTTTTACTCTTACATCATCTGAAGTGGAGTCCCAAAAGGGCTCAGGGCCAGATGTAAAACCTTGCCTGCTTAATTCCACTTGCAACAAAAAGCAAAAAAATGTTTCTTTTGATCTCCCAGATCTGGAGGGTAGTAGTGCAAAGACCACTGTACTGTCTGAAACCCAACACTGCTGAACTTGAAAGATTCTGTGGAGGTCCCTTTGGTTTTGTGAATGAATGCCAGTCTGGCATTCAAGGTCAATGCACTGCTTGACAGTGGTGCTACTGGAGTATTTATAGATAGAAGTTTTGTTGAAAGGAACCAGATTCCAAAAATAGTGCCCCCTGGAGCAGTGGAAGTATTTAATGTTGATGGTTCACCTAATTCTGCTGGAAGGATTACACATCAGGCTCACCTTCAAGTCCAATACCTTGACCATCACAAGGAATTTCTTGCCAAGATAACCAATCTAGGAGGTAGTACCATGATCCTGGGACATACCTGGTTACATCAGCACAACCCACTGATAGATTGGAAAACCAGCAAGGTTAAGATGGGTAGATGTCCAGCTAGATGTTGGCAGCTAGCACCAAAATCCTTGTTTGTACATAAGGTGGAAAAACTCAAATGGGAAGCCTTGGACTCTTACATCTCCTGTTATGCCCATGTCAGGGGTCTTTCCTTTTTTGGTTCCTCATGGTCACATGCATCATGTGCCTTGTCATGTCCCTAATAACCATCATTGTGTTGGGAGTGTCCATGCTCAAGGGAACCCTCAGATCTCTGGCAGTCATAGTATTTCCAATACCCTCTGATGCTGCACACCTGTAGGTGATCCAGTGTTCCACCTTCATCTCTGATGAACAGTCAATTTCATGTTTCATCTCTGACTCATATTTATTGCTCTGATTGTTTACTCTTTGCTCTGGTGTCAGGCTCCTTGCTGCACATTGATTGTGCAGCCAGTATAGCCTTTGTTTCCTATGTTACCCCCATCATATGACACCATATGACTGTTTCTGACTCCTTTCTGTTTCATTGTTACTGGCAGATACTTACTGCCTAGATGGCATGACTGGTATGGTACTCTTGTCCTGAGGTATTTATACAGCTGTACCATACCTTGTATCCTCAGTTTTTCAATAGCTTGCAACTCAGCTAATTACTTCACTTTTGTCCTTGTTCCTTCCCCATTGCAATCTCAGAAGAACTTCGCCAGTGGAAGAAACCTCTGTCAGACCTTCATGATAACTGAGCCATAGGGGTTATGACAAGTTCAGCCCATAGACTCCCCCTTGCACCATTCATGACTAGTCCATTTGACGAAGTCATTTCGGCTCAGGCATAACATCTCTTGGATCCAAGATCTAAAGACAGACAAACCAAAAACAGATAAAACCCCTCGAGGAACTTGTTGTGAAGGCATATCATGAATATTTATTGGTCTTTTTGGAAAAGGAATCCAAGTGCATGCTGCTTAGGAAACCTTAGGACCACACTATAGAACTAAAGGAGTCATTTGTACCAAAGAAGGGAAGGTTGATCCCTCTCTCCCCTGACAAGCAGTGAGAAGTCAGTGACTTTGTCAATGGACAACTCAAGAAGGGTTATATCTGGCCTAGTAAATCACTGAAAACCTCTCCCATGTTCTTCATCCCTAAAAAGGATGGCACAAAGGATATGGTCCAGGACTATCATTATTTAAACAAGCATACTGTCAAAAACTCATATCCATTCCCTTTAATATCTCAGCTTGTTGACAAGTTGAAAGGTTGCAAACTCTTCATGAAGATGGATCTTTGCTGGGGTTACAACAATGTTAGGATCAAAGAAGGTGATGAGTGGAAAGCTGCTTTCATATGCCATCACAGTGCCTTTGAACCCCTGGTCATGTTCTTTGGGCTTTGTAACTCACCCACCATGTTCCAGAACATGATGAACAATATATTTGGTGATATGGAAGATGTGCTTGTTGTCTACATCAATGACCTAATGATATTTACAAAAACAGACAACCAGGAGGAACACAACAAGATCATGCTGGAGGTGCTTAGAAGGCTGAAGATAAATGATTTATTTGTCAAACCACAGAAGTGTATCTTCAGACAACAAGAGGTAGACTTTTTAGGAATTATCATTGGCATTAACAGAGTACATATGGACCCTGCCAAAATCTCTGCTGTGCAAGATTGGCCCATACCAATAAACATTTGCAGAGTTCACAGCTTCCTTGGCCTTGTGAACTTTTACTGAAGCTTCATTAAGGATTTCACACAGATTGCAAAGCCCCTGAATAACCTCATGAAGAAGGACCTTCTGTTTGTTTGGGATGACAGATGACAGATGGCATTCAACATGCTAAAAGAAGCCTTTACCTATCCCTGATGGGCCATGGAAAGAATTAATGACCAACTTTATGGATCTTGGGGTCAAGGGATCTTCTGGGAAGTCCCACATCCTAGTTGTTGTTGACAGATTCTCTAAGGAAGCAGAATTCATTCCCTGCACTGCAGAAGAACCAGCTGCTAGCACAGCTCATCTTTACCTAGTGCATGTTTAGAAACACCATGGACTTCTAGATTCTATCATATTGGACCAAGGCCCTCAGTTTGCCTCTGGTTTCATGAAGGAGTTATTTAAATGTTGGGAGTACAGCAGAAACTCTCTACAGCATTCCACCCACAAATGGATGGACAAACAGAGCAGTTGAACCACAAGATCCAACAATATTTATGGATGTATGCCAACCAGCAACAGGCTTTCTGGGAGGAGTGGCTGCCTTTGGCTCAGTTTGCATACAACAACTCTACCTCTACTTCTACTGGCAAGTGCCCCTTTGAAGTTACCCATTCCTATAGACCTAGGATGGGTGTCAAGCCAACAACTTTGAAGGTAGAAGCAGCAGAGGAGGTTGTCAAATCTTGATTCCAGGTGTTCCAAGATGTGAAAGCAAACCTCACCAAAGTGCACTCTCAGCAGAAGCAGCAAGCAGATCAATGCTGCTCAGCTGCCCCTTCTTACTCCATTGGATCTCAGGTCTGGCTAGCTACAGACCATCTGTCCCTGAAAGAATGGCAGAGCTGTAAACTTTCCAACAAGTGGATTGGACTGTATGAAGTTCTAGAGGTACTTCCAAATTCTGTTAAGTTAAAGTTGCTGTGCAACATGAAGATTCACCTGGTTGTGAATGTCTCACAGGTTAAACCCTATCTTGGTGCTCTTGATGGGCAGCCTGTTAACAGGCCTGGACCACAGAGGGTTACTGATGAAGGAGATGTTGAGTATGAGGTTGAATATGATACTTGGGAGCCAGCCTCCACCTTGAAGAATTCACAGTCAGCAATCAAGGACTCTTACTGACCCCACCCTGGGGCCCCCCATAAATTATCTCTCCTTTCATCTGAAAGCTTTGACAGCTTGTTTACACCCATGCCAGAACCATTTACTACTGTTCATCCTATTTGGTCTCACCTGGAAGTTGAGCCTTAGGAGGGGATAGTGTAACAACTGGTAGATTTTTCACTTCTGCATTTCCTAGTTACCCATATATATATCCACCCTCTGGTTAGGGTTACACTTGGTCATCTCAGACTTTTCCTATTGCTTATGATATCATGCTTACACAATACTTAGTCAGGCCATGCCTTGCTGATACCATGTGTTCACATTCATCCAATAGTGTAGTTCTCTCTTTTGTTTACTTTCTTCTCAAACATTCTCTTGTGGCAGTATGTACAAACAGTAAGGCAGTATATAAGTCCCATCATTTGTCATAGCCAGTTTCTCTAATCTAGTTTGTTTTGAGCTTGGTCCTCAATCAACAGGTTCCACTCCCAATCTCTCTGGTTTGAAGTGATAGCTGAGAAGACCTTCATCTTTGATTGCTTCATGTACCACAAGATATGGTACAAACATTTCAAGCATTCCTCAAATTTTGCTATTTTGCTTGTCAAAATGTTGTCATGGAGTGAACACTGGCTGAAATCAATGATGCCCTCAGATGCTTCCATTACTACCATGAAGTCTTCTGAAATGCTGGGGTCATCGATTCCTTCTCACTACCCTGACAACATGCAATGAAACATTACCACCATCTTATCTGCCAGTTTGGTGCACTGAATGGACTCTGTTCCTTGATTACTGAGTCCAAACATATCAAGGCCATTAAATGACCTTATCAGCACACAAACCACTTTCAAGCCCTTGGACAAATGCTCTTGATTAATCAAAGGCTTGAAAAACTTGCTGCAGCATGTGCAGACTTTGAGGAGCATGGTATGTTGAATGGAACATGTCTAACACATGTGCTTGAGGTGTTAGGTGTGCATTCTCATCCATGAACTGTCTTAGATTTCTGATGGCCACTTAGGACAAAACTCTCATGATGATTGTGATCAGCACCATGACATTGCAGAAGGTCATAATGCATCAGATGAGGCTGAGGAACCCACAGCAAGTTATGAGGAGGACTCCAGCAATACTGTAGATACCCCCATGACAATCAATGCACATGTATTATTGGTGCACATGTACTGTATGTCCTATTTCTCAAGTTCTGATAGGTACTGAATCAGTCTATCTTAGAATGTAAACATGTGAAGGACATAGGGTCCCTAGCAGCTGAACTAAAGATGCCACAGTTCCCTGAGATTCTGTGTTGCTTTCTCCATGGGCAGCTCTATCCTGCCAATGCCTGTGATCTACAAGAAATTCCTTTTGATGAGTGCCCATTTTATGACAGTAAACTATGCATCTACAACTCCACAAGTTTGACTTTTTTTGCACCAAGTGACCTGAGCAGCATCTACAGTATGTGTCATGAATATATCCATTCCTGCTCCATGTGGAGAAATGAAGGCCCTTGCTTTGATTATGTGTTTGTTGTAACTGACCCACAGGCAGAGGGCATGAGGGCCTTAGATGTCACTTGTGTCCTTTGTTTCTTTTCATTCAGATATCTACAGACAGTGTACCCATGTGCCATCATCCACAGGTTCAACCATGTAGGTGATAACCCTGATGAAGACATGGGGATGTGGATAGTCTGCCCAAGCTACCTTGCACTGTGCACACACAACATCCAAAACCTTGCTGTGATTCATGTCAACATGATATATCATGCAGCTCATCTCATCCCCATTTACTCCACTCACAACATCAATTCTAGAGATGTCAGACTGCATTGTTCTTATGATATGTTTCATTCCTTCTATGTGAATAAGTTTGCTGATCACCACACATTTGAGATTGCCTTCTAGCTCAGTGCTGAACTATGTGGTATGGCAGGCACATCAATTTTTTAGTAAGTATGTCCTCTGCATGAGCCCTTTCCACACTTATATGTACCATCATGCACTATTTCTATCCCACCACCAAATGATGCATCATTTGCACTTTGGTTGACCCATGGAACCATGCCTGGTCTTCCCATGAACCCAAAGAAGGCCAAGCTTGCCTGTGCAGTGAACCCTGCTGGAGCCATTCAGGGACAGAAGACAAGCAGGACAAATATGTCATCAACATCATGCAGATTGTGAAATTCATTGTGGGTCAACAGGCCAGACATGCTGGATCTTGTGGTCACCATTGGATGCCAAAGGTTGAACACATATATTGAAACCTCATCCATGGTGGGTTCAATCTTTGGGAGAATTTTAAGGTACTTGTGCAGTGACAGGCCAGACATGCTGGGTCCTGTGCTCACTGTCGGGTGCCAAGGGTTTAATGCATATATTGAAATCTCATCCACAGTGGGTTCGATCCTCAGGAGAATGTTGAGTTACTCATGCAATGGCAGGCTCAACACATTGGATCCAGTGGCACTTAAACCAGGTCAGCTGACTTGGAAGGTGGAATTTTCACTGTTGGATGCCAAAGGTTGAATGCATATATTGAAACCTCATCCATGGTGGGTTCAATCTTTGGGAGAATTTTGAGGTACTTATGCAGTGACAGGCCAGACACACTGGGTCCTGTGCTCACTGTTGGGCACTGAGGTCAAATGCATATATTGAAATCTCATCCACAGTGGGTTCAATCCTCAGGAGAATGTAAAGGTACTCATGCAACAACAGGCTGGATGCATTGAGTCCTGCATTACTTAGACCAGGTCCACCAGTTGGGTTGGCAAGTGGAATTTTTGCTGAAATCACTCTCATGGCTTTGGTCACATAGCTTTAAATCTTCTGGTAGTAGGATCATGGATGTTCATGTTCCTGCCTGGCAATCACACTATTTTAGACAAGTCAGCCTCTGCATCATGAATTTGTCTTGTGTTAAACTATCCCAATTTTTTTAAAATTGTTGTGCTGTCACCATACTTATTCAACTTATTCAACTTATTCAACTTCTTTGCCTTTCTCTAAACTTCTCTTTGCCAGTGTGCAAGTCAGATAAGTCAGATAAGTCAAATAAGTCCAAAGAAGTCAGGATAGCATTTTGTTAATTTCCTGATGGGGGTGCAGAGTTCTGGAGAAACAATGCCAACAAATCTGGCTGAGGAAGTTTCATTTGTTTCCACTGAGAAGGTAGTTAGCTGTAGACTGTATTGAACTCCCATGGTTTGTCAATGTCATGGCATGATCTAGGTCAGAAAGTTGTGTTGGAACATAAAGTGCCCCTGTGGTACTTGACCACTGTGCGATGTTTTGGCTGCTTACATAAGCTGAAATAGCGCACATACTTGCAGTATTTCCTACTAGTATTCCCTCAGTAGTTTGTTCACTACTGAGGGTAAGTCCATTCATATTACAAGTATTCTACTATACTGACATCCTGTAGTAGCCTACAGATATTTCTACAAGTTGTAAGTGCATGAACAAAGAATTCCAGAACCTTGGGGGGAACCCCTCCAGGAATTTCTCATTGATATAGTCCTCAGGGAGTTTCTTGTTCTTCTGAGCAAGGCTGAGAGTGCATCTGAATTCACAGACATATCTTCTGAGATCTTCAAGCAACTCCATAGGTTTCTGAACCTGATGGTAGAGTATGGTTTCAAGGTCAGCTTTGGTATAGGGGCACATCATTGACCACCATAGAATGTAGATGTTCAACAGCATCCATCTGAAGAACACCACCTCAGCCAACAGGTCTCCCAGATAACATCTATGCCATACACTCCCTCCCAAGTTATTGAAACTCCTACATCACCCTTGCTCCTCAGTGGACAGCCATTTTACATAGGGCATTTGTCCCACTATACCTTCTCATTAAAATGCTCTAGGTTTTACGGATTTCCATTGAAAGGACACGCATGATCAGGCTACATACATATGCTCGTCCCCAAGGTGTGCAACTGGCATCAACATTTAGCATGGTGATTTATCACATCGTCCCTAACTAGCCTGTCTAAAAGTGGATAGGTTTGCTGTACGCAGCCATAGCAGCCTCCTTGAAGGCTTCGCTGAGCGTGGGCTACGTACCAGACATAAGATCAAAAGGTCAGCAGAAACGTCTGTCACTCACATGTGCATGGGTTGTCCTTGCAATGTCTTCTGAACTGGCACCGTACTCCATGGCAAGTACGGCTTCCGAAATCATCTCGCCGGCGTTGGGACCGATGATGTGAACACCGAGAATCCGATCCGTCTCTTTTTCAGAAAGGAATTTAACGAAACCCTCCGTATCGAGGTTGGTCTTTGCTCGTGAGTTGGCAGCGAATGGGAATTTCCCAATGTTGTACTTGACGCCAGCAGCTTTGAGGTCCTGCTCAGTTTTGCCTACCCATGCAACTTCGGGGTGGGTGTAGACAACAGATGGAATTGCGTTGTAGTTGACATGGCCATGGTCATGCTTGATGTGCTCAACGGCAGCAATGCCTTGACGACATCTTATTCAGCACATATCAGGTGCAGATAATCGCCTGACTAACCTTCTTCCTCAGCCTTGTGCGCCAGCATAGGCCCAAATGTAACATCACCGATACACCTGATATGCTTCGCCGATGTAGCAAACTGGTCGTCAATAACAACGCGTCCCTTGTTGTCCAATTGCACACCTGCAGCCTCAAGGTTGAGGCCCTCGGTATATGGCCGGCGACCCACAGACACCAGGACAACATCGGCCTCGAGCTAGAGACTACAGTAAGGTATCCGGTATTCCCATTTGAATCCGTCGTGCTTACCGTCTCCTCCTCATCTCCCTTTGCAGATTGTGTCTTCACAAAGACCTTACCGTCTTGCTTTTCGGCGGATAAGACCTTGGTATTCAGCTTGAATTTGAGACCTTGTTTCGCGAGGAGTTTTTGGAACTGTTTGCTGGACGGTCGTTAGTCGAGTAGAATAGGATTACCCGCGCCACACTTACGCGACTTCTTCGTCGATGCCAGCGCCACCAATACCACCAAGGAACTCTACAACAGTAACCTCAGCGCCTAGTCTGCTCCACACGCTGCCCATTTCTAAACCAATGATACCGCCTCCGATGACGACCATCTTGCCTGGCACCTCTTGTAGCTCAAGTGCACCCGTGGAACTTACTATTTGTTGTTCGTCTATTTCGATGGCACCACCAGGGAAAGGGGCAACTTCCGAGCCAGTAGCGATGATGATATTTGTTGCCTCGACCGCAGTCTCCCCGCCATCCAATAGCTTAACTGCTACACGATTGGGAGAGACAAACGACGCAGCACCCCTGATGTAGTCGACCTTGTTCTGCTTAAAGAGCATCTCTATACCCTTAGTAAGAGAGGTGACGGATTGCTCCTTTGACTTGAGCATTTGAGGAAGATTAAGCGAAACATCGGAAACTGCCCGGAATGAATGTGGAAAGAGCAAGAACCATAGGTGTCCCGTACGTACCATCGATACCACGTTTTTGAAGATCGTGCTTGGTTTGGTGATACAGATGTGAATTGTTCAGCATAGCTTTCGAGGGTATGCAGCCAACGTTCAAACATGTACCCCCAAGAGCTCCCCGCTTTTCCACGCACGCAGTCTATGCATTATCTAGTGACACCGAGCAATGTGTGAATGACTTTGAGAAAGGTATACCTTCAAGCCAAGTTGAGCGGCCTTGATGGCGGCAACATAACCACCAGGACCTAGCGGAAGAATGAGTAACCACGCGGAATCGATCGAAATTACTCACCTCCGCCGATAATCAAAGTGTCATAAGGTCCGGAGGGTGTTGCCAGACCGCGATGGGCTTGCCATGCTCCGAGTTGAAGAGCAGCCCTGCGCAACCGCCGTGAGACATGCTGCCAAATGGTAGAACCAGTTAGTAGATTGTGCAATGAAACCAGGCAAATACACTTGCTTTCTGCGTTGCTCTCTGTAGTTGAAGCATGTTTGGCCAGTAGAAAAGACGAAAAGCGGTCGTCGCAGGAAAAGTTGTGGGAGTCCTCTTTTCGGGAGGCGGCGGATCGTGTCACAGCGTGTGATGCCTGTCACGTGGCTTGTGACACTCTGAAGGTGACAGGGGCCAAGTTACGAAGTTGGGATGTGGCTAGTATTGTACTACGTACTACTTTACTATGGCAGCGCCACGGTGTTTGGGACATGCAGCGCACTGGGGTCCCCATGTTTCGTGTGTTCCGCTGTGCCTGCAGTAGAACAAAGTTCAAGCGGCTTGTGGTGCCTGAAGAAGGGGCCACTACGTATTTAGTTTGTTCCCTTGGGATGATCGTCGCTACCTATGATGGGGGATATTGCTGGGTGGACTTGATTGCAGATCGATAGTAGATATCTCGTTGAGCTTCTATCAGATATACGGCGCTCCGTCTGACGGTCTGGATTGTCTTTTATGCAATATGATTTCTTCCGAGAAGAGCCCCGCGCGCACTGATAAGACACAAGGAGTACTACATAACTACCAAGCAGTGACTGCGAGTCTTCGAGCTCGTCCGGTACCATGCTTGCCCATCAAGTCTGTGAGTTTTTTTTTCCCTCGGGACGGGCGAGAATTTTGGACTGGGCAGTTCAGGGTCCTTCATAGTCCCGGACTTTGCGTGCCAAGCCAAAACCTTCCAGAAAATCTTTCAATCGCGACAGCCAAGCTTCCGCCTTTCGATGGCAAGATCTATCACCTTTCATAAATCCGCAATTTTTTGTGCATACTGTACATAATATAGGCTGGGGATGAACGTGAAGGAGCCGCTGGAAACAACTATTTCGGAGTCATGGTAGGTGCATGCTCGTTGATCCACCTTCAAAGTTGAAGTGCCCAGAATCTTTCAATCGTTTCTGGTCCCCAAGTTTCATGTCCTATGGAATCGACCAATGAAAGTGCTGTTGGAACTCGTCCCCGATATTGGGGGTGGCCGTACAGAACTACCAAATCGATACGACGACGATCATCTGCCTCGGCGCTCTGCCTATTGTATTAGGGTTGGAGTGGCCTCGTTGTCGCCGCACGCAGGACCCAGGTGACCACAGACTTGCTCTCCACACAGCACCTACCTGAAGTTCCGTTTCATTTCTACCGTTCACATGTCTCACCAGCGAACTACTCAGCTGCACAAGCGATTCAACGATATCATACATGGCAACGTTAAACTTGAGCAGGGCTCGAATGCTTGTCGTTTGTTCTTAGAGGGTTTATGTGCACAGGCTGACCCAGCCAAGTGCGCAAGCGACATCGTCGCCAATCCCCATGGCCTTCCCGCAGTCCAGCAGGCTATGCGCTCCGACCTTAGGCCAAACTTCCTAAACGGTCTTGCCTCGGATGTGCTCGAGTTCCTTCTTCGTGCCGAAATGGGCGGCGACGTGTTGAACAACGTGATCGTCAGCATCGTCGACCCGCCCATTTTCTGGAACGAGTTTCACAGGGCTTTCGAGAATGGGACTCTGAACCCGCGGGCTCAGCACGTTTTCGCGAAATCTCTTTCTTATCTCCTCCAAATGGCCAACAGAGACACGACCACTTACCGCCAGCTCGCCAGTCGTCCTTCCATACTCGACAAGATCATCAACTCTGATCAACACGAGCTTAGATCAGAGGGATATCTCATCAAACACATTCTTTCTGTCGCTAACACGGCTTCGACCAATACTGCTGATCCTGATTTCGTCCCCGGCGGGCGTCATGATAACGATTTTACTGATTTCCGCAAGATCGCTATTCTTCCTACCGCAGATGAGTTATCCAGCAACAAGAAACCTGCGCTACGGCCTGCTTCCCTTCTTGAAGATCCGGAAGGAAAGGAGACGCGCGTCGCAGACTACCTGGACAACATGTTCCGTTTATTACGGGACGACATGATGCATGAGCTAAAAGAGGAAATCGACATTGCCCTGAAAAAGAAGCAGGGGAGACATCGTGGGCTGGTTATTGATGGGGTCAAGATGGTGAACATCTACACCAGCCCTGAAAACCGGAAATTTCATTGGGGTCTCATGCTCCAATGCGATTCCGACCTCCCCATACTCAAGAATGTTAAGGAGAAGGACAGGAAACAATTCTTCCTCGACGATCACCGTGGATCAAGAATGCTTCGCCATCAATCCTTGGCATGTCTCATCGGGGACGGCGCTATTCTTAGCCTTGGCACCATCCACCGCGAGGAAGACTTGTTGGCGAAAAAGCCGCCTATCATCGTCTTCCAGATCGAAGCACAAGTTAGCCTTTCGAGGGCACTTTTGCAGCTCAAGACAACCGAACATCTTCGTTTGATACAGATTGACTGTGCCGTCTTCGCCTTCGAGCCTGTGCTGAAAGCACTCCAGAAAATGCCAGTTTTGCCGCTCTCGGAAGAAATTTTGTTTTGGGAAGATGGGAAGGAGATCCCGAGTCCCCCTATCGTTGTTACACAAATCACCGAACCGCTTAGTCGTAAACCCTCGATGGACCTCAAGCCATTACTTCACACACCGAACTCCATCATTCTTGACCCATCGCAAGTTTTCTCCCTTCTTGCGGGGCTTAAACAGAGATTATCGTTAATTCAAGGCCCACCGGGTGCGTTTCCTTGTTTGGCGGGTCTCCCAATAGTATAACTTTTCACACACGTTTAGGCACTGGAAAATCGTTCATCGGTGCACTTCTAGCTAAGGCACTGCATATGTTTACCGTGCAGACTATCCTCGTGGTGTGCTACACGAACCACGCCCTTGATCAATTCCTCGAGGACCTTATAGGCATAGGTATTCCGAGAACGGACATTGTTCGTTTCGGTGGCCGCGCAAAGTCAGCGCTTGAAGACCTCAGCGTTTTCAAACTCCAGAGGGACAGGGTTGTTCGCTCAAAGGCTGACTGGGCACTCATCGACCAGGCGAAGACGCAAGCAAGTCACCACCTTTGTCACCTCCAAGACTCGTTTGATACTCTGAAGTCATTTCAGCCAAGTCCCGAGGCTTTACTAGACTACATCGAGTTCGAGGATCTTGAATTCTTTGAAGCATTCCGTGTCCCTGATCCGGAAGACGGAATGACATTCATGGGGCCTAATGGAAAGGCGGTGGATAGAACTTTCCTCGTTTCTCGATGGATGCAAGGCAAGGACGCCTGGATGTTCAAGAATGCGCGTCACATACAAGCCGCGCATCAAATCTGGAATATGGACAAGAACCGCCGTCAGTTGAAGGTAGAGGGTTGGAAGTCAGACATATTCAAACAGGTGGTGGAGGATTTCTGCGCGGCAGGCGAACAGTATAATTACTACCAGGATGACTTGTCGCGCAAATTCGGACAATCCCTCGTTGAACAACTGAGGACTAAGAGGATTATTGGGTGTACGACGACAGGTGCCGCAAAGTTCGCGGAGGATATCAGGGCTGCATCTCCGAACGTGTTGCTTGTCGAAGAAGCCGGTGAAATCCTCGAGAGTCATGTCGTCACCGCTCTGAGTCGCAGCACTTCCCAAATGATTCTCATTGGGGACCACAAGTAAGGTTGTTTGACCTCGTTGATTTACTCCGCCACTGATTTCCTCTAGGCAATTGCGACCTAAAGTCAATAATTATACTCTGACGATCGAAAAAGGCGAGGGCTACGACCTCAACAGATCGTTGTTCGAGCGACTAGTGCTAAAAGGGTTCCCTCACGTTACGCTCTCTGCTCAACACCGCATGCGTCCAGAGATATCAACTTTGATTCGTGCACTCACATATCCAGACCTCAAAGATGCGCCTAAAACACAAAACAGGGACAACATTCGCGGGGTTCAAAGCAATGTCATTTTCGTGAACCACGGCCATCCGGAAGATGAGGATAAGCGCATAACTGATAGAGCAGATGGGGGCTCAACGTCATCGAAACAGAATACGTATGAAGTAAAGATGGTTCTCCGCATCGTACGGTATCTCGCGCAGCAAGGCTATGGGAGCGACAACATCGTTATCTTAACCCCATACCTTGGTCAATTATCAAATCTTCGCGATGCCCTCAAGAACGAAACGGATCCTATTTTGAATGATTTGGACTCAAATGACCTTAACCGAGCGGGGCTACTAATGAATGCGAACACACAGAAAAAGAAAACACGTATTCGACTGGCTACGATTGGTGCGCGATGTTTGTACGTGTGTGATCGAGCATTAAACTGAGCCTCTGGCAGATAATTATCAGGGCGAGGAGAGTGACATTGTGGTGGCAAGTCTTTGTCGATCAAACACGTCCAATTCCATCGGTTTCATGGACTCGCCTGAGCGTCTCAACGTGCTTATCTCAAGAGCACGCAACGGCCTGATCCTCATCGGAAACTCGGCCACATTCGAGCGTTCCAAGAAGGGGGGAAAACTTTGGACTGACTTGATGAATCTTTTGCGGAACGGCGGATATGTGTTCAGAGGTTTTCCTGTCAGGTGCGAGAAACATCCGAAGACGACGCGCGAGATAGAACAACCGGACGATTTTGATGCTTACACTCCCGATGGGGGTTGCACAGAGCCTTGGTGATTGTTGCATTTGATAACGTGTTTTATTTGCAATCTGATCCTTTCTACGCAGTGGGATAATGCTAAAGTGCAATCTCCACCTTTGTGCTCTGAAATGTCATCCCGTCCGGGTGGCCCCTAACCAACCTAACATTCACGCTACCATGTTGTGCAAAGCACCGTTTAGCGACAAGTGTCCAGTTGGCGCTCATACAATTACATGGAAATGCCACGAAGGACGTCCATCCAACTGCAAGCAGTGCGACAAGGAGATGAAGCGACTCGAACGACAGGCAAAGCGCGACCTCGAAGCGAAGGAACAGCGCGAGGCCGCGGAACGCGAACATGATCTCCGGATGTTAGAACTTGAAGCGAAGCTACAGTTCGAGAGGGAAGCTTTGGTGGAGTTACAGAAGGCCAAAGATAGAGAGAATGAAGCGCGCCAGAAGGAAAAGGAGATTGAAGACTTGAAGCAGAAGGTCAAGCGTGCAGCTGCTAGACGTGACCCCAAAGCGCAAGCGGGCCCTTCTCAGTCTCAGTCAAATCCTCCTAGTCGTCCACGTACACCTCAAGACCAGTCCTCCGGAAACGGCCAACCTGCTAATCAAAATATTCCACGACCCAAAATGGAGTCTGCTGCGAGAGATAAGTGGGAATACCAGAAGCGGGTTGAAGGGGTACAAAACGATGCCATCGATAAGATCATGGACATGACCGGACTGGAGGGAGTGAAAGAACAGGTGCTACGCATTAAGGCAAAGATCGACACCACGAAGCGTCAAGGGGTAGCCTTAGACAAAGAGAGGTTCAACCTCGTCTTACTCGGGAATCCCGGTACAGGTAAATCTCTCCTTACGGTACAGGGGTAGGACGCTTTTATGACTCGCGATTAGGGAAAACTACTGTTGCAAGGCTATATGCACAATTCCTGGAGTCCGTTCGGGTCCTTCCTGGAGACGCCTTCCTGGAAACCACAGGTTCATCCCTTGCAAATGACGGTGTTTCAGGAGCGAAAAAGCTCGTTGATGATGCCCTTAAGGCGGGCGGTGGCGCGATCTTCATCGACGAAGCATATCAACTTGTCAGCGATTACGATCAGTCTGGTCGGCCAGTGCTGGACTTCCTCCTCGCAGAAATGGAGAATCGGGTTGGAACGCTAGTTTTCATCCTTGCGGGATACACCAAGGAGATGGAGAAGTTCTTCGAGCACAATCCAGGCATACCCAGTCGTGTTCCCTACAGCCTCCAATTCGCAGACTATACGGACAAGGAGCTCCTTACCATGCTCGAAGATCTAGTCCTTAAGCGGTATAAAGGTCGGATGCAGGTCGAGGACGGTGTGCGTGGACTCTACGCACGAATTGCAGTCAAACGACTTGGTCGGGGAAGAGGGCGGCCGGGGTTCGGAAACGCACGTGCACTGCAGAACATGTTTGCGAAGATATGTGAGCGGCAGGCTGAGCGGGTCCAGAAAGCACGCACATCTGGCACGCCGGCAGACGACTTCTTCATGTCTAAGGAGGACCTAATCGGCCCCGATCCATCCAAGGTTCTTCCCAATAGTGCTGCATGGGCGAAGTTACAAACCCTCATAGGCCTCGAGTCTGTGAAAGAATCGGTCCGCAACTTCTTCGCCCTTATAGAGACGAACTATCAGAGAGAACTGGACGAGAAGGAACCAATGGCGATGTCCCTCAACAGGGTGTTCCTTGGATCTCCCGGTACTGGAAAGACGACCGTGGCACAGTTGTATGGCAAAATTCTTGCAGAGCTGGGTCTCTTGAGCAACGGCGAAGGTTGATTCTGTTGTGTGTAGTGTTATGTGGGGTGATGCTGACGATGTACTATAACAGTGGTGGTAAAGAACCCGGCAGATTTTGTTGGGGCATACCTTGGACATTCCGAGAAGAATACCAAAGCCATCCTTAGCAGTACCATGGGAAAGGTGCTTGTTATAGATGAGGCAAGTTTGCACCACCACAAACAAATTCATTCGATCTCAATAGATACACAGGCGTACATGCTGTATAGCAAGAATGCGGGCCAAGATCAGTTCAAATCATCTGTCATTGACGCAATGGTCGCAGAGATTCAAAGCGTCCCAGGAGAAGACCGTTGTGTCCTGCTACTTGGATACAAGGAACAAATGGAAGAGATGTTCCAGGTAGGTACCAATCCAAATAGGCAAGCGTGGAATACTGAAAGGTACCCTGAAGAATGTCAACCCTGGACTCGCACGCCGCTTTGCCATAGAAAATGCTTTCACCTTTGAGGACTTTTCCGAGCTTCAACTGGCGCAAGTCCTAGATCTCAAGCTTAAAGGCCAAGACCTCTCTGCTACCGATGATGCGAAACGTGTGGCACGAGACCTCCTCAGCCGGATGAAAAATAGGCCTAATTTCGGAAACGCTGGTGAGGTGGAGAATCTACTAGGCTTGGCCAAAGCTCGGTATCAGAAACGCATGGCAACAATCCCAGCAGCACGGAGAGCACAGGTCACCTTCGAACCTCAAGACTTTGATCCTGATTATAAGAGAGATCAGAACGCATCTGGCAATCTAGCCAAATTGTTCGAAGATGTTGTGGGGTGCAATGACATCATCAAGAAGCTGGAAGACTACCAGAAAATTGCACGTGCGATGAAGGCCCAGGGATTGGATATGCGGACTCAGATACCCAGCAATTTCATCTTCAAGGGGCCTCCTGGTGCGTAACTCCTAAGTCACAATATTAGAATGTCATCATTTAGATATTAAAATAGGTACGGGAAAGACAAGTACAGCCAGGAAACTCGGTCAAGTGTACTACGACATGGGGTTCCTGTCTTCGACAGATGTGATAGAGTGCTCCGCATCAGACCTCGTTGGTCAGTATATCGGACACACCGGCCCAAAGACAAAGGGGGTCTTTGAAAAGGCTCTCGGAAAGGTTCTCTTTGTTGACGAGGCCTACCGCCTGAGTGAAGGGCACTTCGCAAAGGAAGCCATGGACGAAATTGTTGGGCTGATGACACAAGAGAGGTACATGAACAGGCTTATCATCATCCTTGCCGGCTACGAAGATGAGATGAATGCACTTCTACAAGTAAACCCAGGACTATCTAGTCGCTTCGCCGAAGAAATCGTCTTCCAGAACATGACTCCCGATCAATGCTTGACGCTCTTGGACAAGGATCTACGCAAGAATGGCATTACCATTGCCGAGCTCAAGGATCCATCGTCAGCCGAGTATCCCACAATGAGCGGTATTATCAAGGGCATGTCGTCTTTGCCTTCGTGGGGGAATGCTCGAGATATAAAAACGATCGGAAAGCGAATGATACGGAAAGCGTTCTCCAATGCTGAAAATAACCTGGATCAGCCAGCGTCTCTGTCCATCAATGAGGCGGTTTCCATCCTGAAAGCAACCTGGGAGGAAAAGCAGAACCGGCAGAATACGCCTCGCCCTGGTAATCTTAGGAAGAATTCCCCAATGCCTCCGATGGCGAGCATGAGTGGTCGTGCACCACCACCACCACCACCACCACCACCACCACCTACATCTTCGAGTACGAGCATGTCAACTCAAGGGCCAAAGCCCCCTCCGCCGCCCCCACGACAACAGGAGTCCAAAGGTCGAGCATCCAGACCTCCCCCCAACCAGAAAAAACCGAAGCAGCCGGGCACAACCCCAGACGTGTCTACCCGTGCTTCATCGCCCGCACCCTCTCAGCCCGAGACTACCCACAACCATAGCCAGAAACAAAGCCGATCCAACAGACACGCCGCCACCAAAAATGACACAGGGCCATCATCAGACTGCGTCCGCCGTGACCCTGGTGTATCTGATCGAGTATGGGCTCAGCTCCAAGCTGCCAAAGCCGCCGAAGAGGAACGGAAGCAGCAGGCAATGGAAGAGCAAAGGCGTCTTCAGCAGGATCTTGCACGTGCACAGAGAAAGGAGCGGTTGGCAGAGATCCGAAGGAAAGCACTCGAAGAGGAACGTGCGAAAATGGCCGAGCAAGTCAGATTGGCCGAGGAGGCGAGACGACGTGAGGCAGCAGTACGAGCTGCAAGAGACAGAGCTGCCGCAGAACTGAAAAGAAAGCAGGAGGAAGAGGAGAGAAGGCGGAGAGAAGAAATGGCCAGGAAACTGGCAGAGATAGAGAGACAGGCTGCTGAGGCGAGGAGGCGCGAACAAGAGGTGAAGGCTGCGAGAGAGAGAGCGGCAGAAGAGCTCAAGAGAAAACAACAGGAAGAAGCTCAGAGGCAGAAGAAGGTGGAGGAAGCGCAGAAGCGCTTGAGAAGCATGGGAATTTGCCCAGCAGGATTTCAGTGGATCCATGTGGGCTCGGGGTGGAGATGTTCGGCCGGTGGACATTTCATCTCGGACGCACAATTGGGTATGTCAGGTTTCTAGACTGCCTGTGACCTCACCCGTTCCTTTCGCACTGGGTTGCCTTAACGACCCGCCGAATGTCCTATAACATGTTTTTGCGCAACCGGCTGGAAAATTACGGTACATATGTATATGATCACTGACCGCCCGACCGTGCCCACTGGATGATATTATACAATGTTCTCTGTTGGCCTTGCTCGATTGATTCTGTTCTCTCCGCACAAGTGAAGGTACACGGTAGTGTCAGCCTCCATTGGCCACAAATTTTTATCTGTTGAATCGGTTTGAGGTCACGGTCTGCGCTAGCAGGCGGTGGGACTGAAAGGTGCCGCTTAATATCTCTGTTCCGTGAAGGGACTTGTTGCAGGAGGTGGACCAAGAGCTCGAACTTTTCGGGGTCCTGGATGCGGTGCCAAGTAGAGCGAAGACAAGAAGCGTCCTTCGCAAGTTGCCTCGTTAGTGCCGGCTGGCCACTAACCCGTCATGTTGAGTTTGACCCGACGACGTGTGATGATTGACCACACTGTCAGTTATCCAGTCATCCGATTGGCCACAAGGGGCTGGTTTCCTTCCTAGGCAAACCAAACACTCGACCGCGGAAGATAATCGCTCCCTCATTATCCGAAGGAAGGACTTCCTATTCCAAGTATTTAAAGTGCGCTTCGAGGAGGTTCAGGACGCACTGACAGGGTTTACACGCAAGCTTGCGCAGAGATAACTACCAAAAACTACCTACTCGGACGCGAAACCGCAAAGAAGGATAATGACTTTGACAGTCAGCACTCCTTGGTTTCACTCCGCTTTCTTGTGTTTCCAAATCTAAGATCGCTCCTTGTTTATACGTCCTCAAACGATTCGGATTGTCGCAATCCAGCTTGAATCTACCCGACAGCATTCACAGAACCTGGAGAAGATGAACACGATGAAGTCCTCTCACCACTGTTGCTACATCTGAACTCCGATGAAGTATGGAGGGCTCATGCACGAGCTTGCGGAGAATAGAGGCCACGATCTCGATGCCGGTGATGAAATGCCTATGCGTCTGGTAAGGTTGGGGGGGAGGGAAGGAATAGCACAGTGAGGCCCTTAAGTGCGATGATTGACTCTCTTCGTAATCTTGGTAGTAACATCGTACTTGCTCTCGGCGAGGGTTATGACAGGCTCATTGGGAGAGACCTCCACTCGAACGCAAGAGCTGGAACTTATCGTCAAGAAGAGCATACAGTGGTTGGTGGGTGGTATTTGCCTTCCGCCAACCATTTCGCCTGCGTTGGAGGCGTTCTCGTGGGCAACGAAGTTGAACTGGGCAACTTTCCACAGAAAGAGCTGACAGTTGGAGCCTGGATATGCCCCACTCGTTGATTCTCGTGATGCGCTTCTTGACATGGGAGGTGGGATCACGATAAGTGAGCTATAGGGATGTTAGCTAGATGGTATAAGCGAGCGTAGCAGAGACCATACCAGCATGGGATGTGCACCGGTGGAGGTGGCACACGATGTGATACGAGTTCGAAGCTGACCAGGTTATATTCGGTTTCGAGACGTTGTTTTGGACTTCTGCTTCTTCAGACTGCGTGACACTGAGAATGGGGACTTACGGCCTCCTTCAGAATGTTAGACCGCATCCGACGATGCTAGGTTGGACTCGAGCTTGTACAGCTGGCGAGAGTCGAAAAGTCAATCTCATCCTGCTCGGGGTCTCACGTGTCGGTTGGAAGCCTTGGTTACATAACCATTAAGCAGGATGGCGCAGATACTGGAAAGGAAGATGTTGGACATTTGACGGTTGGAACTGAGGGAGGGGAGTCGTTTCATTTTCTTTGGTGCGCTGCATCATGATAATCTTGTAAAACCAAAAAGCTACCAGACCTCCGAAGTCCCTCTCCGGAGAGCGCACCACGTTCCTACGTTCGCCATACATTTTTATATCCACAACCTCCCCCATCGTGACCCCAGCACCGATCGGGATCCCGTTGTTAAGGGTATCGACAAAGTACTCGGATGCGGTGCTGTATAAATGGGAATGGAAGAAGGTGCCCTCAACAACGGAGTGGGGATAGGCATACTTACACCTGGGACTGGATTACCTGAAAAGGTAGGACTTAGATGTGATGAAGAGGAATCCTGTTTCGTATGATCCGCCCGTACCGAACTGCGAGGCCCCGAACTCCCGTACGCTTCGATGGGTGAGATGCTTGTCAGTGATGATATCGCCAGTGTGTCGTATCGCGTCCTACCTCTTCCATCTTGCTTGGATGGTGCACGGGTTGACGAGCCTACTGATGAACGTGAAACAGGGGCGCGACCGAGAGGTGTTTTGTCATCGCATGGTTTTGTGGGCAGATTCGGATCCTAGCGAAAGGAAGTGACGGGTTGACGGTATGCGCAAGTGAAAATGTGGCAGAGCCCAAAGACTTGGTGCAGGGCAGAAGGAATTGGATGATTGTACCGAGCTCTCCTTCGACATGTTTCTGCCACCCTCGCTCTATGCGTGACCTCGCGCAGACGAAAACACCAGATCTTGTGGAAGTGATATATTGAATCAGGCTCGGGAATCATTACTAAACCCATAATCATAATGGCGCACTGCCAAATCTCCATCGTTTCCCTGACCTTGAAGAACACGATGTGAGTACTTTAGTGGTGTGAGCTGATCCATATTTTGGACACTGCGAGTCACTCCACGCTGCACCGTTCTTTTCTCCTCTAGACTCTAGTATAAGCTGTATTGGCGGGCTTGCCAGCGATGACGATGGGTGCGTACCAGGAGTCAGAGAGGCCTATTGACGGTTCGCTATGGTGGCTAGCAAAACGGATCGAAAATGCAGTCCAGAGTCTTGTAAATGCGGTCGCCTTTGCAGGCGAAAGTCAGGCAGGGCAAACCCATGCATGCTATTAGTGGCGAGATCCGGTTTGGTGTCGTTTCCCAGATGCTAATGGCAAACCATCTGAATCGCTAACAGACTTCCGTCGACTGGGACGACCGTTGACTACCAGGGGGAAGACTGGGTTGCCTTTCTTAGAAGTGACGCGGTATATAAATGAGGGACGTGTCTCTTCCGTGAAGAGCAGCGCCCCTTTCCTTCCTTCTCATACCATCAGCGATGAACACAACAGTGGACTTTGCCAGGATGTACATGAGGATCATGTACTTCCGTGGCAAAGTCAATTGTCAGTGCATGCGATGGGACACTCCGCATACAACGGTGTCAAACCCCTATTCCCGAGTACTTAGCGCTGTCGAACACGTCCGCTGTGCACTGGCGTGATTCTCTGTCCGAACTATGTAGTACAGCTCCTAATAATCCACATTTGTGCTTGCCGTGATCCCACCTGTTCGAACGTCAGTTGCTGGACCGTGTTGGCCACGCCCACAGGTCCATTCAGCACGCATATAGGCAGGAAACCTGCTCTCTGTACATGTCAGCCTCCTGCTGCGGATCGCTAACCTATAAATTCAAGGGCAGAGCCCGCCAGTCCCCCCACACATCCTTTTCCTCTGACGACTTCGATCTACTATATTGCGATGAACGTCCGCATCTGTCCACCCTTCGCTATGACTCGCGCAGTCCTCATGTACATCCTGGTAAGATGCGGGTAGGTTGGGATGAAGTCGCAATTCGTCTCGCCTGAACATTGCCCCTGGAGTTTCAAGTGCCAGTGTGAGCCTCGTCTGCGAACGCATCGCGCGCTTACTCTTAGAAGAGGAAGTGAGTGAAGTCGTCGACTCGTAGTCCTCGTCTGGCAAGTTATCTGACTGTTCTGTTGGGCCATTTGGTCTCACTCCCCCGCTCTCGCATTCCTCACGGAATTGCAGCACGTTCCCGCTGCAGGTACGTTATACTTCCTTGCTGCATCGTTAAGTCCCGTTACTCACTTCAGAAGAGTCATGCCAAACTCCACCCCACCACTACCATCAAGTATGCGCTGACGTGCATTCTCAATCCAGAGTCCAATCCAGCCCCCCGACTGGCATAGGCATCGCACGTGTACCTAGTAGTGGTGATGTGGATGTGGCCATGAAGACCTGGACAGTCGAACGAACGACCATTCGAGGAATGTCTCAATAACTACGGGAACGTCGACTTGGCTCGCGAAGACAACGAACTTGCGATGAACTTGCACGATGCGGTGTCGCGATATTATGACGGCGTACCCGAGACCTTCTAATCGAATCGTAAGTGATGTCGAAACATATTGTCATTGCGTACAGCGAGTACTGATTATGTAAGACATTCGTCCATTTTAGCCACTTCGTATTACATAAATACGCGCGGATGGATGATAGGGGGGCAACGGACTTCCCCCGAAAGACCAGGTTTCGCTCTCCTCAGTTCCTCTGCCACCTCGTAGTCTTCTCGCAAAAAGTGGACCATTCACGTCACCCGTTACACACAACTTAGCTCCGTACATGCTCTGCTCTAGTTCTTTGCAGAGCGTCTCCACACGTGTACAATGGCACGTTTTGCCCACAGAGTGGCGATGCAGGTTTTTGGAATGGAACCACGGGTCAGTACATGATATCACAGCTCTCATTCAATATCTGACATTCCATCAACTCTCCGCCACTGCATTTCTGTCCTTCGACTGACCCCTGCGGCCATTGTGGTGACTTGTGGATCCCCATTCTCACTTCCTACCTCCCGCATACAGTATCTCAGCTCGCCAATTAGGAATGACGTCCGTTCTTAACCTATGATCTCGGACGCATTCACACTCTCAGGTACTGTACTTCTATTCACTTAGGACGGAAAACCCACATCGCTGGGGAAGTCCTGAAATACGTCATATCCTAGGGCAAGATTGTGACGAATCCATCGGCACGGCGAATCAGGAGACTTGTCGGACCACGCGAATGCTAAGCCCGAGAAAGCGCTGGCAGAAAGTACATAAGCGTACTCTCTGGCCTCGTGGTAAGCTAGCACAGCTGTCATCGACTATTCGTGTTGACTTCTTCAGGCCGTGTTGTAGGGAATACCGATCCCAAGGGCGAGTGCTACGAATAGGCGGTTTGCGACGATCCTAGCGTACCGTGTCACCGTTCCCGGTACTGATGACTTACCCAATCATATTCATGTTTGTGTTCTTGATAATTCAATGCGAGCGGTTGCTGCAAGGTGGAGGGGGTGAGCTAGCAGCAAGGTCAGGTCGGAGGATGTGGTCGACCCCGATGGTTCGGTAGCGATTCACTATGCGTATTGCCTACAGAACACTACGTGGTGGTCGTGGGCTTTCTCACACGACGAAAACAACAATAGAAGCTGAAGCGCTGAAATGCCGCGTAGCGGTTGGTTGCCGTTCCTGGAAGTGACGCATCTCTTCCACGAAGATTTCTTTCTCTTTGATTCTGTGACGATAGACTTTCCCTGCGACATGTGAACCTGCTGGTACATGTGCATCCCGGAAAAGTCAACTGTTCGTGCTCTTCATTAGTGCTGCACGCTGACTTTCGTCCCCTGCTGAATGTCAAAGTGAGCGCTATCCGTCGACTACGCGTACACTCTGTCTCACGGCCCTTCTCAATTGACAGAGGCATATGTCTACACACGGGGAGGTGACCGTATTATCTGGCACCTGGAAACACGGCGAGGTCTAAATGAGTATGGAATGGCAATCCTGGACGCGATGGTCAGTGGGGGGACCTCTGGCCAGCGTGGGCTATGAACGAATGTTTGAGTCTGCATCAAAGGGTGAACAAGTAACGTCCAGGACTTGCCCAGGACCGCTCTTGCTTGTCCAGAAAGTTACATAAGACGTCACTACGTCTGTCGCCGGCTCAAAATTCTAAGTGCACCTCCCTCACTTTGCATATGCACCCGGCGGTCTCATGTCCACAGTACATCTCAGCTCATTTCTCCTGTTGCACTTCCACACGTTCGCTATGGTGCACCGTCCCATTTACATTAAGGGAGTCATTGATCTTCCCAATCTGTTCTATGGAGAATGCAACTATGCTGTTGCATCCTAGCATTACGCGTTTATAGTATGAAATAGTACACATCCTAATACCCAATCAACCGGGTCACCGATGCTACAGCATCAATGTGTCACGCAGACCCTGAAAGCTGGAGAAAATCTAGTGTGTCATAGAACCGGGTCCAAGCCAGTCGTCATCACAAAGGTGTCGTCCCCAGCCACGTGACCATGTGGAAAGCGATCGTGTGCCATCCCTGCGATAGTAACATGCGCGCCCTCTGGATTGCGCGAAGCTCTGCCCGGAATCAACCTTGGACGAGTAAAAGCATACAAGATCGTGTTGAACAGACCGGATAATGCGAACAATGCGGCTGAGGAAGCTGTCACCGAAAACGGAACGTTGTCACCCCTAGTTTGGGAAAAACGAGCCGCTGGCAAAGGCAGCACCTATCACTCGTTAAGCGCAACTGATCATACTAATGACACTGAAGACCACTGACCAGTACGCCGTACAAGAGGGGGTAACTGTAAAACGATTCGTTTAGAAGCCACCAATCGTAGAATAGGAGCCACCTACAAGAGCATTTGGGTTGCTCTGACACTCTCTGGAGATGGCCCCCCTCCATGAGAGATTATTCCGATCTCTTGCTTTTCCCCTCAGCGCGATTTGTAACGAAGATGCGTCCGGTTGGAACAATCAATGTGAACGGAAGTGGATGAATGTCTAGGCAAGCTTCTTTGCATAGCTCTGACATTGGCAATGTTTCACTCTGGCAAGATGGCTGGTTGCAATTAGTGTTTTTCTCGGCGTAGCTTCAAGACCCAGGCTGGGCGAATCCGGGCCCTTAGGGTCGGCCTGTGGGGGCTCGGGCCCAGAGTCCGGCGATCGCTGTCTTCGATGTCATAGATCTTTGTGATGACGTGCAGATTCTCGTTCCTACTTCCCACGTTCAGCGCCCCAATTCGTCATCCAAAGGTGTGTCTGGGTCTCAGACACATTCACACTCTCAGGTACTGTACTTCCATCCACTCAAGACAACAAGCCCATACCACCGGGAAGGGTGGATGAGTAACACTCTGGACCATTGGTTAATTAATGTTGCAACCCTTTTCCTCAATTTCCACACATTTGCGATAGTGTGCTGCTCTATTCGCAATGAGGTCAATCGTGACTTTCGCCAAGTTACATCAATTATTTGGCTTGTACTCAAAGGGAGTAATGGCTAACGAATATAATAGCAGTATGATAAATAGCTTTATTCATGCAGATCTTGGAGACTGAAGAAAACCTGGCGTCTTACGGCACATGGACCGGGCCAGTTTCTGTAGCAAAGCTATCGTCCTCCACCGGGTAGCCATGTGGAAAGCGACTGTACGCCGCCCGGGCAGTAGCAACATGCACTGCCTGTGGAGCGTGCGAAGGTCTATCAGGCATCAACCTTGGACGAGTAAAAGCATACAAGATCATGTTGAACAGACCGCATAATGCGAGCAGCGTGGATGTGAAAGCTATCGCTGCAAACGGAACGTCATGACCGCTGAATTGAAAGAAACGAGCCACTGATTGAGGTAACACCTATCACTCGTTCATTATAATCATATCAAAGACTGAAGATCACTCACCTGTACAATGTACAAGGTGGGGTAACTGTAAAGTGGTTCGTACAGAAGCCATCAATCGTGGACTAGGAGCCACTTACGAGAGCATCCGAATCGCTCTGACATTTTCTGCAGACGTGTCTATTTCATACGGAATTATTCTCGTGTCCTGCTTTCTCCACCGAAATCTGTGTCCATCCACAAGAACTAGTCGCGTGATAACAAGTGCAAGGAGCAGGTATGAGATGATGTTTACTACCCCAGCCACCCACAACCATATATAAATGAGGCCAACCTGCGTCATGATACTTCCGTCAACGAAGCACCCTGAACGGCAGTGTGAATTCAGGTTATCAAAGGTAGAATTGCACCATAAACACTTGTAATAGCCACTAGCACCGTAAATATTGTGTTGAACCACGATAGGCGGCACGACCACCAGAAGAAGGATGAGCAGCCAAATTATTGCCAGTACAAGGAGAGCAAATTTTGGTGGAGATATCCACTGTAGCACCAATACTTGCAGCACGTGCACAGCAACGGCCTATCTCGAATCACTATTTCATTACCACGACAATTGATGCAACTGGCATACCATTGTACTGACAAGGCAATTCTGTGAGCATGTGAAGGGGGTTTCTTTTCGATTTCGATACGCACCTGAGAGCAACTCCAACATTACCCAATTGAGTCAAGAAACCTGCATGCCATGAAAGACAAGCATACAGTAAAGTGAAAGCAGAAATACCTTGAATGGTGCAAACGGTACCGGGGTACAGCCTCTGGCAGTTAAATGAGTGCGAGGCATCACAAACACGCTGAAGGCTCACCGCTTCTACAATCCACTTGATGTTGAGCAATTCACCTGTACGTCGTCAGTCGGTAACAGGAACCACGTGGCAGTACGTACTGACCAATAGATAAGATAGTGTGAGAAATCATCATATTGAGAAAATAATAGTGTATATGCGTGTCAGTGGACCACCGCCGCGAGGCATTTCGCTTGATGGTGACTGCGCTATACTGCAAAAATCAGTTGGTGGTCGGTGCTGAAGGGAAAAAACTCACCGCAATGTACAGCAGCAGACCACCGACGGCAAGCGCTGATGCGGCGGATGCCACGCACATGATGATCATGCCCATCCTGGCCCCGAAATCGAATTGATCACTCATGGATAGTGTGTTGAAGAAAAACGAGGAGACACCTGTGCCTAGCGAGAGTTTGATTATTTATGGAAGTAAATGATTCCACGGAGGGCGCTTATGAACTGTATTCTTCTATATTGACGTGCTGTGAGTTGATGGCTCCTGTCAGTGGTGACACTAGCGTGTGTGAATAAGCACATGCCCAAGCTGACCACAGGACAACGTGTGAGCAGTTAACACGGTTGAAAACGTTGTCTCAGAACGTTGAAACGTTCACATGTGTAGCTCGCTAACAAATGAGTGTCTTGATGCTCCTGGCCCAAGTCTTGGAGATTGTTCCTCCCATCAAGGCCACCCCACGGCGACGACCACTGCTTTCCTGCCAGCCACAGGATCGGCACAGGGATGGTCTAGTTGGACATCCGCCAAACCTAAACCTAAATTTGCGCCTCGAGAAGAACGGGGACAGCCACTACTACCGGTGCCACTCCTACTACCGGTGGTCGTACCTCGGAAGCGTGAAACAAGCGCGGGGCAGATGTGATGGATGCGGATGAGGAAGGTGATGTGGATGTAAAGCGACAAAAGGGGAGCGGCAAGTTGAAAGGAGGGTGAAGGTGCGAAAGATGTGTGGTTATTAGTTGTGAGGATGTCTGCACCGACCTGGTCAACTCGCTTTTTAGGTGGTACGTGCACATGTACATACGTGTATGTGCATGGAGTGGGGTTCGCAGGCCAAGTTACCTCCTCCAGAAGGCGAGACCGCCGCACCTGTATAGACTTCAGCAAGGGAAAGTCAAATCACCTGGTCTGATCACTCAGCCAGCCCAAGCGTCAGAGGAATAAGGTCGTTTTGAAAACGGATTAGCTGGCTACAGTATATATACAAAGCGGGACAGCCGGCAGTTCGAAGAAACAGACGGTGGGAAAAAGTTGAGGTTGGGCAGTTTGTTAGCTGCTGCCGTCACCGCAAGGCTGTCCCCTGCATTTGCGAAAACATTATCTAATGGCGACACGTTCCTCTCCCTTGCAGTCAAGAACTAAGGAGAAAGGTGAGGACGTCTCGACGCCGAGAATGAACTGCTCCCATTCCGGCGGCAACGTAGTTGGCCCGTTGTCTTTTTTTCAAAAAAAAAAAAAAAACGCGCAGCATTTATCGAAGAAACATGTGCAACTGAACCGGCCCGCCAAGTGAGCCCAAACCAAGAACAAATCCCAGAAGAAAGAAAGTGCGCGAGTTCACGAAACACAGCCAGTAATACTCAGTACAGTTTGGGGCCGAAATCTATTAGTATTCAGTATTGGCACTTCCGGTACCTCATCTCCGCCGAGGCAAAGCCACCCATTTCGACCTTTCCACGTCTTCGGCTTTAGCCAGTGGCCAATCCATGACAATCAACATTGGGTATATGTGGCATCTAATGGATGGGATTGTGTGTTTCACAAGCAGATCACTAATATCATCTCTCTCACACCACAGAGGTCAAATGCATTTCTCTCACACCAAGCGGAGGGTATCTCACATGTAGGGAAATGGCAGGGACATCACAATCTACGATTTCACAGATCTCTTCCCCCTGAAGTATTTCAACCATAGTGCAAGTGTACATCCACTCACAAAGCTCGCGTCGGTGACGATCATTACGCTACCCTTGCAATGCCCTGTGTGACACTTTAATCTGTTGCAATGCTGCGCTTCTCAGCTTCCGCTCGTAGAAGTAACGAGACCCTCGATTCCACGAAAAAATGCCCTGCCACACGTGACGCTAAAGTACAAGCGGACCCCTTTTATCTCGGTCAAACCAGTCGACCACGCAACCTCCCCGAAGCCAGCCCTCTGGTACCTACCTGCTTGCTAATCAAAATATTTCACGACCCAAAATGGAGTCTGCTGCAAGAGATAAATGGGAATATCAAAAGCGGGTCGAGGGAGTAAAGAACGATGCCATCGATAAAATCATGGCCATGATCGGACTGGAGGAGGTGAAAGAACAATTGCTATGCATAAAGGCGAAGATCGATACCCTGAAGCGTCAAGAGGTGGCCTTACACGAAGAGAGTTTCAACCTTGTCTTGCTCGAGAATCCCGGTACAGGTAAATATTTCCTTACAGCACAGGGGTGGGTCGCTCTTATGACTCACAATTAGAGAAAACTGCTGTTGCAAAGCTATATACGCAATTCCTGGCATCCGTTCAGGTACTTCCTGGCGAGGCCTTCCAGGAAACCACAGGTTCATCCCTCGCCGATGACGGTGTCAATGGAGTAAAATGGCTCACTGAGGGTGTTCTTAGGGCAGGCGGTGGGGCGGTTTTTATCGATGAAGCACATCAACTCGTCAGTGATTATGATCGGTCCAGTACTAGATCAGCACAGGTTGTGCAGCGCCTCCTCGCAGAAATGGAGAAGCAGGTTGGAAAGCTGGTTTTCATCCTTGCGGGATACACCAAGGAGATGGAGAAATTCCTCAAGCACGATCCGGAGGTACCCAGTCATATTCCCTACAGCCTTCAACTTGCAGATTATACGGACGCAGAGTTCATTATCATGCTCGAAGATCTGATTCTTAAGCGGTACAAAGGTCGAATGCAGGTTGAGGGTGGTGTCCGTGGACGCTATGCACGAGTTGCGGTCAAGCACCTTAGTCGGAGAAGAGAGCAGCCTGGGTTCGGAAACGCACGTGCACTGCGGAACATGTTTGCAAAGACATGTGAGCGGCAGGCTCAGCGGGACCAGAAGGCACGCACATCCGGCACACCGGCAGATGATTTCTTCATGTCTAAGGAGGACCTCATTGGCCCCGATCCGTCCAAGGCTCTTCCGGACAGTGCTGCATGGGCGAAGTTACATACCCTCATCGGCCTCGAGCCTGTGAAAGAATCAGTTCGCAGCTTCTTCGTTCTCGTAGAGACAAACCATCAGAGAGAACTGGCTGGGATGGAACCGATGGCAATATCCCTCAACAGGGTGTTTCTAGGGTCCCCCGGTACAGGGAAGACGACTGTGGCCCAATTATATGGCAAAATTCTTGCAGAGCTGGGTCTCCTGAGCAACGGCGAAGGTCAATTCTGTTGTGGATAGTGTTATGTAGGCTGGCGCTGACGACATGCTGTAATAGTGGTGGTAAAGAACCCGGCAGATTTTATTGGGGAATACCTTGGACAATCAGAGAAGAATACAAAAACCACCTTGAACAGTACCATTGGGAAGGTGCTTGTTATAGACGACGTAAGTCTGCACCACCACTAACAGCCCATTCACTCTCAACCATTATGCAGGCGTATCTGCTGTTCGGCAAGAGTACGGGCAAACGAGATTCCCTCAAAACATCTGTCATCGACGCAATGGTGGCAGAGATTCAAAGCATCCCAGGGGAAGATCGTTGCGTCCTGCTACTCGGATATAAGGAACACATGGAAGAGATGTTCCAGGTAAGCGCTGGTTCCACTAGACAAGCATTGAATGTTAAAAGGCACCCTGAAGAATGTCAACCCTGGACTAGCGCACCGTTTTGCCATAGAGAATGCTTTCATCTTCGACGATTTTACCGAGCCTCAATTGATGCAAGTCCTGGATTTGGAGCTAAAAAACCAGGACCTCTCTGCTACCAATGATGCGAAACGTGTGGCACGAGACCTCCTCAGTCGAATGAAAAATAGGCCTAATTTCGGAAATGCTAGTGAAGTGGAGAATCTACTAGGCTTGGCCAAAGCTCGGTATCAGAAACGCATGGCAACAATCCCAGCAGCACGGAGAGCACAGGTCACCTTCGAACCTCAAGACTTTGATCCTGATTATAAGCGAGATCAGAACGCATCTGCCAATCTAGCCAAATTGTTCGAAGATGTTGTGGGGTGCGACAACATCATCAAGAAGCTGGAAGACTACCAAAAAATTGCACGTGCGATGAAGGCCCAGGGACTGGATATGCGGACTCAGATACCCAGCAACTTCATCTTCAAGGGGCCTCCTGGTGCGTAACGCCTAAGTCATGAAATTAGAATGTCATCATTTATATATTAAAATAGGTACGGGAAAGACAGGTACAGCCAGGAAACTCGGTCAAGTGTACTACGACATGGGGTTCCTGTCTTCGACAGATGTGGTAGAGTGCTCCGCATCAGACCTCGTTGGTCAGCATGTCGGACACACTGGCCCACAGACGAAGGCAGTCTTTGAAAAGGTTCTCAGAAAGGTTCTCTTCGTCGACGAAGCCTACCGCCTACGTGAAGGGAAGTTTGCGAAGGAAGCCATGGATGAAATCGTGGGGCTGATGACACAGGAGAGATACATGGACAAGCTTATCATCGTCCTTGCCGGCTACGAAGATGAGATGAATGCACTTCTACAAGTAAAGTCGCTTCGCTGAGGAAATCGTCTTCCAGAACATGACCCCCGAACAATGCTTGATGCTCTTGGACAAGGACCTGTGTAAGAATGGGATTAACATTGCGCAGCTCAAAAATCCGTCGTCAGCCGAGTATCTCACAATGAGGGATATTATCGAGGACATGTCATATTTGCCTTCGTGGGGGAATGCTCGAGACGTAAAGACGATTGGACAGCGGATGGTACGGAAAGCGCTTATCAACACTACAGATAATCCAGGAAACCCAGCGTCTCTGTCCATCAAGGAGGCAGTTTCCATCTTAAAAACAACCCGGAAGGAAAAGTGGAATCGGCGGAACCCGCCTAACAGGAGTGGCCGTGTGCCACCCCCTTCACCTACATCTTCGAGTACAAGCACGTCAACTCTAGGAAATGAAAGGCAGTCAAAGAGGAACAGCGCCTTCAGCAGGATCTTGACCGTGTACAGAGCGAGGAACGATTGACAGAGATCCAGAGGAGGATATTCGAACAGGAACATGCGAAGTTGGCTGAACAGGTCGGATTAGCTGAGGAGGCGATGCGGCGTGAGGCACGTAGGGGTTGCAAGAGAGCTGCCGTAGAACTGAAAGGAAAGCTAGAGGGGCGGGGACAGGAAATGGCCAGGAAGCTTGCTGAGAGAGACATGCTGGGGAAGCGAGAAAGAAGGAGAGCTGAGGAAGAGTTCAAGAGAAAATAGCGGCAAGAAGCTCAGGCTGAAGATAGAGGAGGCGCAGAAGCGCTTGGTTGGATTTCAGTGGATAAATGTGGTCCCGGGATGGAAATATGCGACCGGTTCACATTGGTATCACGCATTTGGGTATGTCAGGTTTTTAGACTGGTTATACCCTCATACGTTCGTTTCGTATTGGACCGCTCCGACGACTCGCTGATTTTAACCGGTACACATATGTCATTGGCGACGTTTCACGTTCAAGTCCCTTCTGACCGTGCACAATGACAAATGTTTTCCATTGGCTTCGCTCGCTCGATTTCCGTTCTCGTGCAAGTAATCGTCCGGTTATCGTTCCTCGAGAACTTCATACTTGCTGGATTGCTTCCTCTCGTGCTGCAGTGCGTCGGTACGGGAGCAGACCTCTCTCGACAACCTGATGGTCCTTCGACACTGGACAGCCTCCAATACTACGGATGGTGCGAGACACGGAGTAATCTGTGACCGTACATGATCAGACACGTCTTTGGGGCCAAACCATTGACGCGCGGTGATTGGCAGCAGTGTCAACCAGTTATCTGGTTGGCCTGGGAGCCAATTCCAAGTTGTCGTGGAGGACTCGGAGGAACAATGTCCTATTCGAAGTGTTTACAGTAGGACGCACTTAGTCTCCCCTAGACTAACCAAAGACTCGACGGAAGAACAATCCCGCTCCCTCTCGACTAGACCCACTGACTGGGTTTATATGTAGGCTTGCAGAGAAGTGACTATCAAAAATATGAAGTTTACCTCCTCGGACGCGAAACCCAGCGTGATGCACACGTTCACCACGACGAGGATGGTGGGGATGTTTATATGATTTTGACGGTTAACATTCCTTCTCGATCTCATTCCGTTTTTTTTTCGTTCTTCGCAATCTAAGATCGCTTCTTGTTTATACGTATCATTGGGAGAACGGTTTCCCCACAAAGCAACACCGCACCAGCCGTTTGGCACTTCGTCACAGACACCCTCGAACAATTCGAGGTCGCCGAAAATCTTGCTTGAATCTACACTGTCAACCCTGCCAACATCCAGAGAACCCGCTAATATAGTGCCCGACCCGGTAACCCTATAAGCCTACCAATATTGCTTCTAAACAAGACCAATAGGCAGAACAGCGGGTTCACCTATGTACGGAAGGTGAACACGATGAAGATCCCCTCACCTGCGCGTCCGAACTCCGACGAGGTATAGAGTAGCTCATGTGCGAGCTTGCGGAGAATAGCGGCCTTGATCTCAAAGCCGGAGATGAATTGCCTGGCATGAGCAAGCATGGCACCGCATCACCGAGCAATGGCGCGGCTGATAAGGTTGGGAGAACGAACAGCAGGATAAGGAGCCGCTAAAAGAAAAAAGAGAGAGGGGAAGAGAAAGATAAGAAAGATCATACGGTTGGTAGGAAGAAAGGGATGGGACGCTTAGGGCTGGATGGTCAGCAATGTTGGTCGAGGGGATGGTGAAGACTCTGTGTTCGGCGTCAATCAACAGAAATATTTCACGTCATCTTCAACAATCAACCCCAGAATTGATGAATCATCTACGACTGGCGATGAGTTACAAACCAGCATCCGGAATGCGATAGGCAAGCTGAAAACTTCCGAGTCCGGAGACAAATGGTTCCTGGGGAGGGGAATTAGTTGACTGATGTTGGAAGGCTGATGAGTAAGGACGCCCCAAAATGAACCATTAATGGAGTTGGGGGAGAAGGTATGTTGTGGCAGATCCAGGCCGCTTTCTTTCCATCGATATGTCGTAATATGACTACCGTTCCCTTCGTACTTACATAGCCACCCTTCCCCCACTCCCCGCGGAAGACAGGGGGATATATGAAAAACAAAGATCTTGTTCAAGCAACTTCTCTCGATCCTCGGGGACAAAAGGTATGATGGAGACGATGCAAAGACGAGGAAGACGGTCGAGGTTATGGACAAGGTGGATTGTTTTCTCTTGCATATGTTGCCAGGTTCTCCTCGTTTCTTTGTACCTTATCTGTTCCTCGTAACTCTCGACAGGGTCATTCGCGTCCGCATCGCATGTGTAATCGCACGGATCACCACCGGTAGAGATAATATTGGATCGTCTTCCGCATGGGACGGATATATATGCAGCTGAATCACCGGAGTTGCCTGGTGAATCTAGGGTCGTAATCAGGTGCTTTTGGTGCTTCTCTTTTGCCCTGACTTCTCGAGAACGCCCTGTGCGTAGCACGGGTGGGGATTATTTGATGGGATCACCCATGCAGTGCGGTGTGTGTGCCTACAACGGCAGGTTGTTTGGGATATCGAGAGGTTTCACCCGGCTGATTGATCCGGATTGGGAGTAAGTACTGGTTGTTTGTGTCCTGCCGAGGAGACTCCGACAGTTGATGTTGATACAATAGCACTGCATTATTAGGGTATATTTTACGGGCAGGGAGACCGAGAGAGACAGACCAACCGCAGTTTTTCACTTCCGAAAGTCATTCGTTATCTCATACACGGGAATGTTCTTTTTTCCCACTGCCGACCTACTGCTGTAACGTGATACGACAGGTCGCACCAAGGGCACGCTGGAATGTGTGCGACAAGTGCACCATGTATGTGTTGCGACTTGCTCAGACGGAGATTGTTCCAGCCAAACGGGTGTGCCCTTGCATAATCTCGTTGATGACGGCGGATGTTAGGGCGACCGACGTACGTACGGATTAGTGATTGAACCACACTTTTGAGGTACTTACATACGTTATTATGAAGAGGTCGGGCACCATAACAATCCAGTCAAAATGAAATCTGCAAAAACACAAGCAAATAAAGTTACTATACTTGGAAGGAGCGCTGAAGAGGTGGAGGTCAGCAGAGGTCAGCATGGAGACATTAGGTGATCACGTCACTTGATCCAGCACACTTTGAACATTCTCGATCTCATTCGAGGAAAAACCGTGCGCAGCGCATTGTGATGGCCGGTCAAATTGTCTGGACTTTGGAACCTTGTTCTAGGATAGTTTGTATCGAGTAACTTGCAGATGGAAGGAAGGCACGTGTATATATCGTATCATGGCGCAAGCAGTATGGGCGCAAGTTAAACAGTGGTTCATATAGATATACGTGGGTGCGTTGGAGACTTGGAGTACTCGGGTAGCCGAGTAAGTGTCCGAAGTGCCTTCGTCGGCGCTGCTGGGCTGGTTCTAGACGTGTCTGAGGTGGTTCCATCAGTCAATCGAGAAGGTGCAATAACGGTTAAAGTAGGAAGCTTCCGGGGAACGAGTGTTGAGCCTGTAAGTTTGAACGGAGGTGGCCTTGGCCGGGTGCTTACCTGTGCTTACACGGAGGTTGGCCGCATCGAGATTCGAGAGATCTCAAGGGATTCTGTAGTAAATGAAATCAGCGGACAGGTTAGCCGAGCTAACCTTGAAGTGTTCGGAGAGGTCGGAGAGCGCCCAAACAACGAGGCGCTGCCAAGCGGGAATACAATTAGTACATGTGATAGACTCCGCTTTTATCCTTGCTGACTGGACTGGAGGGGTAAAAGCGTTAATCCGCTTATTTAGTACACGTTCCTCGTCCCCAACCATGCCTGTGCAATGTGTTGTTGTGTTTTTGTTTACAGACATAGCGCCATTCTATGTCCGACGAGGAACTGACGTATGGTGGAGACATATACAAGCGATTAGGTTAGACTAGCCGGTTCCAATGGAGCAAACCTAAGCGAGCGTCGATCGAGAGTAGGAAAAAAAACCCACTCACACGGTGTCAACCCATTGAGCAGGCGCACATGCGTTATACACGTTGCGTACGCACGGCCCGTCGATAACCACGGCGTTAACTGAACTTGTTGGATGATACATATTCTGCTGGATATTCAGTTGTTCCCTACTACCTACCTCCTGAAACCAGGCCCCCAGGTCGAGGCAGGGCAGCAACCTGGCAAAAATAGTCTAATGACATCTGAAGGGCCCAGGGCGGGCCATCTAAATCAAGCATAACGTGACCGAGAACGTGCCGAGGGATTGATTTCCAAATATAGACATGTCCCCGATCGAGCGAATGGAAACGATGCCGAAGATATGATCGTGTACGACTGACTGGGTTGTATTGTCCATGTTGCGGGGAGGAGGGGCGCTGGCATTGCTTTTTTTTTTTCTTTTCTTCTCTCGTATATTTCCAGACCGCTCGGTTGCCCTTTTCGTTTTTTCCGCTACTCCTCCTCCGTAGTGGGATGGTCAGTGACCTTCCTTGAACTCTCCGACATGCCTGGCTTCCTCCGCAGAAAAACTACTCCGAGCAAGTCATCCGTAGCAGACACGGACATTCCCAGCAAAAAGTCTTCGTCCAGCGATGCACCTCCTTCGTTGCCTCCTCTCTTTCCTTCTCGTATTTCACACTCAATCTCGTCTCGCAAGGAGCCCGAATCAGAAATAGCACATGTCTCGTCGCCATCGCAGCCCGGACAGCCTAAAGACAATGGTTCCGCTGTCGGCTCCAATACCGTCTCACTTCCTGATACCACCCTTTTACACAGCTCTCTTGATGTCGATGTAGACTGGCAAGCTCTCCTTCGGTTCATAGACTCCCCGTTGGCAGATAATTCTCAGGAGGCGAAGCCGCCCACACCCTCGGAAAAGCTGAAACACAGCTCGGCGCCAGGTGCGTCCCTCCGGCGAAGTGGCAACATGAGTCATTGACGCTGACATGTAGCAGGTGCAGCGCTGGTCAAATCTAATAGATACCTCTCAAACGCGCAAAAGGCTCGGATGGCTCAGGGGCGAGGATTGAAACCGTCTGACACCACCGAGCCAGTCCGGCGGGTCTCGCGACATGAAGACATGCCAAAGAAGGAGACTGAGGATGTTACCAAATCCAACGCCACCTCCGGATCCTCCATCATCTTCAATGGCCTCAACGCAAGCAACGCAAATCCTCCCCGCCATCGGATGTCTTCTATTTTGGAGGATCATCAGGGTCGAGTATGCGATTCCGGTGTGCAGGTAGACGCAATCACAAATGGGAACGAGCGAGTGGTATGCGTTGGGCGACGGTCTCCTTTTAGAAGTGTTTTTACTGACCCTTGCCAGCAGGCTAACGCGAATATGAAGAATGAGGGTACGCACGCAGAACACGCGCCAAGTAAGCGCAGAGAGGGTGTTGAAGGTACGGTGGTGTCTTGTGATGTCATATTCAGTTCAACCTAACTGAGCTTATATTTTCGTCCGGCATTGGTTGCTTTAGGCCTGAAAACGCCCAGCGCCCAACCTCAACCTGAAGCGCTTACCCCGGCCAAAGACGCAAAGCCGACACGGAAAGGCTCGAAGACGTCTAGGAATGGAAATGGGAGTCTCTTTTCCAAGGTAAGGAAGCCACTTGCTTCGCATCTTACACCTTCTGTCTACTCTTCACCTTTTCACATCATTACGTTTCTTCCATTTTTGGTTATGTCCCACATGTCGGTTTTCTTTCATTGCCAATCAGCTGTCGCCAACTTCAAAGTGGCTTTTTTCGTTTTTCTAGCCGTCGTGGCCTGACTACCGTTTTTAAAAGTCTTCGGAGCTGACTTCAAACACCTTCCATCTTGTAACTGGTTGCTCATGCTTCTCATTTAACCCTGTTAGGTGATCGACATACGCGAAGGACGTGGGCGTCTTTCGGTTCGACGAAGCGACTTGCCGAATGGAACACAGATCGCGGACGGGTTAAATATCCGACCAGCTACAGCAGATGCGGCCAATGGGAAACAGCCAGTCAAAGATATTCCCAACGGAAAACAGGCAACGGACACGTCGAAAAGGAAGCCGGTGATTGACGTGGCCGAGTGGCTGAGCGGTGTAAAGCGGGTGGTATGTCTGTGAATGATGACCTTGTTTCGGTGCTCACGTATTCCCCATCTTGCTCTCTGCTTACTCCATGGACGCGGCGGTCGATGTTTATTTTATTTGACGTTGCGCCTGCACCATTCTATACCCCAAACTCGACCGTACTGAATGTTGCGCCTCACATCCACCCCACCCGATCTGAATCGAATGGGTACATGCCATTTGTACCTGGTTCCATTCGCTTCGGTTGTTTTGGACCGGTACTTATAAATACGATGCGATAGGCGAAGGACGGCGAGGTGGTCGGAAGAGCGACACGCGCATTATCTGTCATTGAACGATCTCAGTCTCCACTTGCACGTTCTCACTCGCCACAAGCACCACCTCAAAAGTCGCTTTCGCGGTCTCCACCTCCAACTTCGCGTTCACTTCCTCTAAATTCGCGTTCCTCTCCTCCAATCTCCGCTCAAAGGCTTCAGACTACTGTTGCTATGTCTGCTGTGACGATGACGACGACAGCTCTTATGACAGACGAGAAAATGAATTCGAAAACACATGAAAACGCTACGAACGAGCGGGTTGGAAAGACGACGAATGGGATGAGGATCTCGATTACTGGAAGGAAGACAACGCAATCGACGACAAGTGCCGGTAGGAAGACACCCGTGCCTACCACGAGAGATCCAGAGCCGCGTGTGGCCAACCACCTGGAACAGCCTCAGCATCACCAACGCATCACACAGGCCCAGGCACACAACAATCAGGTTCAGGCCCAGCAGCAATTATCGAATGGCCATACGCCTTCCTACACCCACCGGAGGACTTCGAGCTCAGAGTCCCGAGGGAACAAAACCCCTCTCAATGGGTATCCTTCTCCCACGGTTGCGAGCGCTGAGTTGAATGGTAATGCGAACGTCCGCTCGAATCCTCCCCGCCACGTTTCAACGACTGCCAATGATGTCCCATCTCCATATTCTAGTCCGGGCTTTTTCCCAACAGCTCCGTATCCTCCCACGTCCTTCTGCCCCTCGGCGTACCCTAATGCGTTCACGCCATCGTTCAACCTCAACTTGTACAACCCCGCGTACGGATCCATGTATAATCCCTTCACACCTTTCCAGCCATTTGGACTGGGACCGGCATATCCTTCACATTTTCCCTCTCCGTTGGCCGAACGCACCAATCCCCTTCTCGATCCGAACTCCAGCGTAAAGGATCCGAAGTTGCACAAAGCCCCTTCTACTGCTTCTTTTTTTGATGCCGTCATGTCAGGAGTGTCAGGGATCAATGGATCCCAAGGGTTTTCAGGCACTCCCCAGCAGAATCCTGTGCAGAAAATGGTCGTACGCAGTGCGAGCGGCGAAAGTGCGTCCTCAAGGGACAGGGATAAACCGAAAGTATTGACCAAGGTTCGACATACCCCGCCTCCTACCCCCCCACATGTCATGGGAAGCGCACACGTGAATGCCCACGCTACTGGAAGCGGTAGAACAGGTCGTCGTCGGAGTGGATGTGAGGAGGATCGTGTGAGGCAGGTCTGTTCACTGTTAGATTCGGATCCATTTGCGAAGGTCGAGGGTGTGCGTGTCGTCACAAGGGAGGGCTCACTATCTGGTCATGGGCATGGGTCCCTATCTGATCATGGACATGGGTCTGCGTCTGGACACGGGCATGGGTCTCTCTCCGCTCACGGGCGCGACACGCCCGCACGGCCTTTGTACATCCCTAGTTCGGATGACCATGCAAACTCGTTGCACGCTATCACCGGCAATACGAACTGTCAGCCGCAAGAATACAAGTCCTCCCGACAGTATCGCCGGGGGATGCCGCTCGGAAAGTCTCCGCCTTCTGCCGTGGCAGAGATGACCGCTCGCGAATCCCGTTTCAGTGCCGACAAGGAAGGTGACGACGGTGTATTGGAGAAGGTAGAGGAAGAGCGACCCAAAGTATATTTCCCATTAAAGCCATTCCTTTCGAACGCGGATTTCCTTGCACGGATGATGGAGTATTTGGAGTTCCGGGACTGGTTGTCCCTATACTCTGTTAGTCGGGGCAAAGTCAGGTCTTTGTTTGATTCCGTTGTTTCTTCCGCTCCTCGCGGAGGAAACGGGAAAAACGTCCAGAGCAATGCAAGACAGTTGAGGGAAGTTATTCTGGAGCGGTTCCTTCGACCTGTGGGCTACGCCAGGTGGGGTTTTGAGTGGGCAGAGCCGATCGTGCTGACATTAAGGGTGTGTTTTAAATTCTCCTTTCTCTCCGCGTCCCTGACGCGAGTAAAACAGGACCTCAACAACTATATGCGTGGTATTTCAATGCCCACACATGATTATGCACGGTTTGCGCATGCGTACCTCTCGCAGCCGAAGGGAGCCTCCCGGGGTTTGAGCGATGTGCTCTCACTTGCGTTGACGACACGCGCATATACTAAGGTCGTACTACGGCTGAGGGCACAAGCGGAGTCAGAGGCGAGGTGGATCACGCGACTGAGAGAGGAGCATGTGCGGACGTGCGGTGGATGTTGCACTAATCAGGCTACACGAGCTAAAGATGAAAGGAGTCCAGCTTCGCCACCTTCAAGCTCACCACCCTACCATGACGGGCACGCACGCCCAACGTCTTCCTCAGGAGGAAGCTCGTCTTCTTCGTCTGGGACATCCTCTTGTGCATGTCCCCTTCCGCGACCTTCGTTCCATTCACCGCTTTTCCGCCCGAACCGTGCGGCATTACTGCGGGTGTTCGTGCCCTCGCCAGATGGGACATGGCTATCAGATATCAGTGTGGAGGAATGTGAGGCGGAGCTGCGACGATCGGGCGCAGGTGTGGCGAAACTGTTAAGGGCGGGAGACGTAGTGTGGGATATCGCCCTTGGTGACGAGCGGAATATTGGGAGGATGGTGTGGGATGGAAATTACTTGGTGGTATGTCCTATCTTACCTTGGATCGTGGGATAGTTTTACTGACACGACGGTCGAATGCTTGCAGGACCTCGATTATAAGTACTCATCTCTCGGCGAGCTATCTCCGTACTTCCATAGTTTGGCCTTCCCACCTTCGTACTTCCACCGCGTAATACGGACCGGCGAGAGCACGGGTGATAATCAACCGAGCCCCATCGTTTATGTGGATATAAGTCCGTGGGGGCAAGAGATCGCACAAAACCTGCAGTTGTTGCAGGAGAGGGGGAAAGCTGAGACGTGAGATCTCCTGTTCTTTTCTACAAATGCATTACTTACCTTGCCCTCTAAACAACAGACTTCATGGCGCGCTTCATGATGTCGTTCTTTGGGTCCATAGATCGTCGTTCAAGATTCGTGCGCCTGCAACAACCGAGCATTCCCGCGTACACTCCCACCTGCGCGAATACTTCCCACACCTGATACCGCGTTCTGAACGCCGCGCGATACCCCGTCTCCCCGGGGTTTTCATTGATCCCAACTGGTACGGTACCGTCGTCGTTGAGGCGGAGGGGACGCAAGAGGGACTAGCCGACTTGCAAGAGAGATGTGGACCTGGTGTATTTCCTCCCCGTCCAGAGGCGATCACGGGGATCGCGAAGGGTGTAGAGAGGAGAAGAATCTGGAGGGTCATCAGAGAGAAGAGGTGTGTTTCGTTTTCTATTTTCACTGTTACTCGATTAGGAAGGCTGATGGTCCATATTAGTCGACCAGGCGAAATCTGGTTGAGGCCAGTGAGAGAAAAAGAGAGGGTGACTTGGTGACGACGACGACGACAATGGTGATGCCAGTGTCGACTGCACTGTGTGCTTGGCTTACTTTGCGCGTATGTAAGGACTTTGGGTCTCGTTTCTCTTGCTCTTGTCCGTTGCTTCTTATTTCCTTTGCTGGGTTGCTGTGACTCGGATCTAATTCCCTCTCGTTTCTGTATCTGTTACATGCCACACTCTTTCTCCTTGCTTTCTGGATCACATTCTATACAATATACTATATGCCCAACTGAAATTCATTAGACTCGCTCGTCGGTGCTCTGGAGCGCTGACTTTTTTCCTACCCCTCCGCTACGCTAGTCCCCCCCCCATACAGATACTTTTCCCCTTTTGATCCGTATGCACTGCTCTATTCCCCTGACCCGTACCCACTACTAAACGTTGACGATCCCGAATTTGACACTTTTATCGATCTCGTTGATTCTTCTGTATGTAAGTATCAGACTTAGATTGGTATCTCTGTCGAGTCCAGTTTCATTGCGTGTATGTTAAGTTATTAACCAGTCATTCATTTCTGCTATTCGGGACGAGTGTTTCCGGCGGGCAGACGCGTTGATCTCATGCACGTGATCTGCAATTGGTGATTTCTGAGTCACGTGACCGTATTTGGCCGTGTCAGCCACTAGCAATCTCCCCCCCCTATATAAATCTCTCGTCTCCCCTCGACGCCTCTTCTCCAAGTACATCCACCACCTGAACCACATTCATTTTCCCGCCACCTGCAACTATCGTTCCCCTCGCTGCAGCGGGTCTGCAATCTACGTTTACTATCATTACTTTACCAGTCCACTCTCTCGCCAACACTACGAAACTACGCACAATGGTCTCCACGACGGCCCGCCGAACCTTTTCATTCCTCCCCCCACTTCTCTTCGTCGTTATATCCTTTAATCTTCTTTTCCCGCTCGTATCTGCGAACATATTCCCAACTACCCCTGTTCAATCAACGGTATGGCTGGCGGGTCAACCAGCAGTCGTAACCTGGAGTGACGACGGGACGATCCCAACCACTGACATGATGGGCCCGATGGTCATTGAACTGTGGGAGAATATGAGCGTACGTTTACCCCTTCACTCTCAGCAGCGGGTGGCTGACGATGGCCGTGTGATGGGATGGCGGGGGAATAGACATTCGTAAGCACGCTCGCTTCAAACGTAAACGCGAAGGCGGGATCGGCACAGGTGACCGCTCCTACAAACGTCAAAGACAACACGAAATAGTGAGTTTTTCTCTGTCGTCCAAGAGCCTCGGTTTGACTCTGCTACTTTGTAACCAGCACCGTGTGCTTCGTAGTACTCGAGCCGCTTCAACTTACGGTGTATAGCGGGGACTTTACTATCGCCCCTGCTGCTGCTGCTGCGCCCAACCCACCAGCGCCAGCAACACCCTCCCCTGTCCCTATCCCTCCTAGCGCCTCTGCTGTCTCCGCGGGAAGCACCCCGTCCGGTGTACCACCCGTCCCAGGGAGCGGCAAAGGCCCAATCGGAGCACTTCCACCAGTCCCTACAGATCCAAATACCGCCGCCGCACTCGCTCTTGCAAACTGGTCAGCCATCGCGACGGCGATGAGCGGCCTGACGCCAACCACCAACGGAACGCTTTTGAATATGACCGCTCTGTCAGCCACCAACGGTTCGGTACCGTTGGCTCCTCACCCTAACGGCCACACGCGGGGCTCTGCCAACGGTGCAAGCGGGAAGTTTGGTGTGAAGTACGACTTCACGATTATGTTTACTATTTCTTTGGCATCGGCTGGCGTGTTTATGATCATGTAACGGTAATTAGGCACTCGCACACGCACCTGTGGACGTTGTTTCTTTTTTTGTGTAGCCCTTAGAAAGTAATTTTACATTAATTCGAGTTCGCAATAAGCTGTCCCTGAGTCAGGCATAAGTTTGCAGTACAGTTAGTTACCACTATTTCGTCTCAGAAGCATCTTCTCAGGACAAACCGCGCAACGAAGTGAGCTTGGTTCTGGCCCGTCACAAATAAAGTCAGGAGATCCAATAGGTTGGTCGGCGACCACTTCGATCCAATCATGGATCATCAAGTTGAAAAGTGCTTCGCAATATGAGAACTGCAAAACGGTATCAGTATGGTTACAGAAGCCTGGAGTCCTCTCCAGCCAGGAATAGTCGACGTAGCCTCTCAGAATATTGACTATCGTGACCGCCTCAATGTCGTTGGCAAACCTAACTCATTTTCGGCTGGGTTAGTAGCCTACCAGCAATTGATGGATGGCACGACGCACCTTAGAAAATTCCGGGAGGGAAACTTCCCACGTTTATGTAACTACACTTCTCGTAACGCTGAGAATAAGTAGTCAAACCGAATGGGTATTCAACTCCAATGCTCCAAAGCCAGGCAGCAGGAGATCCTGGTGGGCAAGCTAGCGCTGCAATGGTTTTCCGGGTTAGTTCATACGTAGTGGCGCATCGAATCACCGAGTTAGTATAAACAAATGGAACGACGGGCCCCATGTAGTGTTGAATGAGGCAATTCAAGTCATTACTTCTGAAACACGTGCACTCGAATCCTCTACATTTGAATCGCAGAGGGACACCTTGTACGACAGTTTCGGCCGGTTGGCAACAACCCGAGGGCCGGGCCATCGACCAGGACACCTTCAAAACCAACGAGGTTAGAATGGCAGCTTCCGGACTTCATTCTGCCAAGCTGGCGGTGTGTCAGTATGTACTATGATATATGGACCTGGTACGTAACCTTTCGGTGACTCAGTCGCAGATTCTAGCGACTTCATGTCGTCGCGGTCGGGCAGTTTGTTCCTTCCTGTAGCGCCACGCACTCGAAGATGCCGGTGCATGTCAGGCGTAGCATACATACCTGAAAATACGGTCGTCTCGGGTTCACCATGTCGAAGCACGAAACGCAAGTTGATCCATCACTACCTCGTATAGCTCCAGCGTACAATTCGATTTATCCGCTCAGTTCTGTATCGGAAGTCGCATAGTCAGTGCGTATGATCCAGGAGGCCGCGTTGGTGTGGCAGCTCAATACAGTTCCAAAGGAATGCGCGATAGAGATTCATCCAGTAGGAGGAAACCAGGTTGAACATGTCCGTTCTGTTCGCTACGTGTGATTGGATGTAGGCAGTCATATCAGCGACGATAAATTCCTGCTTTAACATCACTGTCTGAGACTGTGTTCCTTACATCTTGCTACCTTCAGCCCTATGATTAGTTGTGAGCTCTCCCTAGACCACGACCGCCTACGTTCGACGCGGACCCATTTATGACAAATGGTGCGACCGTGCGGCCCTCGAGATTTCCTGCCCTGTTTGTTTTGTCCGAGGCTGGTATACTCAGAGTAGTAAGGACGCGTTCCCAACGTCAATGAATCGGCCGCTCTGGAAACGAGTTCCTTCTGTACATATACGCAGGTCCTCGATTTTCTCCTATTATGCCGCGGGCTGAACTTGGAGGGAGTCAGAGGGGGAAGGGCTGCAACGACAGGGAGACACCACTCTCCGCCCAGGCGTCCGGCGACATGTTGATACCGGCATCCCTCGAAGGTTTACACCGAACACACATCGAATTGCACTTATACAAACTTCAAGACAACATCTTTTTTTGCGGTTTTCCAGAATTTTCTCTCCAATACGTCAGAAACTCCTACAGCAACCCCGTCATATTGGCTCAGAGGGGCGAGATGCGTTTACTGCTGGCAGGTGCAGCTACCGGCATTGCAGTTGCAGCTGCGGGGAGAAGAAAAGAAGAAAAAGGACTAATCAGCGACCCTTGCACACCCTCGATAATCACGACAATACCCACCCAGCAACGTTGCAGTTGCACTTGTCGTTGTTGGGAGACATGTTGATATAGATTGTTGTGTCTGTTCAACATGAAGCTCAGTGAGCGACAAACGTTGCCACTTGGCTGTGCAAGACAGGCAGCACGTACGAGAGATAATCAAGTAGTCGCGAGTATCAGAGCAAATTGCTGAGGATATCAAGTGCGAACGGACCCCTTTTAATACGTCCACGCAGTGGCCGGTGCCCAAGTCTACAGCTTGAACAATCGTGCGATAGCGTAGATTTCGGAATTTGCCCGAGTTCCTGTTCCTTTGTTACTGCTTCAGACCCACGCTAATGAGCCATCATGAGCAATAGTAGTGGAAGTGGCGTGTTATCAAGGCGCCGAAGAGATGTTGCAATGCGGCAGTTGCTGGAGAAAGTCTGGGCAGAGAAGTAGAATAACGTGATCAAAGTAATATTACCCCCGATGGGGCGACAAAGGAAAACATCAAGGGTCATTTTCTCCTGGCTCTTTCATCGGGGTAGGAAGCTATTCTTAATTGGTCCGCAGGTTGTGATGCGGGGTCAGGGATCCTGTCCAAGGTGTGACTGTCTCATCGAACGATAGCGCGATTTGACGAGCCTGAATGGCAACGCCCGTGCCATTGGCAGAGCGTGGCATTTGGCTACTGAGAGAGCTGCCCATTTGAGTTTGGGTGCGTTTTCTGACATGGAACATTGATCCCCGCTGAACAACTATGGTAGAGACAGGTCGCCACGGAAATTTATTTATTTAATTCGCCAAACGTTCGGCCGGTTATCGAGAGCGGAAGTTGCATTCCAAACGTCTGGAACAGGATATTGTTGATGGTGTGGCGACAAGCATAAGTAAGGGAAGGTATTGCTCCACCGTTTGGTAAACCCCACAAGTTCCGGACGGCTGAGCTAATATGTTCGGTTGCTTGTGCACGCATCAGTTGCAACGCATGGTATTGATTAAGTTCGATACGTTGGCTCCGCGTGTGCCCTCATAGTAGTTAATGTAGGGACATAGTAAGGACGCCGTTCGTGTCAGGTGACAATGAGTACGCACGCGGACTTCGGCCCCATGGGGTGCGGAGCTGTCGTGGGTAAGGGGGGGGCGGGTCTTGGCGTGCCGCGGACCGCGGACTGCCCGGGCTCGAAAGCTCGGCCGGGGTGAACCGATAGTTAACATCGGGTCCCTGGCCCGAAGCTCGCCGAGTACCAACTTTATCGAAAGAGATCCCAGTTGCGAGCATGGGTTGGGTTCAGTATTGTAGTCTGACAACATGGTGATGACCTTCATCCATGGCAAATGCGCTGAGACCTGGTCTAGGATCGCCGCTTTGAACGGTGACTGAGCCTTTGAATACGACTTCTGGGGGGGAAACATGCAGAGTCGAGATCGTCAACTAACGAGGTGGAATTAGGCATAAGAAAGCCTGGTGGCAGGCCGAAGAGACGTACGAGACAACGGTAGGCGAGCTTTAAAGAGGTGAAAATAGAGTCAGGCTAGACACCGACTGCGAAGGTTGCGCTCACTACACTCCATGACTGCGAGGGTAGCTGACTGGGAGCGTGTGAGATTTTTTCAAATTGACTTTGTGGTGGTAGCACCTAAGTCCCGTTACGTAGGACAGTCAACTCCTCAAGTGCATTATCTCAAGACTTCGTCAGTGCCCTTCTAGCCTTTTGTCTTGGTCGTAGATTATCGTAACTTTGTGGAGTGGACCGCGTTGTGCTGGAGTGATTCCCCAAGAAAGCTCCAATTTGCGACGCAGATGGCGTTATCTTGTCCGACTATTATTCAAACGACCTCACGGTCATCGTTCTTTCGAAAAATTATGCACTTGTCCTGCAGGCTAACACCCAATTGTGTCGCTTTCACGTCTTTTAGGCCGGAACCAAAGAAGAGAAGGAAGAGTGCTGCGTTCCTCAGCAAGACGCGATGGTAGCTTCAAAACTCGGATGCTTTGGTGTTGCTCACCCAATTTTTTTCCTCCGCGACTCCAAATGTCCTTGAGAATAGCCATAGTTGCAGGTAGGTGCATAAGTGGTACGAGGTTTCGTGACACCATCTCCAAACACGATACCTAAACGGATTACTTTCAGCAACCTACGCTAACGCGCCGAGCATTCGATATACGTTGTAGTCCCCAGTGTGGGCTTCGATGTTCACCTTCCGCTCACGGTAGGAAACGGCAACGAACCCTGTCCGTGCCCACCGGGGTGCACCCGAAATATGCCGTGCTCACTCATGTCCTGCACCACAACACTGCCCATGATCCACTGCGCTATTTCAGATATCGCTCCAAACTACAACTTACATTCTAGGCTTCTTCTGAGTGTCCCGCCTTCTAGGACAGACATTTGCTGCTTACAGGTACACCTTCTAGTCGTGCACTCGTGATTACAGGAAAACGGGCCCGTCAGCGATCCCGTCCAACTTCAATGGCGATGCAGAAGGCGTATGAGGAAGTGCAGCTGTATTTTTCACAGTTGGGGGACACAGCTTTGGTCTCTTCGTCTGGCGCATAGTGAGTACGAGTCCCGTTTATAAAGCAACTCCAAGACATACTTGAGAGCGGTGTGGATATCAGAGTAGTCTGCAAAATTGTTCGAGGAGAACAAGCCATGTTCTATCCAGAATCTGGATATCGTTTCGATCGATGTTATTCTAAGACCGTCCGCGCCATGTTTGCACTGATCGTAAACTCGTGCCCACCTTGCATCAAGTTCGCTGTCGTGGCATTTTCCGCGCACCAAAGCTAGCATAGCTGCCAACTTATCGGTGGGTCTGTCTGATCTTTCCCCCAGAATATTCCTGACCATCTACCTTCCATCCGGTCTCCGCTTATCAGAAATCTGCCTTCCAGAAGATCAAAGTCGTTCGAATCTGGTGTTTCATATTATCCAGCACTAGTCACCATCAGTTATCGATGACTAGTCTTGGCCGCCACCGTAGTGGCGTTGTATCTGATCATATACGGCCACGTTAGTTTGATCCTGGCCTCGACTTCATTTGGAACCAATAAATGCTATCCCGCAATGGCACGATTGCGTGGATAGGCATGTCTCGCTGGAAGCTGTCGTCCAAACCGCATTGTACCCACCCTGTTCCATGAGCTAGACCACAATGCGCGAAGAGTTGTAACGTGCGACCGGAGATGCAAGGTTCCAGAATGCTTCTAACTTGGGAACGGCAACTCCCGTGTTTCCTATAATATCCATGCATGGCAGTGGACATGCAAACCCTTTGCTACCATGAGACTGTGGAACGCTGAAAGAGAATATCAGAGGCCGATATAGACTTACAAGATGATTTCTATATCAGATATCTGGATGCATCTTCTGCCGCTGTTGCGGCCATCAGTAAAATTATTGTAAGTGTTAACACAGCTTCATCTTCCACTGGCATCGCGTCTCAATTAGATGCTCCTGACTTACTGTAACTGCAGTAAAATGCCAAACACCAAACAACACGCATCACCAGACAGGCGGAATCATTACCCTTACTGAGAGGTTTTATCGCATCACATAATTTGGGCACTTCAGACACAATCAAGGTAATATTGGTTTTCTCAGTTTTCTCATACATCGCTCGACACCGGGACAAATGACATAGTAATCATACAACCTCTAGGAGGCGAGAAGCATTTAGTGCTTGCAGGTGCAAGTACCAGCGGCACAGCTGCAGTTGCCAGCAGAGCAGCCACAGCTACAAGGAGAAAAGACGGCTGGTCAGCAACCCCGCACACTCAACGGCAGCAAATGGCACCTACTTAGCGTTGCAGTTGCAGCCAGAAGACATGTTGATAATGGATATAGACTGGTTGGTTATGTCTGCTCAATGTGAAGTACGATGAGGGCACGCTCTACAGCACGGCAGGAACAAGACGTACGAAGGATGTGTAAGTGGTCGCAGATAGCAGAAAAAGATGCTGGAGTTACTGGAAAGTAATGCTCCTTTTAAACGTTCGACAAGCGGCTCGTCCCGGAGGCCCGTCGGACATGGTATCGCTGACATTTGGTCACATGACGGTGTAGATGATGCCTTATCGGAGACAGGATTGCAAACATAGAACAGTCTGCGAAGGTTCATAGCACAAGGAAAACAGGGTCACGTTGACCGACAGGGTAAAGATGGTGGCACATTCCAATGATGCCCCACATGGCCCTATAGCTCGGTACTGGTAATACTAACACTTGCCTCCATCGTCCGAACGTCGGTCACGGTGTACTGACAGGAAAACAACTGTGAGCATCGGCCGCCTGTCAATGTTGTCGCAAGCACGTGAGTGGCGCAAGCCTAGAGGAGAGGTGGTATCAGAAGGTGGCTCCTTAATGGTACGAGTACCTGTTATTGGTCCCTTGCTCCACCTACTTGTTTGCTCCGGCAGCTCCAAATCCTGACACGAACCATCAAGGTGAAAAACGTCGGAAACAAAAACAAGCTCTGCGAGCAGAAAGGATAGTCCAAGGTTCCGGATGGTGGGTGGCAACGGCAATACATCGATGACGGACATGCGAAAACGGACGACAAAGGTTGCCCTTTTGAGTATCCTATTCCCCGCTTTGCGACATCGGGTTTGAAGTGCTGCTGTACAGCTGTTAAGGCGATAATATGATGTGACGAGCTGAGTTTTAAGCAAGTACGTTGGACGAAGTAACAGTCCTCGAAGTGATGTGCAGGTACTATATGAGCTTACCACACCTTCCGACTCCCTCGGTGATTTGAGATCAGTCAATCGATCAGCCTGTTATGAGTTCCGACAATCCATTTCATTACTGCCTGCGAAATTTGATGCAGGTGAGCGAAATTTCGTGTTGATATCTGGTGCCACATGCATTCTCACAGCCGCTGGCTTCCAAGTTTCTCGTGACTTGAAGAATTTCACCTGCGAGTGTCGTCCGAGCTCGTCTTTGGGATTTGTGGATGCCCGCTGTGCTGGTGGGTTACTTCACTATGCCCGAATGTTTTATACACTCAATCACTGCATTTATACGACATTGCACCTGCGTAGAGTCTGATTCATATGCGTGTCTACACGTCCCAGTTTACGCAACACGTCACTCAAAATTTCTGCTGCGGCACAGATATACGTCACGAAAGTAACTCCATCAACTGAACCATGGCGAGCCGCTTTGAAAATGGATGTTCAGTTGTCGTCATGCGTCGTTCATGAGTCGGTTTGTATTGCGACATTAACAATACGATGCGCAAACCCGTGAAAGCTAGACTGCAAAGATGATCCTTACGACGAGACATCACATCAGGCACAGAAGCTGTTTGAAAAACAAATCAGTAGTAGGACGGGCCCTTCCTTTGACAATGAATTGCTTCCCGTGAAAGCATTGGAACCTTGAAACAACTGACCCTCGGTGTACACGAAGGTGAGCATCGATAGCTTGTCCTCTTCTACTCGGCACATGACTGACTAACATGGTTTCTACCATGACATCACCCTCCTGGTACTGTTCGAGAAGTACATAAGTATTAAGTACCGACTACGTGGCAGGTTCACACTCATTGTCGTTTATCAGTGTAATAGGTTAATCATTTTCGGCAGGGTATATATTGGCTACTCACTACGTGTCAAGCTTATGAGGATTTATATCAGTGAGTTTCGATGATTAGCATGCCATTAACATTCCCCGGGGTACGCTCTCGTTGCCCTCCGTTGCCCTGCCTTTCCTTCCTCATATCGCTACCAAATCAGGGCGGTGGAGGGCTCAGGGATGACCGAATCGTCAACCCTGTTTTGGCTGGTGCCCTCCAGGAGCGATCTGTCCCCTCCGCTCGCCAGCGTGTCCGAGACAAACTCGCCAGGCGTCGACACGAACTCGTCTCTTGCTCCCTCCGACCATCCTCACAAACCCCTCCAGTCATTCCTTACCCAGCGTACAGTCAACCCCTCCTCCGTCACCGACTTGTCGAGTTGCGAAAAATCAATTTATCCAAGGCCAGTGCTCTCGCGTTACCCTGCAAGCGCATCCATATCCCCCCCTCCCGCCCCAGATACGATGGAAACACCCAAACTGCGGTCTCGCCTTCACTCGAGGCAAGACATTTCTTTCCCAAGAGTCGCCTCTGAGGATTCTCGAGTCCTAGGCTCCCAACTCCTTTCTCTGCATGGTCAACGTGGCTCCATGATTCTCTACCGACTTTCCATCTCATGCAGTCAAAGAGAAGTCCCTCCTACGCCTGCAGCTCGTCGCACCGTTAGCGATTGTATCCTATCTACTTCAGGAAGTTCCATATTTTCACTCTCATCAGATTCAAAGTACCCTTGCAGTACATCTAGACACGGCATCCTCATTCCGTATGTCTACGATCCAGATCTAGACAACAACTCCAACGAACCCGACATAGACGACTTCCTTCATGATCCCGAAGGCATTCGGTCCTCAAACACGTCTCCAATTAGTTTGCGCGGTCTTCTCAACATCGGATCGCTCACCCTCCTTATTATCGGTCTTCTTTTTCTATTCGTTTTTTATCCCGTGTTTAGGTATCTCGAAGACAAGACTCTCAATGGTGCTGTGTCTGTCAATGTCACAGGGCAGGTGCCAGGATTAGGAAGCCTGTATGTCCAGGCCTCTCTTATCTGTTCTTTTTTCTTTCCTTGACCGTGATATACATGTCCATATCATATCCACTACGTGCATTTATGTGTCTCTCTTTCTTATCGCTCTCAGATATCCCTTGCCACAACTGATCGATCCGTCTACGCCAATCGACGCACACACACGCACCGGGTTCGACGATTATAACTACGATCTTGTTTTTTCTGATGAATTCAACCAACCCGGACGAACTTTTTGGTCGGGTGACGATCCCTACTGGGAAGCTGTGAACCTGTGGTATTGGACGACCGATGATCAGGAGTGGTATGACCCTGGACAAGTCTCGACCAAAGAAGGAGGGTATTTGAGTATCGTGTTGGACCAAGTGGAGGATGAAGGGATGCCATATAGAAGTGGGATGTTGCAAAGTTGGAACAAGTTTTGTTTCACAAGGGGGTACATTGAGGTGTCGGTTATGTTGCCGGGACCGAATGAGGAGTCACAGGGCTACGTGGGTGTTTCACCCTTTATCCCCATCGGTGTTCCGTTCTGACTGGGCGTTTGGACGGGGTAAAGTGGCCTGCAGCGTGGACGATGGGAAATCTCGCACGACCTGGATACGGCGCGACTACGGACGGTGTATGGCCTTACTCGTACGTTCTCTCTATCTCCTCGTTCATTTTAGGGAATCTTTCTCACATGACTTTGGTCGATTTTTGCCTGGACGCCGGATGTTCTGCAGATACGACTCTTGCGACGTGGGTACATTCCCGAACCAGACATACGTCAATGGGTCTGGGCCTGCAGCTGCCCTCATGTCGGAGGCATCCCAACCTGGATACAATTATGCGTTATCGTGGTTGCCTGGCCAGCGGCTTTCGTGAGTCTGTTTCCCCTTCCTTTCGCTCTTTTATTTGTCTGTCTGCTCGATCTCATATCGCATACAACACCCAAAAGTTCATGCACATGTTCCAATGAAGACCACCCCGGTCCTTCTCCTACGGTGGGGCGTGGGGCACCTGAAATCGATATCCTCGAGGTCGCACATAACAACTTGGGAGGAACGGGACAGACGGTATCTCAGAGTGCGCAGTTTGCGCCGTTCACGCACGATTACTTGTATGGGAATGGGTCGTCAGAGATGTGGGAGGTGTTCGACTGTGGAACGGTGTCGAATTCTTACCAGTATGTTGCATTTTTTGTATTCATTCTCTATCGTGCTGATGATTATATTTCATCTAGTGGGTCGCCCATGTGAGTCTGTCCGTTTTCCGTTTTCTCTTTTTTTCCCCGGAAAAGTGGTATAGATCATTGATTCGTTCCTGTGTTTGCAATCGTGGATATGTAGGCAGCAAACGGTGTCTGCATTGACAGAGCTCCCTTCAGATGTCTATGTTGGATCTGGGAATCAATTCATTACATTCGGTATTTCTCTGGCCCCATCTTTTTGTCTACCCACCCCCTTTCAAGCTGACGTGGGAACAAATACTAGGTTTCGAATACTGGTCCAACCCTGAAAACTCCTCCGACGGATACATTATATGGCAAACGGGTGGACAACCAACTGCCCGGCTCGGCGCTGCAGCGTTGGGTCCGGATTTGGGCCTGAACGGAACGCAGGTCGGGCAAAGGTTGATTTCATTGGAGCCGATGGTAAGTCGTTCGTCTATGTATGATTTTCCAGGTCTTAATTCTGTCTTTGATTAGAGCATCGTGTTGAATCTTGGGTTGTCGCGTGAGTCCTGTGTTTCATTTGATTGGAGGTACGCTCACCTTCATGTTCCTGATGTATTTCCCCCCTGTCTCATAGCCGGCTGGCAATCCATCAACATGAGCACACTATCTTTCCCCGCCGAGATGCGGGTTGATTATGTTCGAGTGTATCAACGACACGGAGAAACTAATATTGGCTGTAGTTCGCCTGATTTTCCAACGGAGGATTATATTAAACGACATATGGATTCATATACGAGTGCGTGCGCGTTTCTTCTTGCTTCCCTCTCGAACCCAGACGTTTTCCTATCTTTTCTTGGCCATGCTTCTTGCAGCGTGCAGGCCCGTGTGTGTATTACCGTAGGCTTGGCTGGCTGACGCGTGTTGATATCCCTGACAGACCCAAATTTGAGGCAATGGAACTATCCACGGCCAAAGAATGGATTGGTACGTGGTTATCGGTTACTTTGGGATGTATCATATGCGACTAAACCTGTCGTTAGTATGCTGGAGGGTGCTAATACTAGTTCCAGCTGTCATATACCACGCGTCTTGGTCGGGTGCGGGCGACGGGCTTGACTCTGGTGCTCGCCCCTGCTAATGAATTTGCATGTAAACTTAACATGTAGGGTATGTACATTGTAGAATTTTTTGGTTGTCTCCCATAACAAATCGCACCCTTGGCGGTTTTGTCAGGGTGGTGGTAGCCGAGATCAGGGTCCGAGTAAATCTGGGGTGGGTTTAGGTCCTTGGAGTTCTTCCCATTCAATGTTGACACAGCAAGGTTTTTGGAGGAAAAATCTGAAAGCACGTAGCTTGTCGGTCCTGTCGAATCCACGGCCGGTCTCCACCAACCTCGTTCCTTGCTTTAGCTTACGAGCCACGCAAGACATTTGTGGACTCTGAAATGTAATCAGATATCGTTGACCCATTCATCATCGGGTGAGTTGCAGCTACGCTTGCATATCCCGCGATGCGTGTGTCGTGACTCATAGGTGTCGGGTTCCTGATTAGTGGGCAATAGGAGGGAAGGGCTAACTGACTTGGCACAACACCACACAGCAACATCGATAATCGGCAGATGCTATGAACTGTTGTTACTCGCCAACCCCAGGTGGGACTCAGAGCGCACCACATCCTATTTTGCTGACACTGGTCTGTCGTACTGTTTCCGCCCACCATGGACGAACTGGATGAAGCACGCACTGAGTTGCGCCAGCTGGAAGGAGCTGAAAGAACACTCTTTATGAAGCTCGTAGAAATCCGTGCAGTAATAAAGACACAGAAAGGAAAGTTCGATAAGCTCACAAAGGAATGAAACGTCTGTCGGCTTCTTCAACAACAGCGCTGACATGTGGACCTACAGGTTATAAGTGTGCACTGCACTAATTACTTTCCGAAGATGCTGAAAATTTTACCTAAGAGCCAGTTCGGAAACTGGTGTACAACCCATTGCTGACACATGTGTCAGTTAACATGCCTGGGATGCTCCATGAACTACAAGGTATTGGCAGAGGAACGAGGACGAAGGGGAAAAGGGCGAGAGCTAAAGACGAGCACTTGCCTTTATGATTGGATAGAGCATTGAAAGTAATTGGTATTGAATGAGAGCTGTTGAGGCTCGAAGATTTAACAGTATAAGATTGACTGTTAGTCTGAGGGGATATGGCAGAAACCCCTTGGTTTATATACATGCAGGAGTGTGCACAGACCAGGTGATGCATATAGTAAGTAAAGATACTATCTACTATGTATAGTAATGAATGTCATGGAACGCTGTAGAATAAGTGGAGTAAAGTGACATCATTGTGGAGTCACTTAGCAAGCATGACATCACATGAGTCATCTTGTATTACAAGCAAGTCTACAACTGGTAAAGAGAAACACCATAAACCGGTATTTCCAACACAAGGCAGAGTTTCAACCTTCCTTCCAACTATACAATGATGATCGCTCATTGATATGATGACCTCAAACCCATTATTGCTCATATTGCTTCTGCTATGCTTTGCATTGTACATGTTGCTGGACTCCTTGTTCTTTTAGAATCAGATCAGGAGCCAGAAATGATGAGTAGTCACAAGTGGACTGATTCAGAGACTCATGCTCTCCTTGACTACCTCATTGAACACTGATCAGAACAAGGTGATACAGGCAACTTCAAATCCAGTGTATTTTCTAGTGCTGCTGCTGCAATCACTCCACCTAACTTGCCCCCCACAAGAACTGCTCAGCAGATTCAAAACAAATGGCAATGGGTAAGTGCATCCTCCTCGCACTGATAGCCTTGACTGATATCGTTATTAGTTGAAAGGGATCTATAATTCCATCAAAGGCTTCATTCAATGCTCTAGGTCTGGCTCATGGGATGAACATTTTGGTGCCAATATTGTTACACCAGCTGAAGAGAATGTATGGAATAGCTACGTTGCAACCAATGTATGTTGTCCCCTATCATTGAGCATATCAGTTCATCTAACATGAATACATCAGAGTGGATGATGTATCCTGCCCTATAAAAATGTGGGATGGCCATTTTACATGAAAATGGCACAGATCACCTCATCAGGAGGGGCACAAGGTGCTAATGTGTATGCACCATCGGAGGCCCCCTCATCCAACTGGCCCCCAAATTGGCTCAAGGATGAAGATCAAGAAACATGGCCAGGTAACTTCAACAAGCCTTCCAACAGTAACATCGGTGGCATGAACCCAGCTCCTGATCCCTTGTATATCGACTTCATGGCTGAATTTCCCACATTTTTTCCCAACCCTTCACACCCTGATCCACCGATTCCATCTGCATTGCCCAGTGTCTCAGCACCCATTGTGGTCCTGACTCAGGGGGTGGGCACACCATCAGCCAGCATCCCAGCATACCCTCCCTTCCCAATGAAGGGGCTGGGCATGCCTTCAGGGAGTGTCAGTAGGACTGGTAAGGAGAGATGCACGTTTTCTTCTGGGCCCTATCCAACTTCATACACTTCTACCCTGCCCCTGTCATGTAAACCATCTCATGGGTCTGGTTGGTCATCTGCCCAGTCCTTTGGTCCTCCTAGGAATCAACAGCCAATTCTGCCCAAACTCTCAACTGGGACCACAGTGTTTGGTCTGACTGGCGCTGTCAACTACATGACTGATCTCCTTGGTTTGATATACCATGACAGTGCAAATGCAAGTGTTGCCTCACCTGCCCCTGCCCCCACCGCCACCATCCAGCATGGAGCTGCTGCCACCAGTTCTGTTGACCACCTTTCCAAGGCATTGACCCTTCTGTCCACTGAGGACTCCTTGCTACCAGTTGAGGTAGGTGCATTTATGGTGCACACTGTTACTGCAGATGAGAAGAAGGCAATGATGTACACATCCATCACAAATACCACTCTTCATCAAGCTGTCACCAACCAAGAGTATCAACGATCAATTGCTGGTCATCTGCAGGAAGGTGGTGTTGATCAGGGGGGACCACTTTGAATTACAATGTAGCTGCATATACTTTCCATACTGACATGTACCTCTTTCATTTGTTGTTGTAATTCACGCTGTTTCAGATGACTTATCAAGAGTAATTGCTGGAATTAAGTCTTCACATTAAAAAAATGTACATGGAAGGGCAGTAGTTCCTAGGTATATTCCTCACGACTTACTCGTCCTCAGCACCATCCACATCCATGTCAGACTCGTCTTCAAGGAGCTCCATGTGTCCCACTGCCTCTCTCTCCCTCAGGATGGCCTGGTAATCAATCCACATTGCCTTGGTGATTTGATCGTGCAATGCACATGCCTCTGGATGTTCTCCATTGCCTTCCAGTACACTGGGCCCCTCCAACCCATCGCCACCTTGCACACCTGCATCAAATGGAGTGCCAAAGTCTTCTGGAAGTTTGCCTTCAAATGGATCATGGATGTGGATGAAATTATGAAGGGTGCAAAGCACTGCTGGCAGCTGCACTTGCATCTGGAGATCAAATGGTGGATTACCAGATGACGGCATTGTTCTAGGCTGAGAGGGTGCATGTAGGGTTACATACTGTAGCACATGCTGATTGATTATCACTATCGGCAGCCCGGCACAGATTATGGCTCCGACTAAATTTCGGCATGCGCCGTTAGACTCAAGCGAGCCAACATGAGTCGGTAATGCTCGGCAATGCTCTACACCAGTTTCCGAACTGGCTCTAAGGGATTTGCTACGCCGCCTTTACCTTCTAGCGCTGACTGCGGACTATATAAGGCACGTCTGGCAGGTAATACTAATTGTATAGAATTGAGATTTTCAGCCGTGTGCCGCCTTTTCTTATGTTACCCTTGTGAGTTACTTGCGGACGAGGCAGACGATGACATTCCTGGAAGAAGCTTGAGCTGGTTCAAAACGACAGCCCATATGTACATACCATAAGTTTGAACTGTGTTACATTCGAGATAAGCGGCCAGGTGACGCCGCAGCTCTGCCCGACGGCTTCGGGGCCTGTGGCCGGGCCGAGCACGACTGTGATGCAAAATCGCGCTGACTAATGTGGTAGAACGACGCGTCATGAGAGGAACCCAGAGACCAACCTGAGATTCGTTAGCCTATCCTGCACGTCTTTACAATTCAGGACAACCGGCATCACCGCCGTTTCGGCAGTGGCGCACACGCAATCTGGTTGTATATCGTCACGATCGGATGGTTAATTTCGCAGGAGTCGCAGCAGGACACACCTTCAACTCACCGTGACCTACATATAAAAGACATCTCGGGTCTTTTACTTCTCATGAAGAACTATGATGGGGATCCCTCCGGGTTTCGTCTACATCACAGGTCGACTTCCTAGCCTCGTCCGCCCTCTGGCCCTCGCCTATGTTGGCTCTAGAGTCTGGGCAGTGCTCTTCGAGGAGCCAGCCCCCCGCTGGCTGAGGGTCTCCGCGTATCTATTTTCCATCCCCCTAGGAGTGGCATGCAGTGTCTTGTGCAGCTACGTACGTGACAGGAGGGAAGCAGCGCGTCGAGGCGCTGTCCTTGCCCCGCGGGTGAAGAGTATGTGGCCCGGTGGCTTGGACATCATTCTCTCAGTCGCTCAGGACTTTCGGAACGTGCACATGGGTATGTTCAGCATGGCGTTTCTTGATTTCGCTCATGGTACCCTTTGTGGCTGACGAAGCGCGAGCGTTTTAGGAGCACCAATTGACCAATACTGTCAGGAGTATGGTCCTGTCGTCAATGTCAGGCTCATGTTCGAAGATCAGGTTAGATTCCTTCGCACATTTGGCTATCTCTATCTGAGATCGCGGATAGATTTTGACGACGGAACCCGAACATATCAAAGTAAGACACCTTATCGTCCCGTTACCATCGTACCGAGCAGCGACTGTCAGGCAGTTCTTGCTACGCAGTTTAATTCCTTTGAGAAAGGTGGGTTGCGCCCTACGTCAACTGGAGTGACATGTTTTACAGCAGCGTTAGGGCCGGTGTTCTGGGACCAATTAAGCACGCTACTTGGAACTGGAGTATTCAATTCGGACGGTACACACCTCCCGCCTTACCTAATCCATGCCCGCTAACATGTAAAGTTCGTTTGGGATGCAGGCGAGACATGGAAGTGCGTATACGAGCCCCATCTACATAGATTGTCACATGCTCAGACGCATTATGAGCTAGGTTCCATCGCTCGATGACACGACCATTCTTTAGCAAGGATCGGATTAGTCACTTCGATATATTCGAAAAACATGCAGAAAACGCTCTCAGCCAAGCAAAAGCCAGGCTCCGAGAGGGCTACCCAGTGGATTTCCAGGTAAATGACACTGCAACTCAAGGGTTACTTTAGTGATCGGTCGTTCATGCAAGGATATGGTTGGTCGATTCACCCTTGACTCGGCAACTGAATTTTTGTTCGGGAAATGCGTTAACTCTCTTTCCGCTGGACTGGTTTATCCAAAAAATTCCTTCCTAGGAAAAAATATGGATTACATAAACCATCCTTCGAACGTATTTGTGCGTGCTTTCTCGGAAGCGCAATCTCAGGCTGCGTTCAGGAGTCGTTTCGGTACGTTTTGGCGGTTGGTTGAGTTCTGGCGCGATCGTGTCCGGAGTGAAATGGAGGTTTGCTACAAGTTCATCGACCCCGTCCTTAAGGAAGCTATGGAAGCGAAGAGATTGATGAAGGAGAGTGAGCAATCCACAGGACAAGAGCAAGGGGCTTTTGAGGATACACTGCTAGGACATCTCGTTAACTGCACAGAAGGCAAGGTGTTTCTTTATCCTTGAATCTCCACTCAGCGATTTGTTACAGATCCCACTGTCATTAGGGATGAGATCGTCAACATCTTATTAGCGGGCCGTGATACTGTAGGTTGTCTGGTTTATCTTTGCTTTTATTTCTCAAGCCAAGCCATGCTAGACGGCCTCCACTTTGACATTCTTGATTTATATGCTTTCTCAACACCCAGAGGTTCTGAAACGGCTTCGTGATGAAGTTCTCAGCAAGGTTGGGAGTTCCAGAAGACCGACGTACGATGACGTTCGGGACATGAAGTATATGCGAGCTGTCATCAATGGTACGTTCCTCCGTGTTTTGTGTCGAATAGTCGTCATATGACAATGCGCAGAAACTCTTCGTTTGTATGCTCCCGTGTAAGTTGCCCGTTGGTCGTCTGATCGCTAATACCTGACCACACCCTTTTCAGACCTTTCAACGTTAGGTTAGACGAACTGCCGTGAGGAGGGTCTTGATGTGACGCGCCTGATGCGCTTTCTACTTTATAGGACAAGCGTTGAAGCCACAGTATGGCCCGGCGTAAACGGAGGACCACCTATTTATATCCCACCAAACACGCAGTCAGTGGTGCACAGAATCACACGTATGATCTACTGATACATAACAGGACCCCATATTCTGTATTCCTTATGCATCGTCGGAAAGATCTCTGGGGTCCCGATGGTCGGCTCCTCATATTTACCACCGATCAGTAACCGAGACTGACTAGCTTTCAGCCGATATCTTCGATCCGGACCGCTTCCTCGATGAACGATTGAAATATCTAACTGCGAATCCGTTCATATTTCTCCCGTTCAACGCAGGCCCCAGAATTTGTCTGGGCCAACAAGTGAGTGTCGTTGTCTTTGTGATATTGCTGGCGAAGTTGATTAGGGTCTGCAGTTCGCGTACAACGAAGTGTCGTTTTTCCTCGTCTGCTTGTTGCAAGCTTTCTCTTCTATAACATTAGCAGAGGACGTCCAGACCCAACGTCCTGCAGAATTCCCCAAAGGCCTTGGGCGCAACTCACAGGAGAAAGTGATTATCAGACACCAGCTTACCTTGTGTGTACATGTGAGTACTGGCTTTCCAGGAACTCCATTGAACAAAGCAAGCTGACTGTTTACGCATTTCTGTTCATATAGGATGGCCTATGGGTGAGAATGGGGGAGGCTGATCGTGCTGACAATATGTGATAGTGGACCCCACTGGACACTGACAAAGCATATGTAGATGGCTATGTGGTAACGTTGTCAAGGTTGTTGTAGTACAAGCAACCACGTCTAACTGCGGATTTGGCTCACACTGATTGAAGTAACAACCCCAAGATTACGAGTGATCGGGCGCAGTAGTATCGATTCTCATTTAGGCCCCTACCACCATACCTAGCCTACGGGTCAGACAAGCCAAGCATGCTGCGGAGGACTACTTATAATATTAGCAGATTGGTTGTCGGGGAGCCAGGGAGTCGACAATTGCGGGAGCAGCCCGTCGGGATCCAGAATTCCAACCATAAGTTCAGTACTAGCATACGTGGTACAGGCTAATCCAATTGGTCATGCTAAGCCCACCCTCTAACCTTTCTCCGTCCCGTTGCACACACCGTACTCCAGATTACTGCTTCGCTGTTGGGGGAAGGCTTCCGCCATCGTTGCTATCACCACTTCGCGGTATTTATTCTTTGTACCTGATAAACATATAGGTCATGTACATTGTAGAATTCGGCCATTTCCCCTTACCTTTCGGTGACTTCGTCAGGGTGATGGCAGCCAAGTTCGAGGTTCAAGCAAGTCTGGACCTCCCCGACATTTCCAATCTGCTGAGGAGAGATCTGAAAGCGTGGCATAACTACCCGTGCGCGCCCGTACAACTTCAGCCGTCAACCTCCCATCGCTTATTGTCGATTCTTTTCGAAGTCGCGGTCGGTCTCCAGCTAGATCCTATGATATCACTACTTTGACCTCGTCCCTTGTGTTGGCTTGTGAACCGCGCAAGACATTTGTGGAGGTCGACGATCACCAGTTGCCAAGCACTGGTACGTCGTAGTCTTTGGGCCACTTCAACGCCAGCGCCGACATGTGGACTTACAAGTTTCAAGTTGCGCACAGTACCATTTATTTTTCGAAGCAGACATCAAGTTCGCCACGCTACCTTTTTGCTCTCGAACCGAGCGCAGATTATGGGAGGTTCATCCGACAGGTAAGACTTTCTCGATTTTAATTGTGTAGAATTGAGACTTTGTGTGCAGCGCAGCCCTTTCTTTTGTTGTCCTTGTCGCATCAAGCTTCCCGCAGGATGTTTGTGCCACGCACCATGAACGTAACCTCTATGTGTGGATGTCCCAGAGAACAACACCGTAAACTGAGCTACTCAGGATGTCGGTGGCCGACAAGTACAACGGTTGCCATCAAAAGCATTGTTAGGTTGCCCGGTCCCGAATAATTTCGTCTTGCATAGCATGAGGAACTCCTCATGTTATCGCTGGCTTAGTCTCCCCTAGACAAACCAAAGACTCGACGGAAGACAGTTATAGTTGGTTGTGAACGAGATGGGAATTACTAGAGCCATTTGTGGAGAATGCAACTGCAGTTGGTGCCTCAATCAACGCCGCTCGCATCCATTCTCCAATAAAAACTGCATCCGGCGCTCTTCTAAGTAACTGAGGCCTCAGGAGGTGAGCAATCGACGGACTGAAGTCTGAAGCTTAAGGTATTGTATCGGTTGGTTTGAAGCCATTATCCGTTATTTCACTTATTATTCAACTCATGTGTAGTCGGATGCAGTGTTTTACTCGAGCGGTGTCAAGTACATTCCAGTAATGCACCCTACGATAAAGTACGTGACCGGTATTGATCTATTCCACTCGCCACGACTCCACCGATCCAACCATCGTACACGATGATCGTCCTGTCCACCGTATCAGCTCACCCCTTAACCAATCGTCGCTCACTTCGTAATCCAACCTAGGTATCGTGCTCGTCTCTATGATTCAGCGTGCATTACAGTGTTCGGAGCGTTGAGCCACAGTGTGGCCGTTTTAATCATATACACCACGAGTACTAAGTTCCGTGCGTATTAGGAGGAACCTCACAGTCATATACGTACCCTTACAGTCGCCCCACTTCGACCGCCAACCGGGCCACCATTATTAAAGCGATCGCTAAATCCTAATGATTATTTTTGCCATTCCATCTCTCACCGGTGCTTTCGGTTGTTGTGCGACGCTGAATGTACTGAGCGCAATCCGTTGGCGACTTGGAAAACGCGCATGTTGACCTACAGGAACACTAGTAGCAAGCGATGACGACGGGGCAGGAGCATGAACTATTCTGAACCCTGGTTACCGCTGTTACCTTGATTCACTCTGCTGGTGTCTTCGCCCACGGAGTCACTATCCTCTGTCATGCGGATATGACAGTCGGCCGAGGAGATTGCCTTTGTGCGGCGTCCACTCTCTTGGTATGACTAACAATCCAAGGCAAGGTGCGAGACCGGTTGTCAAACTTTGTATCACAGCCAACAGAAGGCCTCAGAAGGCTCGTGTATTTCTACAGCTTGCCCTCAACGTGGCATCCTTGGATCTATCACCTTCCACTCCACAGGAGTAGGTTATTTGGAATGATCTAATTAATTATCCTCCGTCCCTGCCATCTTTGACAGGTTTCTTGTGCTATATACGGTCACCAGACGTGTGCCGAGTCTCATGGCTAAGCCTCTTTCACGGAGGAACCATCCCACGATAATATCAGCCGCGGAGATTACTCTTCCAACTGTCGAGGGAAAACCTCTGGGGGATGGGCAGCCCCTCCTCATCTTCAGGGCGATGCGGCCGCTGTGCTCGACTTCATGTCAATACTCGTTTGGGCTAGCTCCAAAACTAGCTGTCGACGACCCTTTTGCATTATTGGCAATTGCAGCATCCAACTTGGCCTTGCTGCCAAAGTGAGCTGCCTCGCTCCCCAGCATGGGAGGATAGGTCTCAATATTAGTTCATTCTACAACTAGGAGGGTGGGTATTCCAGCAAGCATTGTTGCAACACAAGCAAGTACCATTTTCTTGGACGTCCCAAATGGTTTCCTGTTCTCTCCTGTTTACCAATCAAATGCCATGATACGCCAAAAGCAAACCAACTGTCAGCGTCAAAAACGTCCGACACCGCAACGCGGTATGTTCTATTGTGTCACCTGTAACGGTGCTTTCGCCGAAGGGACTTAGCAGACTAACTTGACTCGGTTGTACCATTGACTCCGTTCGATTGGGTGCTGACTCGCATATGCCTGCTCTCGAGGTATAAAAGGGGACCTCGTTCGTTCTTCATCCCCCAGCAATTTGCTCTGAACTCGCGACTAACCACTCTCGTATGTCCTATATACGAGTATTGCCATACAGAGTTCGTAGCTGATGTCGGCACTCCCGTTTTGCAGACAACCAACCAATCTATATCAACATGTCTCCCAACTCTGACAAGTGCAACTGCAACTCCAAGTACGTCTCTGTGTATCGACGAAGTACTCTGTGACAAAATAGCTGACGCACTGTGTACTTCACTAGCTGCAGCTGCCAGGCTGGTGCTTGCACCTGCAAGCAGTGAGTGCCTCTATTGAGGTCGCACGACTGCGTCTGTGGCCGTGAATATTTGGGATGCGGTATCTTGGAGAGAAAATTTCAGAAAATCCTACAAAAAAAATAGATGTGTATGTTCTGGTGGTGCATGTTGTTCGAATATGATGTTGTTTGCTGGTGTACATCTCGACGCGTGAGCACGAGACATCAGTTGCAGGGATCGGCAATGGACTTTGCATTAGGACGTGCCCAACCATTACCCGTTTGGATTTGAAACGGTAGCCTTTCACTGATCCCACCGCATCTGCAAGCTGGCTCTTCATGGGGAGGGGCGTGAGTGAGTCTTTGGGTGCTTAGTTCATGTACCTATCACTCAGTCACGGACTGCAGGTCATACCGTCATATAAGTACCCGAAACAAAAACCTGTCCTCCGATGGTTACTAACCGGGAAAAGGAGATGCAGTGAATGGCCTGGAATCGGTCTTTGCTAAGGGGATGGTGATCCTGGACACTTACAAACAGTGCCGTCGGGTGCGGGATAAAGTGGCGGTGCTGATTTATCGGAGGATACACAACCCCCCCCCTGAGGATATACGAGATTGCATGTGAATAATCGCTCGTGATGGATCTGCGGCTGGGAGGAATTGAACTACACGACCTCTAGTGAGAAGCCGTAGGGAGGCGATGGTGCGGTCTGCATCCCCAGGGGAAGAAGCAAACCCTAAACGGCGAAGTTGCGCGGATCCCAGGCGAACAGTCCAGGGCCAGGTTGCAACCGATGCGCAATGATTCTGCTGTCCGGCAAAGTCGCTCGTTGGAAAGGCGATAAGCAAAAGGGACAGCTGACACGATTTCAGGGCATGCGTCACCTTGTATTGACAGACGGGACACCAACGAGCGGGATGAGCGGGATGCCGCCGTCGCCGAACACGACTCTTGCCACCACCCGGAGCGATTCCGGAGCGGGGAGTCGGGAGTGATATCCAAAATTGGAAGTAGGCGTGAGACCCGAGTCTTCCCACAGGACCGGTTGAGTTTCCCGATAAGGAAGTATCAGGCGGGTAGCAGCGGATTCCCCGAAAAGGTGATTCGGATCTCCTAATGCATCTCGTGGGCCACCCTCTCGCCTCTTGTCTTCGCTCGTCTCCCTCTATCTAGTGCATCCATCATGGCCTCTGCTACACCACCAGTTGAACCAGCCATCGCTGTGCCACAACCAACAAAGGGCAAGAAACCGCCCTACCCATTCTACTTGGGTGGTCTCGCCGCAACCATCGCAGCGTCAATCACTCACCCTCTCGATCTCACCAAAGTTCGCCTACAGGCATCTGGCGAAAAGCGTATGATAGAATCTATGCGTAAGACTGTACGGACCGCAGGCGTACGTGGCCTCTTCGATGGTATCTCTGGCACGTGGCTGCGACAGATGAGCTACTCTCTCTGTCGTTTCTGGGCCTACGACGAGAGTAAGAAAATCCTTGGGGCTGGCCCAGACAGCCCTCCATGGGTATTGGCAACCGCAGGAGTCATGGGTATGCGTGTCACCCACATCGTAATCTACCATCGTTAACTCACTTGTGCAACAGCTGGCAGTATCGCAGGTGTAGTTGGAAACCCTGGGGAAGTCGTCATGGTATGTAGGCCAACCCCGCATTCTCCTCGTGCCTATAACGTAACTTTCCCCACACCACCGCCACAGGTTCGCCTCCAAGGTGACTTTGCAAAACCACCCGAAAAGCGTTTCAATTACAAGCATTGTTTCGATGCTGTGTACAGGGTGAGTTCCGTCGACCTTCCTTCTTACTCTTTCACTTGTTGCGTATGTGCACTGCACTCCCAACCGCTTTTACTTCGGCTGAGTGGTCTTGTCGGCTGGATTGGGGGCGGACTTTCTGAGTTGCCGCAACTCCGCACCCCGCATACAGTCGTCTCGCTTGGACCCCCGAAGGCTGCTATATAGCTTGCGACCATGCTCTTCGCGTGGGAATTCATGACACGTCCGATGTGCTCCGATATGGTCTGCCAGAGAGGCATTATTAGTCGATCCGCGCGCGCCGCCAGCCTGATTCACGAATACAGGGTGGATGGGAGGATGCAGTGACCAAAACGTGTCGGATGTGTCTTGAATAATCGATGACATCATCTCGGTAGGGCATATTTGACAAAACCTGGCGTGAAAACGGCGCTAGTCTCTTTCATGGCAATCACTTGAAGAGTGAGCCAGGGAGTGGGAGAGGTAATGAAGGGGGGAAGGCAATGTGGACGAACTCCTACCGTGTCTACGAGGCTATAGTTCCCGTTTCGTCAGGCTCCTGCTGCGACTTCCTCGTTTCCACCACCGCATGCTCGAAAACGCGTGCCGGTCGTGAGCATTTGCGCTTTTCGCTGGAATATAGAGGCGGAGAGGAGGTTGGAACAGTGACGCGGGCGGATGGAACGCGAGCTGAGGAAAAATTTGCTCGACCTAGGTTTCCCAGCCTCGGCGCTTGCGGAGGTAGTGGGGAACTTACGTCAAATGCCAACCGAAGTCGCAGGCCCCTTTGCGAGTGTCGGCCGTTGACGACCCGGAGGGCAGCTGATCCATGTGGACAGTTTATTAGTTGCAGGGTGTATCTTTTCTTTATTTGTCTTAATCTGCTGCTTGCCTTTGCGACCTTTTTGTTTGTTCCTTGATGTTGTTGATGGTGAAACTGATCTGTTTACCTCGCATGCATCGCCATATCCGTTGTGCCCGCGTTTGACCTCACCTGCACTGAATACGATGACCAGATCGTCCGCGAGGAAGGCGCTTCGTCCCTCATGCGCGGTGTTGGACCGAACGTGATCAGAAGTGTCCTGATGAACGCAAGTCAGCTTGCTTCGTACGTGCCATGGCTGTCCACGTATCGTTGGGCACATCTCATATCAATCAATAGATATGACTTCTTCAAATCCCAACTCCTCAAGACGAATTACTTCCAGGACAATGCTGTATGCCACTTTACGGCCAGTTTTGCCGCGGTATATACCTTCACATACGGTCTCCTCGATGTTTCTGACGGGTCTCATTGTACAGGGTACAGTAGCAACAACTGTCTGTTCCCCTGCAGATGTCCTAAAAAGTAGGATCATGAATGCCAGTGGACCTGGATCTAGCGTGCGTTTTTGGATTCTGACGTTAAAAAAGTGTTGATACGACGCTGATGCTCTGTCACCGATCTAGTCCACATTCAACGCCATTCGTGCGTCGCTTGCCAACGAAGGGCCCATGTTCGTGTTCAAGGGCTGGGTCCCTTCCTGGACACGTCTCCAGCCAACGACAATCCTCATTTTCCTTACACTGGAACAGTTGAGGCGGATCGTAGATTGGCAGCGAGGGACACTCTAAGTGTGCTGCCCTAATTCACCCCCATCCGCCATCATCTTTTGCTTATATCTACCGCATTCTGACTTGACTACTTCTTACTCCCGTGTATTCTGTAGGGCATGGCGTTTCATGTTGAGGAAGCGTTGTTACATCTTGACCCTGTTCTGTCTTGGAGCGTGGAGCTTGTTCGCTGCTTGTTGTTATTGTTGTTTTGATTCCAATAGCCCCGTCTTAGAGAGACAGTCTCTGCTTGGCTGCTGATTGTTCATACCCTAGGACAAGCGTTACATCATTCCCTAGAACCATGTTGCGTAGCTGCTGGGGAGCTCTCGAAACGGTCGGGCGAAGAGAGTCAGTGAATGCCTGAAGTAGAAAGAAGAAAAGAGATCGGTATCATCGACAGGGGAGGGAAAGTCTCGGGGAGTCAATGCGTATATATCCGATTTATACATGTCGAAGACGATGTCGTGCAGGGTGAGACTTGCGGAGGAAGAATATATTTGAAATAACTTTGTAACGTCGTCGAAGGCGGACAGTGTAGATAACAGTAACGATGTTGTTCAAGCACTTACACGCAAGTCCTGGATTTTCTTCGGTTATATCGCGGTGTGATCTGGCGCCGCAAGCTGCACCCCGAGGAAGTCAGGGAAAAGGACTGTAACGATAGGGATACATCTCAAGGACATCGCTCCCTGCCCAAGCGTCGGAGGTGTTGGTACTGGCATCATCCCTCGAAGGTTTACACTGAACACAAATCACATTGCACTTATACAGACTTCAAATACAACATCCTTTTTTGTGGGTTCTCCGAAGTTTTCTCTCCAATACGTCAGAAACTCCTAGAACCACCGCATTGCATTGACTCAGAGGGGCGAGATGGGTTTACTGCTTGCAGGAGCAGCTACCGGCGTTGCAGTTGCAGCTACAGGGAGAAGAAAAGAAGAAAGACTGATCAGCGACCCTTCCATACCCTCGACAATCACGAGTAACACCCACCCAGCGACGTTGCAGTTGCACTTGTCGGACATGTCGAAATAGATTGGTTGTGTCTGTTCAACGTGAAGCTCGGTGAGCGACGAACGTTGCACTTCAGTGCAAGACAGACAGTACGTACAAGAGATGATCGAGTGGTCGCGAGTATCAGAGCGAATTGCTGAGGATGTCGAATGCAAACGGACCCCTTTTTATACGTCTAGGCAGTGGCTGGCGGCCAAGTCCGCAGCTTGAACAATTGGGTGATAGCGTAGACATCGGAATTTTCCTGAGTTGCTGTTCCTTGATCGTTGCTCCGGCACCCACGCCAATAAGCCATTATGAGCAATAGTAGTAGAAGTGGCGTGTTATCAAGGCGTCGAAGAGGTGCTGCAATGCGGCAGTTGCTGGAGAAAGTCTGAGCAGAGAAGCAGGACAACGTGATCGAAATAATATTACCCCCAATGCAGCGACAAAAGAAGACATCAAGGGTCATTCCCTCGTTCTTTCATTGGGGTAAGGAGCTATTCTTATTTTATGTGCCAGTTGTGACGCGGGGTCAGGGATCATATCCAAGGCGTGACTGTCTCATTGAACGATATTGGCACGACTTCGCAAGCCAAAATGGTAACGCCCATTCCACTGGCAGAGTGTGGCATTTCGTCCCACCTTGTTAGGAGGAAGCTGTCCATTTTAGTTCCGGTGCGGTTTCTGATGTGGAACATTGATCTCCGCTGAACAGCTATGGCAAAGACGGGTCGCCACGGGGAAAATATTTATATATTCCGCAAAACGTTTGGCCGGTTGTCCAGAGCGGAAGTTGCATTCCGGACGTCTGGGACTGGGTGGTGTTGATGGAGTGGCGGCGAGCATAAGTAAGGGAAGGTATTGCTCCATCATTTGGTAAACCCCACAACTTCCGGGCAGCTGAGTTGACAGTGTGTTTGGTTGGTTGTCCATAGTGGTAAGGGCATCAGTTGCAGCTCAAGGCATTGGTGCATCGATTAAAGTTCGATACGTTGCCTCCGCGTGTGCTCTCATAGTAGTTAATGCAGGGACATAGTAAGGATGCCATCAATATCAGGTGACGGTGGGTACGCACCAGAACTTCGGCCTCTTGGGGTGTGGAGTTGTCGTGGGCAAGGTCTTAGCGTGCCGCGCACTCAAGAATTCGGCCGGAGTTAACCGATAGTTAACCTCGGTTTCCTAGTCTAAAGCTCGTCGAGTACCAGTATTGATTGAAAGGGATCCAAGTCGAGAGCATGAGTAAGGTTCAGTATTGTAGCCTGACAGCATAGTGACGACCTTCGTCCATTGCAAATGCACTGGGACCTGGTGTAGGACGACCGTTTTGGACAGTGACTGAGCCTTTGAATGCAACATGCGGAGTCGAGATTGTCAACCAGCGAGGTGGAACCAGGCATAGGGAAGGTCGGTGGCAAGCTGAAAGGACGTACGAGACGACGGGTGGTGAGCTTTAAAGAAGTGAATTTAGAGCCCAGACACTGACCGCGAAGGTAGGCTCACTACACTCCATGACTGTGAGGGTAGCCGACTGTGAGGGTGCGAGATTTTCTTTTCTAAATCGACTTTGGTAGAATTCAGCGACTACCGTAGTCCAGTACTTACCTTCGACTCCTCAAGTACATGCATCTCTCAGTACCCTTCCTGCCTTCGCCTTGGTCGCAAACCACCGTTACTTTGCGGAGTGCACAGCACTGTACTTGAGCGAGTCCCCAAGAAAGGTCCAATTTGCGAGGCGGATGGCGTTATCTTGTCCAGCTATTCTTCAAATGACCTCATCGTTCTTCTGAAACTCGTACTCATGTATGTGCTCGCCTACAAGGCTACTACCTAACCCCAACGTCGCTTTCACGTCCATTGAGCTGGAACAAGAAAAAAGAGATGAAAAGGGCGTTGCGTTCCTCAGTACGACGCGATGGTAACTATGTACTTCAGAACTCGAATGTTTGGTTTTGTTCGCCCAATCTTCTTCCTCGGCGACTTCAAATGACCTTGCAAGTAACACAGTTTGACATTCGCAGTACGTATTTGTGGCAGGTGGTTGTGTAAACGGTGCAAGGTTTCGTGACGCCATCTCCAAGCACAGTGATACCTAAACGGTTTACTACCAGCGACCCATGCTAATGTGGCGAGCATTCCACACGGGAAACCACTCGTCGTAGTCCCCCAGTAAGTTTCGATATTTATCTCTCGCTTATGTGGTGGGAGGGTAGACCGTTTATGATTCATTGTGTCCAATACAGATATCGCTCCAGGCTGCAGCTTACATTCTAGGCTTCTTCTGAATCTCCGGCCTTTTAGGACAAACGTTTGCTGCTTGCACTGCAGCAAAACAGGCCCGTCAGCGATTCTGCCCAGCATCCATGCCAACAAAAAAGGCATAGTGAGGAGGTGCGGCTGTACTTTTCGCCATTGGGCGACATGTTAATACATAGCTTTGCTTGGTTGCTACGTTTGCATCTGGCGTCTGGTGAGTGTGAGCCTCCCGCACAAAGCAATTTGATATCAGAGTAATTTTCAGGGTTGTTCGAGCGGAACAAGTCACGTTTTACGGAGAGCCTGGTTGGTGTTATCCCCAGATTCTCCACTCCGTATTGCACTGATCGCAAACTCGGGCCTACCTTGCTGAAGTTCGCTGTCGTGGCATATTTCGCGCACCAAAACTAGTGTAGCCGCGAACTCACCCGATTGGTCTGTCTCATCTTTCCCCTGCAACATTCCTGACACTTGACCTTCCTTCCGGTCTCCGCTTATCAGAGTTCTGCCCCCCAGATGATCAATGTCGTTTAAATCTGGTATTTCATATTATCCAGCACTAGTCACCATTGGTTATCGACAACTAGCTCGGTTGCCATCGCAGCAGGGTTGTATCTGACCAGATATGACCACGTCGGTTTGATCCTAGCCTCCAATTCATTAGGAGCCAATAAAGCTAGCTCACAATGGCACGACTGCGTAGATAGGCAAGTCGCTCTGGAAGTCATCTTCCAGGCCGCCCCGTACCCATGCTGATTCATAAACTAGACCACATTGGGCAAACAGTTGCAACGTGCGATCAGGGATGGAAGGTTTCACAATACTTCTAACTTGGGAGCGGTAACTCTCGTTTTTCCTGTTATAGTAACCCTGCAAACCGTTCGCTACTGTGAGACTGTGGAATACTGCAAGAAAACATCAGAGGCCGATATAGACTTCCAAAATGATTTCTATATCAGATATCTGGATGCATCTTCTGCCGTCCCAACAACCAGTACAACTGTTGTAAGTTCCAAGACAGTCTCATCTTCCAATGGCACTGCATCTCAACTAGATGCTCCTGACTTCACCGCAGTAAAATGCCAAACACCAAACGGCACGCATCACCAGACAGGCGGAATTATTGTTCCCACTAAGAGGTTTATCGCAGCAAATGATCCAGACACTTCCAAACGCGCTCAAAGTAATATTGGTTTTCTTGGTTTTCTCATACATAGCTCAACACTGGGACAAACGGCATAGTAATCAAACAACCTCTAGGAGGCGAGGAGCATTTAGTGCTTGCAGGCGCAGGTGCCAGCGGGACAGCTGCAGTTGCCAGCAGAGCAGCCACAGCTACAGGGAGAAAAATGGCTGGTCAGCAAGCCTGCACACAATAAACGGCTGCAAAATGGCACTTACTTAGCGTTGCAGTTGCAGCCAGAAGACATGTTGACAATGGATATGGGCTGGTTGGTTATGTCTGCTCAACATGAAATAGGATGAGGGCACGCTCTACAACATGGCAGGAACAGGACGTACGAAGGATGTGTAAGTGGTCGCAGATAGCAGAGAAAGTTGCTGGGGTTGCTGGAAAGTGCAGCTCCTTTTAAACGTTGGACAAGCGGCTCGTCCCGTAGGTCCCGTCGGATCTGGTATCGCTGACACTTGGTCACATGACGGTGTAGATGATGCCTTATCGGAGGCAGGATAGCGTGCACTAGCACAAACCACCTTTTGTGGTAAGTCCAAGGTTTCCTTGGAACAGTCTGCGAAGGTTCACAGCACAAGGACACCAAGGTCACGAATACAGATGTGACTCCTTTCAGTCATGGTCCCCGCATAGCCCTACCGCTCAGTACATTGTGACATTAACACATGTCCCCCTTGCCCAGACGCGGATCACGGTACACTCACAGGAATGCACAGCATCTAGTTTCCAGCTAAGGTTGTGAAAGCACGTGAGTGGCGCAAGCCCAAAGAAGAGTGGTGCCAAATGGTGGCCCGTTTGACGTACGAGTACTTTTTGTTACTCCCTCGCTCCACCTGCTTGTTGTTTGTTCCTACAGCTCCATCAAACTCTGACACGAATCATCAAGATAAACAATGTCAGAAACAAAAAGAAGTTCTACGAGTAGAAAGGATAGCCCAAAGTTCCGGATGATAGGTGACGGCCGTGTATACATCGATGAAGGACGTGCGAAAACATTTTATTCCCCGCTGTGCGGCATCGTGTTTGAAGTGTGCTGTCTGAAACTTGCAGTTGTTAACGCGATAATGACGTGACAGGCTGGGTTTTAGACAAGTAAGTTGGACGAGTGATGTACGGGCAATATGAGCTTACCATACCTTCGGATTAACTAGCCCAGAGCGATACAAAGGAGCCCCCCGCAGGGACCCTTATCCACATCCCAAATTTGACGAGGTCTCTGCACACGGCAACTTCCGCCTTTGGATAGCGGGACACTTCGAACGTGACTCAAACCGCATAGTCAAATACGCCACTCGGTAGGTAGCGACCGGTATTGACAATGGCATGGCATAACCGCGATGGAGACTACCTGTGCCCGTAGCACCCAACACTAACGTAGCAATTCAAGCGACGGATGGGTACGGACTGCGGAAGCAAAGAATTAGCTTGATCCTTGAATAACTCGTGGATTTAGTGCAAGCAGAGCTTCAGGAACTAAAAGTGGGTTGTAGTCATGCTGAGACCCTCTCCGCACTCCAGAAATGCAGAAGGTTTCAGAACGAAGGTGACGGTGACTGATGCAGGAGTCCTGTCTCTTATATCTGTCTGTCTGTCTCTTTGACTGTGAGGGTGGAATAACTGCGAGGGTAAGTCGCTCCAATGATGACTGTGAGGGTAGGGTTCGCTCGCTGATCGTCACAGTACAAATACAACGCTCCTAGCAGATTTCAGGTGATGGCGCTCGTCTGAGCTGCAGGAATACCAACCTCTTTCTACGACCTCGATCGCAAGCGAAAATCGTGCACCCCGTGCCTAGAGATTCGGAAGTTATCCCCGGAGTCGACGTCAGAGGAAGGCTCTGCGAAGGCGAATTTTAAAGCGGCCGGGTCCGGCCCGTCGAAAGGCATCGATGTGCTTTCGACCAGTACCAGACGGAGCCGCTGGAGCCTATCAAACAGGGTTTCCTTAAACTCTTAATGGAGGTTATAGCATCGTTCAGGATGCCCAGAAACAACGCAAACATGTTTATCGCAGGGCTGACCCAGACATCGGGGGCCCAGACTAATGTAATAGTGGGTTCGTGCCGCCAATTCCAAATTTCGCTAACTTAAAGATGTTGAAAGTGCGTGCGGGGCTCACTTAAAATATTGAAGGAATCGCTGAGCCGGTTTGATGAGATAGCGGGTGGCCCCGAACTTACTTCAAACTTGTCGAGGTGCTAGCACTAGATCAGTGGGGACACAATAATGCTGAATTCGCAGTAGGCTGTTAAAGGAACGCGCTTTCCTCCAACGAGAACTCTGTGGTATCGGGATACTTGATTCATCGATGAGGATCGGTGCTGCAGCGAGGCCGCGCTGATACATTGACTGCCCTCGTGAATAGGCTCGACGGTTTCAGCGATACAGCCGGTGAAGCCGATGTTCGAGTGACGAGTAAGGCGGAAGCGCAAGATCTCTGCCGGTGCCATCCAGTCCCCAGGGTTCGCTATGGTGACTGATTCCTTCCACTATTGGAGCCCTGGATCGTATTTCATTTCATAAGAGAGAACAGGATCCGGTGCTTCGACTAGCCACCCGCACAAAGTGCTCATGGCGAAGTCGTTTCTTATCAAGATCCGGGAGTTATTACTGTTATCACCGTGAAATCTCCCCTCGTTGTGTACTCCCCTTGTATGAGGTTCTATCGCGTCCAGGAGCAACAGTGGACATAAATCGCTATGTTGACGACTACGTACGATCCAGCCACCGTTTGGCTTTCACCAAGGGCCCAAAACTACCACCAGTGAGGTGACGATAGGTCGCGCTCTTATCCCCTCCGACTACCTTTATTTTCCCACCTTGCTGAACCCACCGCTACTCCCCTCCATACGCAATGGGCTTAGATGCGCCGGCATCGCGGAGTTTGGTCCATATACCACTCTTGACAAAGCCTGCTCGGTATAATACAATGACGTCCTCGCCAACTCTGCAACACCGGCCACAGCTTCCAGCCCCGTCGCAAGTGTTATGAGGTAAGACCTCAGTAGTACAGCAAAGTGGAGGTGGTGCAATCACAACCTCCAACACGACAAACGCAGCTGGGGGGCATCAGCTCGGGGACGACGACACGAAGAACGGTGGTTGCCTTACGTAGCAGTGCATGTGCATTGATCGCCAATGTTCGACGAGGCGATAGGAATTTGACCGCATGCGATGTGCGGCGACTTCAAGAGGTTCCTGATGATGGAGAACATTGCAAATCCTGGGAGAGTTCCTCGCCTTTGTAGGTTTGGTGTTTGGAGACCTCCAGCGCCAAACTAGAGCAAGCAGTCCGAGTGCCACTTAACCAGGGAAGTAAGTAGTTCCGCAAAGTATCGGACATTACTTACCAGCTGTGGGGGAGTTGACAACCGTGTAAGCTTAAGTACCGTTCAAGTAATCATTATCCAAGTGATGAGTTTCCAAGTTTGTGGGCTACACATGTAACCCTTTTCCGTGTTCACTGGGTCCTCCCCTGCCAGGGAGGCAGAACTAACGGTTTATGGTTAAATGAAGCACTTCCCTTGTCACTTCATTTTGGCTGCTCCAACACTAGGTGCCTCAGACTGTTTTCCCAGGTTTTCCCCTGGACACAAAAACAGCTGCCGTCGCCACTAGGGTTGAATTATGATGCGCATCGCTGCGGAGAATTCAGAAGGCACTCAGTGGCCCCGTGAACAACGTTCCAAGCGCTGACGCGTATCTAGTCTTTCTACCTATACATAGCGCATTGAGTACTCACGTGACTAAACTTAAGTGAGGGGTAATCTCCATCGTTGACGTTGCTATTTAGTAGCGAAGAGAACGCTCAGAGACATTGTAGGACCTGCTGCAGGGAAATCTAAAGATGAGGGATATCAGATGCGAGGTCCGCCGAATACCCAAATACTGAAGGATTTTGTGAGACCTGCCTTGTGTACAGACGCGTCCCACCGCTAGCCTGTTTGGCCTTCAGCTGGCATCGTATCCTCGCATACTACATAGTAAGCAACCACAGTCAGAAACACGTCAGAACGTGGAACTCACCAGCACCGACGAACATCGCAAGTCACTTAGCACCGACCGAGTTGATTCACGTTTGCAGAATCCTTCACCGTGAGACCGAAGGATATTTTTCCTGCTGGTAAATGTCACCACTAAGGAACCCTGAAGGAAATGTATATGTGGAGTTCTTGCTCATCTCCGTCACCATATGATTCTTTTAGTCAGGTCACGAACACTGTTGTGCCGCCCCTACGTCAAAGTTATTCCGCACCAAAACGAATGCTCCTCGATGAATGCACCTCATAAGATTAGGCATTCAGTCAGCGGCTTGCTATGGAAAGCCAGACAGCCCAGCGCTGAATGGCCAACTCAAAATGGAAATGGCCGACGGCGGACCTCGATCGCCACTAGTCCTTCTTTGGGGGGCCGTCGTCGATTCATCGTATTGAAAAAAGAAACATGTTTGTCGAAGTCGAGAGGGCACATGTATTTCAGCCATTGTCGAATTTAAAAAAAAACATGTTCATCAAACTAGTGACCGCATTACAATGTCAACGCTGCCTCCTTATCATAGCCAACAAGAAATTCCCCTCGGCCACAGGCAAGCCCTCCCGTGCAAGATGCATCACAAACTGCTCCCCTGCAAATGGTTCCACGGAGGACGATTTTCTGTAACAGTTGAGGATAATGTCGACGTCAGATAAGCCATAGCCATGGGCAGCAAGATATTGGGCTACTATTCCGCCCAATGGTTGAGCTCGACTTCTCGACCTGAGAGCTTAGATCCGAGTTCGCATGAGGAATATATTGGCTGGAAATAAGACCGCGCAGGCTGCGGATGTGTGTGTAGATGATCGGGCCAGCAGGGAATCTTAGGGTCTGCATCAACTTGGAGAGTGCGGACACCGTCAGCAATTGCTGCTACTGTACCACAATTAGACCCATCAATTTGCAAAATACAAAGTCAAAAATCACCACCACCACCAACACCATTATGCGTTTCAGTAGGCTCTGACAAGGGAGGCATGTCCATTTCAATGCCTTTCACCACGATGAATGCTAGAGCCTCCCAGAATGAGGCAGTGTAACGTGTTTTGGGACACCTGAATGTACCCTCAGCGCGAATTACACTTTTCCTATTTTTTTTTTTTCAGTAGATTAGGTGTTGCAAGTTAGGGAAATGAGTGAAAGTGCTTCACTTAGTGCGGTGAACTCCAGGTGGTGCACCTACTACCACAGCATGAAAGCCTTCATTGTCATGGAGCAGGCTTCGCACATCCGGAGAGCCCCTCAATGCGGTAAGTAGTTCACGGGAGGTCAGGTCGGCTGGCAGTGCGTTCATGATGGGCTGCAGTGTTCTGCATACGAGTTGGGCCTCCTGTTGAGAAATACATTGGATGGCGATTGGTAATGGCGGCGACGATTTCCCGCACTTCATGCGAGGACTATGTCACTTCATGTCAGTAGCACACGCAATAATTAGCAAGTGACATGTAAAGTACCAGTCCGGGTCTCGATAGATGCCTGCCTTCGGGCCACCAACAACTGCCCACATGTACTCTATGTTGGTTGAGGGGACAGTCATGTTGAACTTGGGGCAATGGCAGCTTCAGTGAGAGCATTTAACAATTTATAGCAAGCGTTGAGATAGTACTACAAGATTCACCGAGGCCATACTACCAAGACTACGGCACAATACATTTCAAGGTACATGATGCTTGTCTATTCAACACCATATGGTTTTCTGACGGGTGATGGTCACTTAGGAAACAATCAAGGACATCCAATAACTCTACATTAAGGCTGTCCACCCAGTACTCGACCTTGTGCCACAGGCACTTAATATGCGATGCTGTCACTAGTTTGACCAACTTGTGTTGTTGTTTTTTTCGGTTCGACAATGGCTGAAATGAAAATGCCCTCTCGACTTCAACGGACATATTTGTTCATTTTTCGGCATGACGATGGTCCATTTTGAGTTGGCTATTTGGGGTTGGACGTTCTTCTTTCGAGCATCGAGCATGACTGCCCGGTTTTCCATACCTTGCTAGCACAGAGATGTCGAGTAATGGCTTATGCAGCATGTAACGAAATTGACGGCAAAGGTACTAGTTTCTGAAAAGAGCAGGAAATTTAAATGCATGTAGGAAATTCTGCTTATCCTTCATACCGTCTCACGCGGAGTGGTACCTTTGTTCCCACTTCCCCCGCAAGCTTAGGCCTTTGTAATATCCCTCGCGTCACTTCCACCTTCGTATCTGGACCATCCCTCATCTCGAACGCAAAGCTCTTCACAAGAACGGACAGGACCGCCTGCAACTCAAGTGAGAACCGCCTCCGCTGCGTTCGAATCAATGAGAGTTACCTTAAGCTCGGTGATGGCGAACGCCTTTCCTAAACAAGTCCTCGGTCCGTCTGAAAATGTCAGCAAATTACGATATCCTTGTATTTCTTGTGCCTTCTTCGGGATATCTGCTCCTTCTATCCACCGTTCGGGTCCTGAACTTCTTCGCGTCTAGACCCCAAAATGCGCTAGAACGATTCATGCAAGCAACGGATATCCCAATCCGCGTTCCCTTCGCGACGGAAATACTGTCTACCAGTTCGCCGGATCTCGTAAGCACTGGTTCTGAAAGTGGAATGATGTCGTCTTCCGTTGCCTTGAAGGGAACTAGGTTAGGAAAACATAGGTAGGGTCATCGAGTAGCAGTACGCACGACGCGATTGAGCTCAATCACCGGCGAATGCACCCGAAGGATCTCATGTACTACAGCATCGAGGTAAGGTAGTTTATTGGCGAACTGGTCGTAACTGGCCTCTCCAGGGAATGCCAGCAATTCTTCTCGCAATTTCGTCTGTATGTCGGGGTTTCGTGCAAGTTCCAATAATGCCCAGGTCAAGCTGACTACAGACAAGCGCAACGTCAAAAAAATAGGGGGGTCTCAGTGTTTAGAAACGTACTGGATGTAGTTTCATACCCAGCAAGGAGCAAAACTTTCATCTTCGACAATGGTTGAGTGAAATGCCAAGAAATTGTGGCCCTCGCTTGCTCACCTGCGCCACGACCTCTTCGTGAGACATGCGGAGACCAATCTCTGCGTCCTCAGCTTTAACTGGGCAATGGTAGAACAGTCAAACGCAAATCAAACTCGGCACGAGAAAGAGAACTCGTACTCAACAACTCGATAATAGATTTGTCTCTTCCATCCGCCATACCCACTTCTTTTTCTTTCCTTGTCTTCTCGAGCAGCTCCTGAGATATCTCTGACAATGTTTTTTCTATCTCCCCGAACAATAACATTCTTCCCGTTGGCAGATATACAAGTGCAGGTATGACTTGCGACATTGCGAACCAGCCAGCATTGAGCACACTACGGTTAGGAGCCGAGCCTAAAGTATCCAGAATAGTAGTCACTGAAGCCAATTGACCGTCAAGGGAGCCAAAATTATGGGAGAAGCCAGCGAGACCAATCGTGTCAAGACTAGGATTTATACCCCACAAATTGAGATAGCATCATAAGCATTTAATATATCCTACTCACGAGATATGGTTCATCCTAAACCCGAATTGTTAGAGAGGGGACTGTATCAAATGATTCGTCGTACCAGTTTTGGACTTCGATGATGGCACTACCGTCATGTGCGGAATCGAGTATGCGTTCCCAAGCCGCCTTTGCCTGGATTAAGTGAATTCAGCGTCTGCACATAATGGCTTCGTAACTCAAATACCTTATACGCGGAATTATAGTAAATAGGGGTAAGATTGCGAATAGCAGTATGACTGAAGGCGGGGGCTAGGGACTTGCGCTGCCTGGTTATTGCATAAATTACCGTTAACCTCTGGTAGGAAAGATGAAGGAAATAAACCGTGCCTTTGGTGGTCTTTGCCGATTGCCCAGAGTATTCCTTTCCCAGTCTGTGTATCATATAGCTTAACCGTTCTATAAGATGCGTGTGAAAGATGCTTACAACTCGCTTAAGGGACGCCCTTACCGACGGGAGTGCGATGTATGTCCACGTTTCTCTCGCATAGCAATGTTGAAGGGCCTTGGGATCGAACAGCATAATGGTCCTCTGGCCCAGAGCAACAGGGACCTCATAAGCGATACCGTATTCCTTGACCCATGCTTCGTAGATTGTCCCAGGGTCGGGGGCCTCTATTATTTCTTTGGCTATGCCATAGAGGAGGCTTGGACTGGATGGACCTCTGAGGCGTGTTCCTTTGGAAGGATGATAAGCAACCCGGACGGCGATGAGTGCTACCAAGATGACGGCAACGACAACAAAAATGTCGAGGGGATCCACAGAGGGGAAAACGATCACAATTTTCTGTAAGACGTGAGTTGCTACGGTGGGCAGAACGGCCATTGTGTGCGATGGGTAGATGGCTGGATTTGTGGCGAATGGAACGGTTTTATGTCAGTCACGAATTTCATCGTGGACTGCATTACCGGAATGTATTTGACACCACTGGAGTTAAACACTGCATCCGACTACATACGAGTTCGCCGGTAAGTAAGCTGACGAATTACGGTTGCAGATCCAATGAACACGGAACCTATCTGTCCCTCTCGGGCCAACTCGTGCCAATCGTCACTAGGGCGTCAGTTACATATATAGCAGTGCGCCGGATGCAGTTTTCACTGGACAACGTTGGGTTCATGCAGTTGATTTATGGAAGTACCGGCTGCAGTTATGTAGTGCATCCTCCGCAGATAGCTTTAGTCATTCCCTTCCCGTTCACAGCCGCTGAGCCATAACCCGGGGTGTTCGTCATGTAACGCAAGACAACATTATCGAAATTCAACTCCCGGACCAGGCAACAACCTGTCCATGCTGACAATGGAATGAATTAGCCTGGCCAAACGACGGCAAACATTGTACTCACTAGCCACCAACGTCCTCACCCGTTGGAGTAGTCTTTGGTGGCTGGTAACGATGGTCCCTCGGTCAGCTTCGGAATCTCCCGAGGACCGAATAATGGTTGACCGTGGCCGTAGCACTGCCACTTCTGGCTTATGTCATCGCTGCACCCTGTGGGTTTCACTTCAGGAGTTGGGTGCGGTGGCTGGCTTATCTTAGTAAAATGACGGAAATTGTTCAGGGCCTGACCGGTTCCCGCCATCTCACTAGGTGAGCTCTCTTAATTTCCCTTCGTCCTCGTCCTCCTCGCCGACCGGTTCTCCCCGTCTTGCTAGCGTAGCATTTTTGATGCGCCCGACCTTCCCTCCCGCTTTTTACGCACAGAACGTCCATCTCTCATGCGGTTTTGCGTTGTTTACTGATGTATTTTCATGGCCGTCCGCCCTACCCTTGGTACTTGCTCACATTTTCGAATGCGATGTCATGTAGGGCTGTGCCCATCCCCGATTTTCGCTATTCTAGTCCGACTCCTGAAGCCGATTAGGCGTCCCAAAACGGCCGAACATTACGAGACCAGGTCTCTAGTAGGCAGACTTTGGTGGTTTGGCGGTTTGCCCTTGAGACCCATACCAAATCGTGCGATCGCTTAAGTTTGCGCAAGCAGGAAAGCTCAATGTTCAACGTAAGCTTGGACGTCCCACATCCATGGCTTAGGTGGCCCGGTACTGCAATGCTTGATCAAACTGACCTCGTCTGGGTGACGTGCCCGCTCTCTCCAATTACTAACTTAAACCAGCCAAATCTATCCCTGTATCGTCGTCGCCGCCGGCGTTGTTACACCCCAATACCTTCCCAACATGTATCAGGCAAGGCTTGGACAGTATCTTTACCAGTAGTGAAGCAAAGATCACTTTGGTGGTCAGTCCCGTGTAGGCAGCGCCAAGGACCGAGAGTTCAAATTTCGTTCAAAAGGAGGGTTCTAGTCACGGGATTGGTTTTGTGAGGCATCTCCACATCATAACCGTCCAATTTACGATGCGTGGCCCAACCATCCTGGGGGAGTCTCGATGCAACATAAGAAAAGGCTGCGCATAATCAGTATTGAGGAAGTCTTACCTGTGGAATGGGTTAAGGCGGCGTGGCGAAAAATCCCTCAGCTGCGGCCGGGTGGAACTCACAGCATCTGGTGTGAAAAGCAAACGGCGTTGTCTGAAGAGGCCGAGAGCTGTGCCAGTGGTACACGGCAACCTGGCAGGTGCCGTTGACATCCATAAATGCCTTACGCGGCTCACAAGTCACCACAAGGAACGAGGTCAGAGTGGTGATGTCATGAGATTTAGCTAGAGCGCGGCCGTGGCTTAGACAGGATCGACAATAAGCAGTGAGAGGTTGATGGCCGATGCAATTGTACACAGACGTACTCGGGTTACGTGCTTACAGACTAATGTAGAAAACTTACATATGACTTCATGGAGCACTTGCCTGGGACACGGCAATCCAAAAACATATCGTCTGCCAGTGAGACCAAAGGTTCCACTCCGAATAAGTCCTGGCGGACGTCAATCTAATGCCTCGGGTCTTAACATAGCCGAACACTCACCAATCGAAGCAGCCCGTCGGATGTAGAGCAATGTGCCCACGACCTCATCAGTACATCGACCACTCGTAGGTTGCTGCAAGTTCGCAATCTGTTGTATATGTCGTGAAAAACCATTCCAGCCCCTAAGTCACTGGAGAGATTTGAGAGCTCCACGGATAACCTTGGCAAGCCCGACTCCAAGCGCTTGGTAAGCCACCGCACTAGAAAATCGACGCCGTGGTGATAACTGCAAACTTGGCCATGTATAGTTAAGCTTTCGAGGTTCGTCCAATGATCTGCCGGGACCCATTCCGAGTCACCGAGTCCAGCCCTGGATGCGAAAAGTGCGCGGATGGTATCTACATGTAGATTGACATGCTGCACCCCATGAAATTCTTGGCAGAGTGCATCGCTACCTAGCGAGGCGTCCCCGAGGCGGAGTGTAACCCTTTGGACATGGCTGAACTTCGACCCAGTGCCGAAGTCGACATGTCCGAAGCCCAAAATTTGATGATAGTCGAAGCACATAAGCTTTGGTGTCACGATAGCTCTCATGACTGGCTTGGGATTGTTGACTGCAAGTTTGAATTCTTCAAGGTGCGGAAGGTGAATGCTGTCTGGCGAAAGCGCCCAACCGTCGGTGTAACCAGTGAGCCAGAGCATCGTTATGGAATGGGTAGGGATAAATGTAAAATTCACGATATGGTGTTGGTCGTTTCTGTCTCTGAACTTCAGCTCGAGAGTTGTGAGGCTCGTGGCAGCTGTAAATATAGGGGTAGGAAGAAAGTCATCCAGTCGTAGACTCCTAAGGGCAGGGGCGTTGTCGGCAAAGAGAAATTGCGGATATGTGAACACCTCATCCATGGAAGCAATGAGAACGTCTTCGAGAGAAGGAAATTTCAAATCCTCAAATGCATGAAGGATTTCAGGCGTCATTTGCCGCATGTGAAGGCGCCGCCAGCGATTGGTGCTGGAGACGAGGACGTCCAGCCATTGTGGATCAAGCTGACAACTGTAGAGGCGTGGAAAATTTAGAATAAAGACGCTAAGAGGAATATTCCCACTCCTGATCAGTTGCGTCTTTAAGGATGCAACGGGGAGAGGATGGCAGCACACGATATCACCCCAGATTTCTGGAGTGGTTAAGATCACGTTCCTCCAGAGTCGTGACACCGTTGACAAATTTGTCCTGCGGTTCGCTAGCTCTGGGAATTCTAGACAGTCATCGAGATCGTGATCGAAAGTCGGCAAGGATTGGAATATTATCTTTGAAAGGAGTTCGACGGGGAGTCGATTGATTGCAGGTGGTTGCTTCTTGATGAGCTCCTCGATCTTGTCTTTCTGTGCCTTTATGGCTGCACGGATATCTACGAGCTGCTTTAAGAGCCTTCTTTCAGTTTCTTCCAGCTGGCACAAGTCAGTGCGCGCTTCATCCAGTTCACCCATGATGGGTGGATAGCAGTACTACAGACCGGTGTCAGTACAATAGGATGCCATGCACTCTGAACTCTACCTGGGTTGGTGGGCAACAGTTACGGTAACTGTGGTTATCGACCTCGCCAGTGTGTGGTGTTGTGCCTTTTTTTTTTTTTTTTTAATTCGAATTTTAAGTGCTTGAGGGTAGATGCAACCCTATGTCGCACTATACGGACGTAGTTTGTCTATCTAGCCAGAGGCCCCCTGTGGCCTGCCTTCCCTTACAAGCGAGTGAATGCCCTGGTGGCAGGGCCTTTGGCCCTCCACCAGTCCGCCGTTCCCGCCGGCCGTTTTAGACACTCCGCCTTGGAGTAAGGGTGGCTTAATACTTCTGTCAGGCGATAATAATTCTATCTACACATAACCGGCTGCTTTTTAAGGCTAGCTGGAGCATGGGCGTCGTGCTCTTCTGCCTCCTTTTGGTGACTCTGCTGTGACGTGCTGAGATTGTGTCTGCAATGGTAGGGTGGGTTTTTTTTTTTTTTTTTTGGTCTTCGAGGCACTTTTAGGAGGTTATAGCTTATAGCCGGGGTGATTGGTTTATGGGATGCATCTAATCTCATGTGGGTCAGTCAGGTGGGGGGAGGGGGGACGTGAGTGTCGATGCAGGTGGTGTTTACGCTGAGTACATGTTTGGTCTGCTGACAAGCGTCCTGGTCCTGTGCTGGGCTTTATCATTTACCGTGGTGTTATTCGAATACCTCACCTGGTGTTTGTTATGGTAGTCTTTTCGTAGCTGAAATGTACTTGAACAGGTGTGACTGTGCTGCCACATCTCTTCCCAGTGCATTGCAGAGTACATGCCACTCTCTGTCGTATCTAGGGCATTGGAAAAGGAAGTGATGTTTGTCCTTGGGAGTGGTCTCCCTGCACTGCAGGCACATGGGAGTGTCGCTTCGTTTAAAACGGTGCAGATGTTTGTTAAGTGGTATGTGTCCTGTTCGTAGTTGTATGTATAGTCTGGCCTGTCTTTTGGGTAACGAGGCGACTAGTTTTGTGTACAAAGCTCCCGGGAGTAGGGGGTCTATTGTGGATGTGCAGTCATGGCGAGGGGATTTTTGCCAATCTTTCTTCCATAGCGCTTTTAGTCTCGTGGCATGGTATTGTTTAAGGGTGGAGGCGCTGACAGGGAGTTGCTTGTTTAGGAACGGTGGTAGGTCTCCTGGTGGGCTTGTGGTTTCTGCTCTTTTTGCTGTGAGTTTCGCTTCTCTATCCGCTAGTTCATTTCCCTCCACTTCCATGTGTCCAGCTATCCATCGGAGCGTGATGCTCTCTTTTGGTAGATGTTCTTTGTTGCAGGTTTTGTGGATCATCGATCTGAACTGTAACAGTAGGTGATGTCCTGGTTTAGCTGAGGGGCGCTCACTGGATCTGATGACTGCCTGGTTGTCTACGAGCACTGAGGCCAGGTATGTGACCTCGTCTCTGGTGGCTAGTATGTGTGCCACTAGAAGGAGTGCTACTGCTTCTGCCTTGAACACTGTGTGTTCCAATGCCTTGCCTAAGTGGTGACGCAGTGTGATGACGTGCTTGAAGTTGACATATAGGATGGCTGCTGCTCCCATTCCTCCTTCCATGCTTGATCCATCTGTGAATATCAGTGTTTGGTCATTTGTCTGTGCAAAGTCTCTTATTGTGTCTTTTTTGCTGGGAGCGATGACAGTTGAGTGTGATGGGTGTGTGCTTGGTGGTATTGGGCATGGGTGGATCATCTCGATTGAGCCTGGAGAGATTTCTAGATCGTGGATTAGTCAGTGGAGCGCAGTTCTGTGACGTTTGACGTTTCTTTTTGCCATTCTTTTGATGTGCAGGTGTAGAGGGTGCGTGTCTGGTAATGTTGATATGTGGAGGGCAGCTTTATACAGTGTGTGTTGAATGAGTAGGGTCGCCAGCAGTATGTTGGTGTGTGCTAGTAGGGCGTCAGTAGGCATAGTTCTTATGGCTCCCATTATCACCAGTGCTGCTGTTCTTTGGATCGTTGTGATATGTTTCGCTATGCCTTTCGATCCTCTCAAACAGGAGGAGTGGTCTCCAGAGTAGGCTGGATGGAGCCATACTGGAGTGGCATACATTACTTTTGGGACTACTACTGCTTGGTAGAGTTGGCGCATGAGTTTTGTGGGGATTCCCCAGGAGGTTGACGACAGTCTTCTCAGGAGCAGGGCTTGTTTCGTTCCCTTGGCTATTGCTTGGGCTGCCTGTGCCTTCCACCTTAGTTCCTGGTCCAGTATTACACCTAAGAACTTGTGAGTACACGTCAGAATTATCACATGATTCAGTCACTTGTAGTCCTAAAAGTGGGTCATCCAACATGTACATTTTGTCCTGAAACTGGGACTAACCGACATTGGCCGGTGGTCCCTAGGGTTGGGTAGGCCGGACTGTGAAGGTGGGGTCAGCCTATGTCACAGGATGATGGATCAACTTCCCTGGAAGTGGGGTTGGCTGACATGACTATAGGATGGATTGATGACCTGGAAGTGAGGTCGACTGATGCAGCTATGGGATGAATTAGTGTCCTGGAAGTGGGGTCGGCCAACACAGCTATGGGATGAATTAGTGTCCTAGAAGTGGGGTCGGCCAACACAGCTATGAGATAGATTAGTGTCCTAGAAGTGGGGTCAGCCAATGCAGCTATGGGATAGGTTAGTGTCCTGGAAGTGGGGTTGGCCGACACAGCTATGGGATGAATTAGTGCCCTAGAAGTGGGGTCAGCCGATGCAGCTATGGGATAGGTTAGTGTCCTGGAAGTGGGGTTGGCTGACACAGCTATGGGATGAATTAGTGCCCTAGAAGTGGGGTCAGCCGACACAGCTATGAGATAGATTAGTGTCCTAGAAGTGGGGTCAGCCGATGCAGCTATGGGATAGGTTAGTGTCCTGGAAGTGGGGTCAGCTGACACAGCTATGGGATGAATTAGTGCCCTAGAAGTGGGGTTGGCTGACACAGCTATGAGATAGATTAGTGTCCTAGAAGTGAGGCCAGCCAACACAGCTATGAGATGGATTAGTGTCCTAGAAGTGGGGTTGGCTGATGCAGCTATGGGATAGGTTAGTGTCCTGGAAGTGGGGTCAGCTGACACAGCTATGGGATGAATTAGTGCCCTAGAAGTGGGGTTGGCCAACACAGCTATGAGATAGATTAGTGTCCTAGAAGTGGGGTTGGCTGACACAGCTATGAGATAGATTAGTGTCCTAGAAGTGGGGTCAACCAACACAGCTATGAGATAGATTAGTGTCCTAGAAGTGGGGTCAGCTGACACAGCTATGGGATGAATTAGTGCCCTAGAAGTGGGGTCAGCCAACACAGCTATGAGATAGATTAGTGTCCTAGAAGTGGGGTTGGCTGATGCAGCTATGGGATAGGTTAGTGTCCTGGAAGTGGGGTCGGCCAACACAGCTATGAGATAGATTAGTGTCCTAGAAGTGGGGTCAGCCAATGCAGCTATGGGATAGGTTAGTGTCCTGGAAGTGGGGTCAGCTGACACAGCTATGGGATAGATTAGTGTCCTAGAAGTGGGGTCGGCCAACCCAGCTATGTGATGAATTAGTGACCTAGAAGTGGGGTCAGCCAACACAGCTATGGGATAGATTAGTGACCTGGAAGTGGGGTTGGCCAACACAGCTATGGGATGAATTAGTGACCTGGAAGTGGTGTCAGCTGACACAGCTATGGGATAGGTTAGTGACCTGGAAGTGGGGTTGGCCAAACCAGCTATGGGATAGATTAGTGACCTGGAAGTGGGGCCAGCTGACATGGCTGGGGGAAGGGATGATGTCCTGGCAGTGGGGTCAGCTGATGTGGCTGGGGGGAATGAACCATGACCTGGAGTTGTGGTTGGGCAGACACTTTGCAAGAAAGACCAATATCTTGCTAGTGGGTTAGTGGGGCTGGCCAATCTTATTACTCAGTACACTACTTCCTTGGTAGTTAGCTGGCTGAACCCACATGGTTGTGGAAAAATCCTATATCCTATCCTTATCCTGTGGTATTGAAGTTAACTCTACCAATCTGGCCATTGTATTGGAATTAACATTGGGCAAATTTACTCAGTTGTGTATCAGTACTTAAGGAGGAATTGTCCTGCAGGAAATTACTTTTTTTTCTGAACATTCAATGTCGTATGAAATTTGAAAACACAAAGCAGCTATTTTTGATTGTAGTACATGCATATCATATGTATCAAGGTAGGGTATTTTACAAAGATTCCAACAGCCAGGATGATGTTTGCCCCTTTCCCTGTGTCAGTTTGGTAGCCCCTTTGGACATGCAGATAGTATAGGTTTGGGGAGGCTGAGATGTGCCTTGTGTGTCCTTCCCACAGCCAGGATTCTTGCACTCATAGGAATAAGTCTGCCCTGAACAACCAGCTTCCCACTTCTGAATGCTATAATACTGAGGGCACCAGGCAGGCAATTGTTGTCCCCAAGGCCTGATGAACTTGTCAGTCCAGACAAATTTCTCCACCACTACCTTCTCCTGCCACAACATTAGGATGATGTTGGAGTGCCTACCCAACATACCACAGTCATTCAGGGCATACCTGACTGCACTTTGGACATGGAAGCCTTGAACAAGGGTGGAGTCAAGGACACTCATGAGGAAGGGAATGGTGGTGACTAGTTGAAGTCTCTCAGCATCAAAAAGCAACATGGACCTTGGCTTGAAACTGATATGGTGTCAGCCATAACCACCAACATTGAAAGAAAACCTACTGTTGCACAGCTGCCTTCAGTCCTTGGAAGCTCTGCTCCTTCCTTACAGTAGAACCACATACAAAGAAGATGAGGTCTCCACCCTTGACAATGTTGGAGAGGGGTAACAGAAGGCCTTGCAGAAACTGCAACTGGTCAGATGGGAGTGACAGTCAAACAATGGTGACTTACCTCAAAGACCTCTGTGGCTATTGGAACCTTATTCTCCATTCCAGAGAACAGATCCCCCCTGTCTTCATCAGTATGGGTAGTAAGGAAAATGACTACCTTAGGAAAGGTAGTCAGACTTGAAGCTAGCTTTGATGCTGCAGTGTCATAGGCAGCTCTGGACTCCTCAGTGGCAAAGTTGAAGGGCAGTTGTGAGAAGTGGTAGGTGTCTTGTCTGAAATATCCCTGCAACATGGTGTGAAGGATATGCACGGGGCATGGCCAAGCTCTAGAGACTCAAGGTGGAGGTGGATAATGGCAGTAGAGTTACCAGCCACTTCAGAGGTGGTGGCATGCTCAAACCCCCCAATGACCACAAGAGGGTGTTTCAGGACTGGCTTGCCTGACAAGTAGAAGCCCTGTACTTGGAGTTAGAAGTGATTGGGGTGGCAATATGCACTTACAAAATAGGGCTGAGGACTTTCAAATCTTGTCATTTTCCAATGACAGGAAACACACCTGAAGTTCATCCAGAGTTTGAGTCAATGGAATTAATTCATAAAAGGGAGGTTAACACACCTGAAGGTCACAGGAAGCTGGGTGACCTCTGCAAGGCAATCCTCAGGTACTACAACACACTTGTTACACACTACCCTTCTGCAACCTGCCTGATCACAAGGCCACAATGTCCCTCCATCCCTGCACATCACACAGAACTGCATAGAATGTTAGAAAGATGGATGGAATATAAAAAGAGACTTGCCAAGTTCCTCATCCTTCTCTTCTTGGCAACAGGGGCCTTCCTAGCATAGGCCTTGCTTGACTTGGCAGCATGTTTTTCCCTAGCTTTCAGACCAGCAAGAGATACCCTGGGAGCTCTACCCCCAGTGGTCTTCTTAGCTGTCTGCTTGGTCTTCACCATCTGAGTCTATTATGCCAACATTAGTGAGTGGCAGCAACATATGACACAGAAGGGAACAGTAGCATACCTTATTATCTTTACAAGACACAGAAGGTGTAGGGGACAAGCAGTAAGATAACAATAAATGCATTTAGTTTAGTACATATATCATGCAGCAGGGATAGATATCTACATATTTATGGAAAAGAGAAGCCAATGTATGCAACTACACAACACTGGGCACTGGATAAGCAGACCAAAGAGGGTGATATGTAAGTATCATCTGGACACCATGAAGTAGAAGTCCAACAACATACCTTATTGGATGAGACACAGCAAGGGAGATGCAGTGTGGCAGGAGGGAGATATGAATTGATAGCCTACTAGTGTGTTTTGTGAGTGGTACAGGGACACCAGGAACTGGGACAACATACCTTTTGTAGGATGAGACACAGCAAGGGGGTGTTCTGTGAGTGGTAGAGGGATGCCACGACCTGGGACTGACATACCTTTTTTTTTTTGATAAGGCACAGGCAAGGGGGTGTTCTGTGAGTTGTAGAGGGATGCCATGAAGCTGGGACAACACACCTTTTTTTTTGGATGAGCACAGTGAGGGGGTGTTCTGTGGGTGTTTTGTGAGTTGTAGAGGGACACTGCACAAGCTGGGACGACATACCTTTTTTTTGGATGAGGCACAGCGAAGGGGTGTTCTGTGAGTTGTAGAGGGATGCTGCGAAGCTGGGATGACATACCTTTTTTTTTTGGATGAGCACGGCAAGGGGGTGTTCTGTGAGTGGTAGAGGGATGCCGCAAAGCTGGGACGACATACCTTTTTTTTTGGATGAGCATGGTGAGGGGGTGTTCTGTGAGTTGTAGAGGGATGCCGTGAAGCTGGGACAACACACCTTTTTTTTTGGATGAGCATGGCGAGGGGGTGGTCTGTGGGTGTTTTGTGAGTTGTAGAGGGACACTGCGTGAGCTGGGACGATGTACCTTTTTTTTGGATGAGGCATGGTGAGGGGGTGTTCTGTGAGTTGTAGAGGGATGCCGTGAAGCTGGGACGACATACCTTTTTTTTTGGGTGAGCATGGTGAGGGGGTGTTCTGTGAGTGGTAGAGGGACACCACGACCTGGGACAACTTACCTTTTGTTTTTTGATAAGGCACGGCGAGGGGGTGTTCTGTGGGTGTTTTGTGAGTGGTAGAGGGACACTGCGAGCTGGGACAACATACCTTTTTTTGGATGAGGCATGGTGAGGAGGTGTTCTGTGAGTGGTAGAGGGACACTGTGACCTGGGATGACTTACCTTTTTTTTGGATAAGGCATGGCAAGGGGGTGTTCTGTGAGTTGTAGAGGGACACTGCGAAGCTGGGATGACATACCTTTTTTTTGGATGAGCACAGTGAGGGGGTGTTCTGTGAGTGGTAGAGGGACACCACGACCTGGGATGACTTACCTTTTGTTTTTTTGATAAGGCATGGCGAGGGGGTGTTCTGTGAGTTGTAGAGGGATGCCGCGAAGTTGGGACGACATACCTTTTTTTTTGGATAAGCATGGCAAGGGGGTGTTTTGTGAGTGGTAGAGGGATGCCGGGAAGTAGGACGACATACCTGTTTTGTGGATGAGACAAGGCGAGAGGGTGTTCTGTGAGTGGTAGAGAGATGCCACGCACTGGGATGACATACCTGTTTTTTGGATGAGACCCAGCAAGAGGGGGGGGGTGTTTTGTGAGTTGTAGAGGGATGCTGCGAGCTACTTACCTTCTTTTTGAATGAATGGGCTTTGTGAGTAGTATGGGACACTGAACAATGCGCAATAGACTGAGAAGAATGGCAGCGTCCTGGTGTGTCATGTGAGTGTTGAAGCCATGAGAGGTTCGACAACATACCTTTTTTGTTTTTTTTTTGAAGGGAGATGCAGCATGACGTACCTATTTTGTGTTTAGAGAGGGAGAGGTGTGAGAGATCCAGAGGATGACGACATACCAAAAATTTCGCTGAGAGGCAGCAGGGCCAGAGAGTGGGATAACGCAACAACGGTTGGTGAGGGAGACACTGTGTGGCAAGAGGAGAGGAGCAAAAGACCATGTCAATCCAGATACTCGGATGCACAGATCTTGATTTTGGACAGGTCATGTAGTGAGACCTATGATAATCTTGGACACAACCTTAATTGTGACATGAACAATGTCACGGCTGTCATGATTATCACATGTGTCTACCCGTACTTCAGATGCGTCTCGGGAACATTACATAGGACTATATACAGAGTGGTCAGTCACCACTAGGCCGATTTCTGGTTTCAATAAGTGACTACATGTATTAAATGATCCGGTAGTGCTACTACAATACATTTTCTGTGAAATCCCAAGGGTAAGCCACCACTACTGCTCAGCCAACGGCACGAGGGAGTGCTTGCTTGGCTCGACAATGCAATTACGAGAATGTCAAGCGAACATTTAGTATTTAGTATATAGAAGCCGAATCTGGTGACAGTGGAGTCACGTGACATTGCTATTCACGATGTATAGTACGACACGTGGTACTGACTCAGAGGAAGTTGCCGGCACTCATGGCAACTGAACACGCGCCGAGGCCGAGAACGTGACATTGACGGTGACCTCGCTAGTTGGACTGTGGCCAAACAATGGTACATAAGACTCAAGTATATAAATCCCCCCCAGTCAGTGGCATGTTTTTTCCCTTACTGTGTTTCCCTGCGATGTGACGCTTCCCCTCCATCGTCCTCCCTCTCCCTCCATCTCCATCTCCCTTTCCCCCTCTCTCTCTCCCATTTTGTGTGCTACATCATCTTCATTTTTATCTCAGCCCATCGTCTCGGCTGTCATAAGGTAAGTGGCACCTCTGATCCCAGAATTTTCACATTACTTGATTACCGTTACTTTGCAGCATCCTTGGCGCCTCACTATTGACTGTAGTCTGCAGCTACAGGATGTAGGGAGGGGCTGCCCTTGACCTTAGATTGTGCTTGGCCAGCACAATTTGTGGTGTTGTTTTGGGGATGAAAAATTTTCAATACAGCTGAAAACCTTGCTTTTGACTCTTCCTGTGCTCAATCATGCGTCATCGTAGAACCAAAGTCCTTGGCAAAAGCTCTGCAGGAGGTTTGTATAAATTTGAAGTCACTAAAACCCAGAGAGGAAAGGACACCTATAAGGAGGTGGATGCTAGACACCTCTACCTCCCATCTCAGAGTCAACCTTCAACTCCAAGGACCCCCAGGACAATAGGCTCCCAAAATGTTGTCCCAGACTCCTTTGACATGCCTACCTTGGACTGGAATGATGAGGAAGATACCCCAAATACTAGGAGGGTTACCAAGGTGGGAAGTTTTGCCTGATACTGCATTGGCTAAATTATCCCCTAGAGTCAAAATAATTTCATCAGAGAATGGCTGCCTTGGAGAGCAGAATATCTCAAAGTCATTCTTGAGGGAGAGCAGCTGGCTAAGGGGGGGATATGTGAGCAGTGCTGTCAGGCAGAAGGAAGTATCAGATGCATGTCCTGCATTGGTGTGCATGCCTGGTGTGGTCCTTGTGCTGTGAAAGTGCATCAAAATCTTCCATTCCACAAGGTACAAAGATGGAATGCTACTCATTACCAGGATACCTCTTTGATGGCACTTGGGTTCCTTTGGCACATTGGCCATGGGGGTTGTCCTTGCCCTCAAAACAGACAGAATCAGGATCCAGACTCAGAGGAGTTGGGCTATACTTCTGGGGAAGGGCCTCCCAATTACAGGTCAATGGCAGTCATATCCTGTAGCCTCCATGTTAACCTCTGGTAGCAGGAGATCCTTCAGATCAAAAATGACCATAGTGCACACAGAAGGAATTTTCACTCATGAGATTTCTTGGTGCAATTGCCCTGGGTCAGATCCAATCGACTGGCACCTTGATTTACTCAGGGAAAGACTCTTTCCAGCCAGTATAACAAAGCCCAAGACTGCTTTCACCTTTGATGTTCTTAATCACTTTCTCATTGATGCCCTGGAATGCAAGACTTCAGCTATGAGTTTCTATCAGAAGCTGAAGAGGTTCACCAACAATGCATTTCCTGACTGTATACCAGTTGAGTGCCATGCACTATTTGCTCTTAGGGGGTTCTATTAATGCATTCATTTCCAATTAGGACAGGTACCGAGAACTGATGAGGGTTTCCAGACTGTGGAGGGATTTGAAACATAGGAAATGGTTTGGCTTTGGTCATGATAAAGAACAAGATCCTAGACAAGGAGAACTTGCACTCTTTTGTCCTGCCTGCCCACAACCAGGTATTAATTTACCTCCAGATTGGAAAACCCAATATGACAGGTATGGAGTGATAATCTGTAGGGTTTTGATTTCTAACTCCCCTCCCCCCTTAGTGATACCATAATGAGGCAATATGTCATGGATGGCAACTTCACTGCTCAGCATATGAAAATGAACAAGCCTGAGTTGGATGTGTCATTAGCAGATGGAACTGGTTACATGGTTGCTGAAAAGCCCTACCAGGCCCATCTTGAGCAGTCTTTGGATAACAAGGAGGTGAGTTGTCCCAAGGTCATGGAGTTTAAATGACCCACTGTACTGGTAGAGATCCACCTGCAGCAATCACAGGGCAATCAATGCTGCTAATATTAACAAGTCCAATCTCCGGTCCACTGGGATTGGTGCCACAGCCTGTGCTCAGCATGGTTGCTTTGTTCCCCATTCTGTGGTGGACTTTCAGAAAGGGGAAAAGTGAGTGGACCTGATGGATGTACTGGAAGCCTTTGGAACTCATTTTGTGCTAGGTACATGAACACAGATTACTCCATCTGCAGTGCTCTTGATTATCATTCAGAAAGCATCACAAAGGCCCTTGTCATTTATGATGTTGGGTGCCAGTGGAGTATTAACTTCCAGAGTCAGGTAAAATCCAGCTGCTCTCTCCATCTCCCTCCCTCCCTGGAAATCATTCCTGCTGTGGGGAAGTTTCATCTTGCTGCCCACAAACTCTCTTGCTTTCCAAGATATAGCCTCAACTTTATCAAGGGTGCTGGTCATCTGGATGGTGAAATTTTGGAGACATTGTGGGCTCCATTCAATAAGATCTCTCCCACTGCAAGGTCTATGACTCAGGCCCACAGACAAGAAGTGTATGATGACCATATGAGAGATTCTAACTGGAAAAAAATTGTCAACATGAGTGAGAGACCTTTTCTTCAAAGAGAAGTTAATTTACCCTGTACATCTCAGTTCCTGCACTGTTGAAAAAATACAAGACCTCACACAAGTGCCTAGAAGAAATGAATCAGGCATATGAGCAGTTGACAGCTGTTCTAGACCCTGGCCAACTTGCCCAATGGGAGTCGGATGTTCTTGAGGCAGAAGCAAATCGAGGTGATTCCCTAGACATTTATTTGTTGAAAGGGGAAAAAGGTCAGTATGTTCCTAAGAAACCCTGGGCATGTCTGATGGCCTGTAGCCCCTACCATGGGTGAAGTGCAGTTAAAGCTCATGAAAAATCCACCTGTGTCCCCAGGGAGCCATGGTTCTGTGGCTTGGCTTGTGGAAGGAATTAGCATAGAGGATGCACAGTATGGTCTGTGGTTTCCAGAAGCAATAGGTTGCTAACCAGACCTGCAGGGACCAGCTAAGATCTGAGCTTAGACAGAGCCACATGTCTACCAGACAAGAAATCAAAGTCTCAGAGGAAAAGAAAAAGACTTTCTGCCAGGATTGACAAATTCCATGGCACCAGCCAGGCATTTCTCAAAGGTTTGGAGGTGGACAATGTCTTCATACCCCAGGATGATCCAGCATTCCTTGGGCAAGGTGAAGAAATTGATGACAATGGAGAGTACTGGGAAGATGATGAGGATTGGGAGGCTACAGAAGAAGGAGAGGAGCTACCTGCTGAGCTCATGAGTATATGGATGCCCTCATCCATTGGAGCAACCAAACTGATGGAGCTTGGCCTTCATGACCTCCTCAAAGAAGAAATGGAACTCAGGATTGGGCAAGCTAATGATTGTCTAGACCAGCTCTGAACCAACCTTGGACACAAGGCAATGTTATACAGACAGAACTTCCGCAGTGCACAATCAACTAGGGAAGGTACAAGAACCAAGCAGGACATCCAAAAAGTGGTGGCTCAGATAAACAAGCAGGTCAGAAGTTATCAGAGGGCAAGGCAGGCCATTCTCCAGTTGGAACCCAATCAAGAGATTGGACAAAAATATCAGGCTATTCAGCCCCAGGACCTGGCAGTGAGTAAGGATGTTACAGAGGAGAACCGGTTTGGGCAGGGAACCAGCAAAATGGCATGGTTTTGGATGATGGATGGTGAACAGGGTCAACTGAATGCTGAGAAGGGGGGTTTAATGGAGGAGTGTAAGTGTTAATACTACTCAAAAAAATCTCACTGATAAATTGTGGGGCAGTTTACAGGATCAACTGGCTCAAAGCAAGGGCAAGAAGGGACAGGTGGAAAGAAGAATTGTCATTGGTGAGGCATGAGATGGTTTGGGCCATCTTATGGTTTGAGTTCCAGAAGGACATATGGGAGAAAAGGGCTCTACAATTGTTGGAACCAGGGAAAAAGGCTTATGCTCATAAGCAGATAGTGTTGTGGACTGACTTTTCCAAAAAGGCCCAATTGATGTTCCAAGGTAAACAAATGGATTGTATTTAGAACATGGGTATATGTGTATAGTTTTCCTGATTACCCTTGCTTTGCACTTGGTATCTGAATCAAAGTGAATAGCAAATACATCAAAACAATCATACCATAATGGTACCTTTCCTAAAAGAGTGATGGCCAAAAACTTCAACCTCCTGCCTAAATTGGGAAAGGCTGAAAAATTTTCACCTTGCTTCCAACCTCCATCATCTGTGCTGCTAATTATCCCCCTGATTTTATTCTCTCATGGCTGATTGGTCTGAAGTCTACTCTGATCTGCTGTCCTCCTATGTGGAGCAGTACACAGATGCCCGAGGGAATCCTGACCTCAGGGCCCAGATCCTGGCTGATGTGAAATCCCAGATCCTTCAGCAAGCATCTTCAGGATCTGTGGAATTGCCCCAGAACTTGAGAGTGGTAGGGTATCTTTTTCATCAAGTTTCACATATCTCAAGTGTATTTAGGCCATCAGAAGGGTGTTTTTGCCAGAACTAGACCCTGAAGACCAGGATGATGAGGAACACATCATTGAGAGCATCCTGGCTGCAACAGACAAGAGGAAGGAGCAGCCTGGGACTGGTGAGGATGAGGATGGCAGAGAGGAGAGGACCAGACCTACCAAGGCTGGAAATTACAGAAAACCCTTCACTGATTTTACTGCCTCCCAGCAGCTCTTCAAAGAGGACATGGATGCCTATGATAGGGAGAGGAGGGACACCAAGGACCCCAAGACCATAGGTCAGAGGACCAAAATCATCCAACAGTGGTGGGAGTCTCTTGCAGATGACAAGAAGGCTGAAGCAGGGAGGGCTGCTTCCAAGTGGAATAAGTTGGGAGCTCCAAAAGAAACTCATGAATTGTCAGTGCTGGTCTACTTCAAATGTCTTATACTAATCATGCAATAATTCAGGTACAGGAGAAAAAATTTTCCCAACATGGCCAGAGACTTTATTGAAACAGTCAGGAGGACCATGGGGTCAAATATAGTGATGTTTCTGGCTCATGAGACTACTGATTCTCAGATCAAGATGGCAGTGTAGGTTCCCCTTTACCTTGTCTATCCAATGCTAATGAAGAAACCTAGCTTTGAAACACAACCCCCTGATGGGAAGAAGGCCTTCTCAGAGTCTTCAGAGCCCACCAAGGATTGGGTTCTAAAGGGAGAGCAAATGTTAACCAATTATCTTTTGACTGAAGCTGGTAAGTGATAAACATTGGTGATCAATGTAATATGTGTACCTAGGTTGATTCCATACTCAGCTGAGGAAGATTTGAATGATGAGAATCCAAAGGTGGAGATAGCCTTGGATGATGAAGGAAACCCAGAGGTACCAGCTTGGACTGGTCAGAAACTCAAGGTCCAGCAGAGTTTGGCAAGAATGGTCTTCCAGGCTGCCTATGGTATGTTCTTGATTGTCAAGTGCATCTACAGTTGTTGATGGAAGTTGGAAACATAGCAAAGTTTACAGGGAAGCCCAAGGCCAAGGTTCCCTGGGGCCTGCTTATCAAGTCCCATTTGGAGTATCTGAGTTCTGATTCCATCCCAGAAGGATTTGTGATGAAAGATCCTTCAAAATGGACCAAGGCTGACATGTGGATGCTTTGGAATCATTGGAATTCCCAAGAGGAGGAGGATAAGGTGATTGTTTCATTCATCAAGTGCAAAAAGGAGGACAAGCCATTGGGAAGGCCCTGGAACAGGAAAACCCCATCCAAAAAGAGAGAGTGGATGAGCCCTGGGGAGGACAGTGAAGCTGGGGTGGAGGCCAAGCCCTCAGATTTAGGGGAAGAAATTGGTGGGGCTGGTATGACCCCTATAGCAACTTCATCAGGGGCCCAGGATATCCTTGACTCTGGGAGGGCCCCATCTGAAGATACCCCTCATGAATCCAGCCCTGCTTGTCATGCCAATGGGGACAGGGTGAAATATTTAAAGTCCCTTTGCATCATGCCCAGGTACCAGGAACTTGTTGAGCTTGTAGATGGCTTGCCAGAGACAGTAAGTGATAAACTTTCTTCAAATACCAGGTTAACAAACATTTTGTACAGGAACCTGATGCTGGACCAGTCAACCTGCCTGTCTGGGCATCTTGGGCCTGGAGTGCCCAGTATTTGCCCCAGGAGATGCATGGCAATGGGGATTCCTTCTGGAAGGCACTGTATCAATTGCAAAGTGAAAAGTTTGCATCCACCCAGAAAGGTCTTACCATTGTACTGGGATTTGGTTTGTTGTGGAGGGAGTGCAAAAGAGCACAGGACATAGAATCAGATGACCCTGAAGCTGCTAATCTGGGCTCTTTGCTAGGCTCAGGTCTTGATATCCACAAGGGGGAAGATGTTATGGGTGCAGTGGGGCTGGTAGTTGCAAGACTGCAGCAGAATTCTGGTGGCTCAAGCAGAGGGATTGGTGCACAGGAAACAACTGGGGTCAGTGCAGGGGATTCCTGTCCCACCCAGGGGGGTGGCATGAAGGAATCCTGGAATACAAGAAAGGATGTGAGGAAAAGAAAAAGGGGAGGCAGTGGGGATGTTGATCAGAAGATGGCAAAGGAGGGTGAAGAGGCAAGCAAGAAATCAACTAGAGCTCATCAACCAACCAAGAGAGCTCTGGGTCTTGGTCTATAAATAAACTGTAGATGGTGTGAATCAAAAGGATCCCTATATATGGCTACCCATGCTCATTGCAAGTTTCAAACCCTGTGAGATCACTGACATCACCTGGAGGTGAAGAATGGCCATGGATTCAGGGGGTAAGGCCACCCCCCAGTGAGGTTGGCCAACACTGGTCTCAGGGGGTATGTCCATCTGGAAGTGTCATCAGAGTCAATACTTCTGGTAACATCTAAATTGACAAGCAATTGATTATGCCAAGGGAATTTTCAGGGTTTGGCCAACCCTACTTCCAGGTGGTGAGGTCTGTGTCCATCCCCCAGTGAAATCGGCCTGACACCACTTCCAGGGTGTGAGTCCATCCCCCAGTGAGGTTGGCTGACACCACTTCCAGGGTGTGGGTCCATCCCCCAGTGAGGTCGGCTGACACCACTTCCAGGGTGTGGGTCCATCCCCCAGTGAGGTCGGCCGACACCACTTCCAGGGTGTGGATCCATCCCCCAGTGAGGTCAGCCGACACCACTTCCAGGGTGTGGATCCATCCCCCAGTGAGGTCGGCCGACACCACTTCCAGGGTGTGGGTCCATCCCCCAGTGAGGTCAGCCAACACCACTTCCAGGGTGTGAGTCCATCCCCCAGTGAGGTCAGCCGACCTCCCTCCAACATGTCAGCCTATCCACCATCAGGGTCTATAGGCTGATGTCGGTTAGTCCCACTTTCAGGACCCAATGTGCATGTCAGATGACCCACCTTCTGGATTACATGTGACTGAAGGGTCTGGAATTATGGTAGAACCTCTTAGCATTAGCAGTGGTCTGGGTTTGTTTCTGCTGAGTGTGAAGTCCATGAGGGCAAACTTGCTAGTTTTGAAGTGGGAGTTGTGACTTTCGGACCACACGTAGGCTCCATCTTCGCGTTCCATCATGCTTTTTAGTGTTGCATGAGTCTCTTCGAACGTTTTTCCTATGGCGATGAGAGCAGTGTCATCTACGAAAGCAAGTGTTAGTTCATTTTTACCGTTGGCCATTTCTACTAGGTCCGAGCTGTAGATGATGTATAGTATCATAGAAAGTGGGTCTCCTTGTCCTATACCGTTCTTTGCATTGAACCACTCAGATTTGTAGTTGTCGAAACATATCTTGGTTCTTCTGTTCATCAGCAATCTTTCCGTGTACTTTACTATCTCCAGTGGTAAGCCTCTCTTTCTCATGTTGTGCAGCAGGCGGTCGGTGACTGCATTTGGGAAGGCTCCTTCTATGTCCAAGAATAGCACGGAGGCTACTTTTCCTTGTCGCCAGGCATGCCATACTGTGGTTTCGAGCAGGAGCAGTGAGTCTTTGGTTGATCGTCCCGGTCTTCTGCCAAAGTGTGTTGGCAGGAGCAGTTGGTATTTTTTGAGTATGAACGACATGTTGCTGGCTACTATGGCTGACAGTAGTTTTGCGGGGTGTTGTGCCTTACCACTGAGTATGCCCCGTCAGGCCTCTCGCAACGAAGGCGCCACAGCTGGTTGGATCCAGCATGGTTACCAAATGGTAGCGAGGAAATCCAGAAGGTTCTCGAAAGAGAACCACCTTCGAGGACTGGTCGCTGACCTGGAGGTGCGCATCACGTCGCAGGCCTTAAAGGCTTGGCAGGAAGCTTCCTTTCCCTCCTCTCGTCTTATTCCCAACCCGTGTATACCAGACCTGGGATGGGTCACCCTTAGCACCACGAGGGTCATGCCTTGTCGGTCACCCCACTGGGGTAAGGGCAGCTCCCATCGTTGGTGGTCCTATTGGTAGCTACCTAAATGGCTCGGGATAGGAAGTGGTTGGGGTAGAGTAGCCCCCTGACGTCGAAACCACCGCCCTCCCTCCCCTTTACCCAACTGACGGAAGTACCCCGATACCTAGCACATAGATCTAAAACTACCCCCCGAAGGGGGGTAGTTGGTCGACTTCCTATTGATTACTAATCAAGAAAAGCTCATCCACGACACCGACCTAGTTGAAGTCTCATCGCATGTCATCGTAGCATGAATCGACGAGTGCTGTTCTACATGTGCATTTAAAGTAGGTCAACGCCCAACAGTACTCAAGGAGGACTAAGAGTGAGCTGCGCACAGACATGTCACAGAGAAGCCACCAACTAACCTACTTCTCTCCCAACGAAAACGCAGATAGGCGCAGATCCGTTGACTTGTCCGCCTTATCGTCCCTATCGTACGACTACCAGTCAACGGTTCAAGGAATTCCTTCACCCCTCGTCCACCCTTCACTTGCATGTTCACGACATGGCCCTTTACCTTCCCCACCTACTCCGCATTCGACGTTCACAAGAAACCTCTCGGTGACATCCCCTCCGTAGACACCCTCACCAACCTCCGGATTGTGTTGATTAGGGCTCGATCTCGCTCCATTTTAAATATTACATTGATTTATTGACCCTGTGAACGTGTTCTTGCTGCGCTGAGTTTAGAGTGGGAAGGTCGCACCATTCGTTATCAACGAGTCCACGCCGAACATCGGCAGTCGCGATCTAAGGAGACCAATGATAGCGCTGAATGCAGCAAGATGTGAAGAAAACGGGCTCAGAGACCAGGAATTTATCTGCATGACTGACTACTTCCAATCTTCCTCACGATCAAAACAGACTTGTTCAACTGGTTTCGTGGAGGTATGTAATATATCCTCGTCACGAAATATGGTTCATTCTGACCCCGAAATGTTAGAGAGAGGAGACCGCCTCAAATAATTCATCTTACCAGTTGGGGGCTTCCATGATATTACTGTTGCCGTGTACGGAATCGAGAGAGTATTCTCAAGCCATTATTAAGTGAATTCAGCGTCTGGACATGACAGGTAAGGTTGGGAATGGTAATATGGCAGAAGGCCGGGGCCGGGTACTCGTACTGTCTCGTTATTGCACAAACCACCGCTAACTTCTAGTAGGGCAAATGCATCGTGTGCTTAACTGTCTTATCAGGCGCGAAAAATGCTTACAACTTTCTTAGTGGATGCCCTCACCGATGGGAGCACGATGTACGTCTGGGTTTCTTTTGCATAGCAGTGATGAAGCACTTTTGAGCCGAACAGCGGAATGATCCCCTGTCCAAAGGTAACAGGGACCTATTCGCGATTCCGTCATGTCTTGTAGTTTTCCTCGGGGTTGGGGGTTTCCATGCGTTTGGCTGTGCATAGAGGAAGTTTGGAATGGATGGGCCTGACGCGCGCTCCCTTTGGGGACTGTGATGAGCTTCCCGGACGGCAATGAGAACTATTATCAAGATGGCAACAACAACAACAGCAAAAATGTGAGCACTTGCCATCGCCAGGCCGAACAATGCCCTTGTTAAGCTGAAGCTCACTGGGTTTGTCTCGATGAGTGTTGCGTGAACTTGGCCCACAGGCGTTGTTTTTCCTTCTCTTCCGTGAGGCTGATGGAATCCCTACGCCATCCCTTCCGCTAGCAGCAAGGGAACTCACATCCGTTCGCGTAAAGGATGTGACCTCTAAACTCAACGAGGTGGCTTCTGTAGTAACGCTCCTAACAGTCCGGAACTTATTTCGCACGTTGCTATCGCACCTGAGGTCAAATATGCTCGGGTATGTGATATTCTCTGATATCGCTGGACCGTCTGATAGAAACATCACCTCCAGGATCCCCTGCGTTAGGACGGGAGCACTGACATGCAGGTTCGTATCTTGGGAATGCAGTGACTTGATATCGAAAGCAAGGCCGGGGCCACTGTCGTCATGGTGCTCGGAGTTGTACGCAGAGGTGGTTTACCAGAGTATCTGCTCTCCGATGCGACGTGACACACTGCGCCACTGAATGTCCCGAAATGAAGATTGTCTGGCCTGAACGGGGGAAGATATGATTCAGGAGGAAGCCGAGGCTTCCAGCCTGGCCCTACATGGGGCAGTTCGAGATACTGATCGCTGTGATAACAAGTTAGGTGTAGAGACTGCCGCACTGGATTTGAGCGATAAATAGGGACAACTTTTGTCGAAGGCGTGAGTTGCTACGGTGGACAGCACGACCATTGTGGATGATGGGTAGACGGGTGGGGTCATTTGGCGAATGAAGTGGGGTTACATCTGTCGCATACTTTATCGCAAGCTGCGTATCGGAATCTACCTGACACTGCTCGAGTAAAACTACCACACGTGCGTTGGCTTTAAGTGAACTAACAGATAACGATGAGTACAATACCTCAGGCGTCGGGGTTCAATGCGTCGTTTACTCCTGCGCTCCTGGCGGGCCAACTCGTGCATCGCCGGATGGGACGTCAGTACTTTACATACAAGCGCATCAGATGCAGTTCTCACCGGACAATAGGTTCAAGTAGCGTTGATTGAAGCACCGGCTCCAGGTACTGCATTCTCCGCAAATGCCTCTGGTTATTCCTTTCCTGTTCACAGCCAACCACCACCTGGGGTATTGGTCATGCCACGCAAAACGGGATCATTCGGGACCGAGCATACAACCTGCCTGAGCTCGCAGTGGCATAAGCCTGGTATCCAACGATATTTTTAATGGTAAACATTGTACTCACTGCCCACCTACATTTTGAATAGGTCACGGTGTTGTTTTGGGAGACGTCTACACATCATGATCAGACTCACGATACGTGGCACAAATATCCTGCGGGAATCCTGATGCGGCAAAGGCTAGACTAGTATTCACCTGTTGGATGAACATCGTGTAGTCTGCTCTCGGTTCGGGATCGTAATGGCGGCATGGCGAGCCACTTTGAAAAGTAAAAGGGTGCGGCATGCACTCGTAACTTGGTGGTCTGCGTGTCGGCGTTGGCATTGGCGTATGAAGAGGCCAGCAGACGTGCCAGCGCAAGGAAATAGTGTATCGCTGATCTCTACAAATATCTTGTGGTTCATAAGCTACCACGAGGAATGAGGTCATAGTAGTGATCGAATGGAATCTAGCTGCAGGAGCGCTGTCATGACTTCGAAAGAATTGACAACAAGCAGTGGGAGGTCGCGATGGCCGATGTAGTTGTACGCGGGCGCGCATGTCATTCGGTCAAGAAAGTCCACGTATAGTATTTGCACGCAGACTAACATCCCGCACCCCCCAAAATTCCTGACAGAGCGCATTCCCATCTTTAACGTCGGACGCAAAACTGAGAGTAAACCTTTGAATATGGCTAAACTTCGATGCAGTGCCGAAATTGGCGAGCTCCTGAAAAAGATCACGGTGATTATCAGAATAGCCAAAGTGTATAAGCTTCAGCACTACGATGGCTCGCATGAATAGCTGAGAACTGTTGGCTGCAAGCGTAAGTTCTCCAAGAAGCAGAAGGTGAAAACTGTCTGGCAGGAGCATCCAACCAAAGGTGTCACCGACTAGTGGAGGTCCGTTAATGGCTGGGTGGGGATAGACGTAGGATTCACGGTCTGGCTCGGGTAGCCTCTGAACCGCAGCTCAAGAGTGCTGAGGGTCGTTTCAAATATACGAGGGTAGGGGCCTGGCTAGGCAAGAGAAATCGCGGATGAGCCGAAACATCCCATAGGGAACAAAAATAAGAACTTTCCCAAGTGAGGGAAATTTCAGGCCCTCGAGCGTGCGAAGGACTGTAGCCACCGCAGTATCTCGTATGTGAAGGCACCGCCAGCGATTGGCGGTGGAGACGAGGGCGTCCGGCCATCGTCAACCAAACGGATTTATGATGAAAATGTCGAGAGGAACATTGCCACTCCTCATCAATTGAGTATCCAGGGTCGCGACAGGGGGAGGTTCGTTGCACACCACGACATTACTCCAGATCCCATGCAGAGCCGCGACACCGTTGAAAAATTCATTCTGCGGCCAACCGGCGCCAGAAAGTCTTCCGACTTATGTAAACATTAGACCATTGATCACAGGAGGTTGTTGCTCGATGAGCTCGTCGAGTCAATCTTGCTTTTGTGTTTTTATGGCAACACGGATTTCTACAAGCCGCTCGAAGAGTATTCTTTCGGTCCCTTGCAACCGGAGCAACTCATTGCGTGTTTCATCCAGTTCATCCATGATAGGCAGGTAGCCGTACCACAGACCAGCCTTGTGTAGGGAATCGTGCTCTCTGAACCCTACTAGGGTTGGCGAGCAACGGCGATCATCGATTGTCGCTGTGCGGTGTTGTTTAGTCTCCAGTCAACGGTTGCGAGTGACCATTCTTGGCCGAATAATTCCCGATGAGGCGTATGATCATTGTTCCCTGTTCATGCGCGACACCTACAACGAAATACAATAAAGCTCAGAAACCTAGAAGTGAGACTCCGCCCGTAGATCCCCTTGCTAAGCCCTGAGCTCTTAGGGTTGTTACACGGGCGGGTATCACCGGCGAGGTATCTTGGTCGCGACTATGGAGGTACGGCCAACACCTCGAGCCGTACCCGCGGTATTGGTTTTCGCGGGTAAGCCTCTGAATGATTCACTCGTTTACGGAAAAGGAGGTGGGTCTGTTGATATAGGAGGTAAGATTGCAGTCCGAATACTCCCATCCAATTCCTAGCACACAAGCGACCATGGTGCATAATACAGTGTTACCCGAAGAATACAAATGGATTGTTAGGGATGGCTATGCCAAAGGTCATTTACAATGACATCGGAACCGTATAACGTAGGTATTTCGCGCATTCCTAAATGTCCAGTGTCCCAGGCCTTGTTACTGTGCATTCGGAAGACTCGTGGAATGAAATGCAGTCACACTTACTTCCCGAAAATCGGATAATCTTATCTTCCAGTTGTAACGGCGCGGTGCAGGTTTCTACATTTGCAAGATGAACCTAGAGCACGAATCGTGCAAGGCAGCAGGAAAAGCTTTCCTCCAATCTGGAACGCGTGGATCCACGGGGTAGAACGCAAGAAACAAGGTACTCGCAGCATCGTGTAGATGTGTTCCACCACCAATCCGCGGATCCCGGAGTTGCCCAACTCGTTAGAAGGCGTAAGTCTTGGACCTGATGTGACAGATGAAGGCAGGGCGCTAACAGTATCGATTAGGGAGATGTGAATATCTGAAAACGAGGCGAATTGACTTCCTTGATGGTGGTCTTGTTTACTACAGTGTATTTCCCCTACTGGCGATTGGGTCGATCTATCAGGAGAAAGTGCTGAGTGAGTGGGACCGAGGATTTTGGCAGCCTCATCTGGGGCGTCAGTTGGCTTTCTGGGCACCAACTTCGAGAATGCATCACTCACTCTTATAAGAAGGTTGTCGATAAAGGGTCACTCTCGTTTCCGCCGAGTTCAGACTCATCCCGTTGCAAGGTAACGATAAAGATGCGAGCGGCGAATTTCCCTCGGGAAACGAATTGGGGTATTAGCGGGCCGATTGTGGCGAAGAACTGTGGTATCTTGCTTGGCTATTTGAAGTCTTTCTTTGGGGTTTATCAAGGGATCGAAGTCGCGAAAAGCGCCCGGGAGATTCTTGGAAAGCCAACGTGTGACGAATTGCCTCTTCTTCGGTCCGGAGGGCGAGTGTCCATATCGGTGTTCTTTGGTAGACAGCAAGTCAAATGTGCGCTCAGGTACCTCTCAGCGCAATGGGCAATCAGATGTCGCCATCCCCGACATACCTCTGCCTACGCCAGGTGACTACCCATCGATTGTTGGGAGGCAAAGCCCGACGATGACAGGTAACTTGCTCTCATTACGGTGCCGTATCTATGCTTAATGTCTGCCGTACATGTGCCAGCCTTTCGCCATGAGTTCGTCAAGAATCACGATGTCCTGTCCAATCAGTCCCGTTGGACGCGACTCAATTGTCGAACCCTCATATCAGGGTGGTGTGAGTGGGTATGGCCAGGATTTTCCAATGTTCCGCTAGGTTGATTGCAGAGGGATCTAGGATGACGGTACCCACGTAGCAGACTGTCGTTCATAGTTCCTCATCCATCAGCGCAAAGCTTCACCTACCTAGCTAACGGCTGGCTAAAGTAATCTGTCCAACTTGTACAAAGCCCTCATCATGGGTTCATAGGTGCGCTGTCCCACCACAATTGGATTATTTGCAAGTCATCGGGGCCGATAGGCGACCTGTGGGGGATGCATGTTGTTTTTCCTATCTGGAGTAGTGCGGGGATATCGAACGCGACCATCTACGGTACCGCGTGGTTGATAATGCTCAACTGTACTGGTACATAGAGTTTAAGCCGTCATGTCGGCCGCAGCTGGGAATATCAACCAAATCGCACTCACCAGCATCGCGATAAAAAACAATGTGACCAGATCGCGCAAACGGTACTTGTTTGCAGTTATCGCCAAATCTTTCAGGACAAACCTCATAGTGGCGGATATCGATAGAAAGCATGCTCAGATTGATACAGGTGGCTAGAATACAGTCCTCTAGAGTCTGTTAGCCCTTAGCCCTTGAATGGTATACAATGTATGTGTTTCCGAACTAAACCCCTCCCTAGGGACTTTTTACCAAATTGTTACCCCCGTTCATACGCCGATAGAGAGATTCACCGTGGTCTGGTGGTAATGAGGCCATGTTAAAGTCGGTCGAGAACGGTGGGGGCACTTCAACACCCGCGTCGTTGAATATACTCATCACGTCCCCAGGTGCAGGCATGTATGAAGTTGGATCAACGTCCAGGCTACTTTGCGAGTCCATATATAAAGGTGCGGAGAGCGATATCCGCCGATTACTCATCCCATAGGGTGAAGCAGATGGAAGTGAGTTCGGCGTTGGAGGAGAGAACGCCTGACTCATAGTCGGCGGGCTTGCGAGACCAGGGTGGTCTGTAAAGAATTCCGAAGGGGAGAAAGATTCCGGACTACTGTGGTGAGAACCACCATCGCTGCCGGGCTTCGTCATACTTGGTGCCTTCTTGCGGACCGGTCGTATCCACGGGGGACGATTTTGGGACTGTTCCTGGCTGTCCAGGCGCGTTGGCTCCAGAGGGATTTGCGTCACTGATGACGTAAATGAGGCTTCGAGATAACGGGAATCAGGAAAGGTAGATGCTCACAACGGCAGAATTCTTCCATGACATCTCCTGACCTCTGACCGCAAACATATCTCCCACTGAAGCGTCTGAGAAGCGCAACACATGACCGTATTCCCTCAAGGGCAGGCTGCATTACTCTCTGGAGCTTCTCAGACTTACAGTTGATAACGATAGCGACCAGCGTCCTCCCGGCCTGAGTCAGCTGATGAATGACGTGCACGCCATCTGAAAGATCGAAGTTTGCAAACAGTTAACTTCTGGATAAATACGCTCACAGTACGTCATCAACCCCTTCGCGGCGACTTGCATGTGTGACGAGATGATCTGCAATGCACACGACTGCGCTGCCGTCATGGCGTCCCGCTCAAATTCGCTGGGTTCCTCTTCTGACAAGCCGCTATAAACCCTCTCCGCCACGAAGCTGGACAGCCGGTGCCGGTGAATCAACATACGTACATATTGCTCCGCGCAGTGGAGGCGGACCGCCTGAGTGACTCTTAGAACATCGTCACTTGAAAGCGTTTCCGACGTATGGCTCCAGTACGTGGGTATGGATCGATAGATCTCGTCCAGCAGGGTCTCCTCTTCAACCATGTCTTTTGGTCGTCTGCGCTCCGAAAGTATACTCAGTGCGCGCAAGAGGAACGGGGACGAGGTCCCCGAGCGGTGACGCGAAGGGGGGATGTCCAGGACTGACTCCATCACGATCATGATTCGGATGATGGTGACGAAAGCACTCATGCGGCTTTCTGTTCCAGCAGGCTGTGACAAGATCCCGTCGCGGGTAATAAATTCATCGTCGATGATGGTGGGTTCGCCGACGTCACATTCCCGCACACGAACCATTGGGGGCCGGCCAAAGTGTGCTGAGAGTTGCTTGTCCCAGATATATACGCACCAGAATGTGCGTTTCCGGACCTCGTCCTCGATTGGGTCGAAAAGATCATAAGTATGGGCAGAACGATGCAGTCCGGCATCTATTGACACGGTAACGGCCTCTGATAAGAGAGCGGCAGCTTTTGAAAGTTTTCCGAGTCCAACGGCGTAGACAGCGGCAATAAGGTCTGCCTGAATAGTGTATAGCGTGGGTCGATCTGCAATTGGAAGGGTGCGAAGCCGTCCAAAAAGTTCAAACCATTGCGTTCCAGCGGACACGCCTTCGCTTGGGTCCGACCGCACACGAGGATCATCAATGTGGCGCGAGGCCAGGCAACAGACAGCAACTATGAAAGAGGCGAAACCGGGTTCACCCCATTTCCGAGGGTCGCCATAGTCCTAAATACAGAAATGTGAGTCTGATGGACCAGGACGAGTAAGGCCACGAACCGCTAGGAAGGTAGGCACATGCAAAAACGGGAGGAGATAATAGGACGTGCACAAATAGCACTGCACCAAGCTAATGGCTCATGGTCACAAGGTCGCCAAAAGCACAGAACTGAAGAATAACACACCTGTCCATTAGATCCGGTACGATGGATGAAGTTATAAGTCGCCATAGCATTTCTGGGTTAACGTCCGTCCGTCTTGGCGTACGGTCAGGGAACCACGTTGGATTGTGTGCCTGTTGTCCCCATGCCGAGTCCGAGGAAACTCTGTCCGTCTCAGACTTGACCAGCGTATGATTTTCAAGCAGCAGATCGAGAAGTGGAAGCCCAGACGTTTCTCCCTGCCACCGTGTGTAACCTTCGTGGTCAAAGTAAAGATATGACGCGGAATGGGAAATGCGTGCAGGCTCTTCTGGGGGTTGCTCAAATCCATGACTGTTCTGCCTGAGCGATGCTTGTGCTAGCATGGAACGAAAAATCGTATTAGGGCTCTCCTGCCGAGAGCCATTAGGTAGTTGTGCCGTGAAATGCGTCGAGGGATTCGTCAAAGGGTAACTGTGCAGAGATGGGGGTGGAATACCAGATGGAAATGTATGGTTTGCAGAAGCAAATGTTGTTAACGGGCTCGACGATCCAGGTTCAGAGGTGGGATGTGGTGCCGCACTGAAACCGGTAGAGAAGACCGACGGTGGGATAGCTTGAATGAGGGTTTCTAGTTGGTGCATCCTGTCCTCCAGGGTAGCTGTACGCCTACGGCAGATTGAGAAACGAACGGCAATGGTAAATTGCAACTACTCACTTTGACTTATGAGGGTGACTACGTTTACCCGGCTCTTCGAAAGTGCAAGGTGAATTGGCGGTTTGGCAGGCCTGACATGGATGACCTTCATCGCACTTGATTCTTCTGCGTCTACGACGCGGTTATCGTCATAAGGTGGTAATAAACCACCGAAAGTATACTCACCGGCAACGATCACACGCCCTGACAATATGGTGAGATATGAAATCGACATAGTGCAGTCAGCTCACCTGCTTAGTTTAAACCTTCGTTGTATAGAGGTCGAAGGCTTTTCTTGTTCGTCTTGTACCGGTGGCATAGTTCGAAGGTTTGAAGGTGCAGCTGGGTGAGTATCAGACCTTCGAGCCTGAAATATGTACCCACTCCAGAGAACATCACATCACACATGAAAACCGAAACAGTGTCAACAAACTCCGGGCCACTTCGGGAGTTGCCGGTTTCTATCTATATCGGGTAAACCTAGGCAGATTGCATCTGTTCCTGGTCCATGGCCAGGAGCATGAAATACTGCATATTCGCGAACGTTTCCAAGGATCGTCGCATGGCAAGGAGTCTGAGTTCATTCTTCAACGCTGGGGCTTCGTAGAGCTCATTTTAGACTCGCTATTTTTTTGGCCCAGAAGACAGTCTGAATGGAAATTGCGAAAAGCAGACAGAACAGCCAAAGAAACGCCGACGCCTACCGCTAGGGACGATCTGATAGGCGACACTGGAAGGGTATTCCCAATGAAGTCAGCCATCGTCGTTGAACTGTGTGGCAGGTTAGGAAAAACTGCCACCCACAACACATGCTTTCTCCGTTCAGTCCGCGGATGTGGTGTCTCTACTAGAAAGGTGCCGTCGTCTTCTTAGCTTCTCAATCCGAGTCCCCCTCCCCCATTCACACACGAAAATGAATGCGAACTATAGCCTCTCTGCTCAAATTGTTTGACAGGTCTACGGAGTCATTCATGGATCTTTGGTGTAAATTGACATTCTTTCGAAACATCTTTGCTATCCCGAAATATCAACTTAATGCAGTAATGCCGAGAACCTCGATCATTAATGCAAAGTCATATTGTGGCGTGTCCTGAGCCGTTGTGCTCCAAGGCGGACTGCTCCCCCCCACAACGACTACTTAGCCGCAGTATGTGAAACGCTGGAAGCAGATTCCATACCTGTCCTAACAACCTTCAAGCCTGTTGCAGAGAGACATCTCATCGATCAGCAATTCGCGTGCAGGAATTTTCGTTACTAAGCGCGTTGCAACGGAGTCAATGGACGGCAATACCATTCAAGCTAAACTGTCTACAAGAAGTGAAAACCGCGAAAGCAGGTTGGACGATAGAGTGCGAGTACCGGAGCTCCTGGACCGAAACACCCTAACATAGTTGTACATGAGAAGTCCTCATGTTACGATGGCCCTCATCAAGATCTAATGCTGCGCAGCTAAGTCATGCGGGTGGCAGATCACACAGCGAGTTCAAGCCGCGCCATACTTAGATCAAAAACAAGCTTGAATATGCTCGAAAGTACGCGATCCAATCAAAAAACAATGAACCCCATGACCAGAGGAATTAATGACTTGTACTCCAGCTCCTTCTTTCCCATTCCCCTAACGACGTTACATAAGGATCAGCACTCACATAAGCCGGAGACTTTAGAAAAATAAGGCGTTCCAGGTGTACGGCTTCTGCTCTCGCTCCCGATGGGCCTGTCGTGAAACGTGTGGCCCACTTGCCTTACCAGTCCAGAAATGGAGAGCATTTTTGAGAACATTCGACCACAAGGCACCCAAAGGTTCCATGCTGGACTAAGACCTTTCCCTCGAGCATCTTTTTTCGCTCGGAACAAAACGGGAACAGTTCTGCTTGGTCATTCTAGATAACTTACATGAGGCCATCTGACCTGCAGAGAAGAACCCCCGGAAAACTCGTGCCCCAGGCTGATGACACTACACCGACCGTTATAATAACCTGTGCCCAAGATACGCATTATCGCCAGATGGGGTATTTGCTTTCGGTTTCTGGCTGTGGGCGTCTACTCTGTAAATTGAGGATCTATCTATCCGATGGCGGGGATCTGCGATGAGGAATCGTCGAAAGGGTAAAACGGAAAGAGGGGAAAGGTGAAGTAAAGGTGAAATTTGATTTGTCAACCACCTAGCCTGTGGCAGACAACTTGTCGTGCGTCTAGGCATGTTTTTTTTTCGAGAACGGCCTGCTTGTATACACTATGTTTCCAGTCCTTGTGGTTGTGCCTTGTGAAATCTATGGCGCAATCATTGCCAATGTTTCGTGCAAGAGCACGAAACACGTGGGCCGAATTCCAATACGCGGAAAACCAAGTTGCCAGTGTCCGCACGTTTTCCGTCAAACAATTCATCAGATATCATTCAACACACAATCATCCTGATAGAGACTCTCACAATCAACGCCGACTTAACTATAAAGTTCCCATGTATGTCAATCTAAGGATTCATAGCAAAATCAAGGACGGATACAGATCAGATTTGGCGATCTCCGGCGCAGTAGCAGCCAGAGGGGATACATCATAAGCTGGTTAAACCTACGACTTGTCACGACGATGCCGACTTCACGGTCAGCACTACCGCAAAAAGACTCCACCGAAAAGATCAATTGAAATACTCGGCATCTCTCTCCGAGGTCTTAGCGAGGTCCAAGCATGTTATCTCTTCATACGCCAACTCAGTGGGCCCCGGTACACTACAGTGCCCGCCTTCGAGGCGGAGCATGACTTCGGGAATGCGAGGGGCCCCTAATTTCGCCCATTCTCTCAACGTGGAACCTAAAATGGAATACACAGCTCCTTCTGTATGGGTCGCTTCGACGGACTCAAGACGAGCACACGGTATGGGAGTGCGAATGTCGGAGGCACCCTCCCAATCACAGAAGAATGGTTGAGGAAGCAGTGACCCAAATGCATATTTTGGGATGTGACGGAGAGCGAGATGTCGTAGGTTCGGGAGGCCGGCAAAGAGAAGGGCGTAAGGTACCAAACAACTAGCCGAGACGTATTCTAGCGTTAAATCTTGAACAGATGGAAAGGGCGGAACGTTCGATCTCATCTCTGAATGTGGAAGGCAGGTAAGGCTATCGTAGGTAGAGTCGTCACCCGGCCTTGGCGGGGTGCGGAGAGCACCTGTCCCGCAGTAAATTAACAGAGGGCTTGCATCATTCGGACTATACTGCGCTTCGGTGTCATCCTCGAGTATGAGAGCTTTGAGACCGGGGCAGCGTAAAGTGCTCATGGTGAGAGCAGCCTCCTCCGCGTTATCAAAGACCAGGTGCAATGTTTCCAATCGTGGTAATGGAACGGACGGACCCTGAGGGGCTCTTCCGACCCACTGAGGTCCGGAGTGCTTCAATATCAGCGATCGCAAGTTTGCGCAGCCTTCAAGAATCTGCCGAAATGCTGTGACATCTGGGCGGACGTCACGATGGTGATACGAAAGTTCAAGATTTTCAATCCCGTTCGATAAGCCACCCCACGTGCTGGAAATGAATCGGGTGAAGTCGCTCCAATTCACGTGGATACCGCAAAGAGAGATGGAACGAAGCCGAGCCGGGAGCATAAGGGAAGATGGCCCGTCCGGATACCCAGCTAATGTGGCGAAGGGGGTAGTGATGGGTTCCTTGAATGCCCCTGAACCGAAGTGTTCGTTTCGGATGTTATACTCGTCGCACTGCATCAACTTGAGGGTTTCTAAACACGAGGCACCTCTTCTTGAATTGAAGAAGCCGCCTTGACCCACACGAGGGACACTCAGGCAACACAGGGCGGCATGCAAGGGTGCCCATGTATCCGAAAATACCGTCACAGACCGCCATCTGTAAACATGATGGCCAAGAATGTCGAGAATTTGGGTCATAATTTGAGCATCAAATGGATGCTGGGCAGACGGACGGCCATCAGTAGCGTCATCGCCATCGCTGAATGGAATGCCATGTCAAGACACACCATCTCAATCATGCGAGATATGACGCTCACAGATAGTCAGAGAAGTCCCATTCGGGGTCTCTTCCGTCAATAAAGATGTCAAGGGTGCAGTTGCCTGAACGCAAGAGGAAATATGCTAGACTTTCGACGTCAAGGAGGCGTTTTGACCCGCAGAAGCTGGAGGGATTCCGCTCGTCACTGATAGTACAATCTACGACGTTGTCCACAGAAACAAAGATACTGGTCCATAGAGATGGCGTAGACAGAGCGACACGCCTCCAGCGTCGATTCACTGCGGATAACGAAACGGGCGCTCTGATACTATGCGGGTGGAAAGGGAGTCTTCGCTGTCCGGTGCCAAGTGTGTTCCGTTCGTCCTGCGAGAGGGCATGTGTTACCAGCTCGAAGACGTATGATAACAGCTCCGTTGGCAAGTTATGGACCCCACCGCGTGCCCACACATCAAAGCTCCCTCTCAACGAACAAACGGACCTCATCGAAGGCGACGACCGTTGCTTCCTGGAAGAATAGCACAAGAAAAAGAGCAGGCCAGCATGCCCTTCACCCTTGCCTGCTTTTTGTCTTTGCTATTGCGTCCACAAAGCAACGGGTATGTCACTCAAAATAATAAGCCACCCAAGTGACAGGCCAAGGGTGGAGTTGATGTGAGTTGGAGCTAATTGGAGCTAATCTATATCGGGGTCGATCGCGGTCTGGGGGTAGTCAAGGTCGGAGATCGGATATTCAACTACCGCTGCGGACTGAACCGACAGCGGCCTGTTTACACTAAAAAACATTTTCACCCTTGAAGATAGAAACACATGTGCGACGCGCATAAAAAACGAAGATGATAACAATAGATAGACAAGGTAGCCTTGTAATAGCAGCATGGATGGAGTAAGTCCGCGTCGGTGTATGTGTTACCGGAATATCTGTGGTTAAGCCTCCGTTTTTCAAAGTCCAGGCCCCAGCTACGGGTGAAGAAGAAAGAGGAGAATACGGATTAGAAGGAGTACAACAGAGCGTGACGCGAGGGACATATACTGGCAACCACCCTTCTATGATACATCATAACCAAGATGACTCATACCTCGACTCATAGTGCACGACCTCCATACCATGACCGGGATTCCTCCGAGCTGGCGTCTGGTGCAACAACTGCCTGTTCTGGTCGGTATCGACCATCACCAGCTAATGGTTCGGCGCCTGATAATGGCGGACGGGAACCCGCGGGCAGAGAGTCATGTGTCCGTGTCGGAGGATATGATAAATCTTGTAATTCATACGACTCCGACGTAGTTTGACTCAGGTACGACGGTCGTGAATAGTTGCTTGACGATGATGGTGGTGCCATCTGGCGGGGAGAGTGAGGATATATTGGAGATAGGTGTGTAGGAGAAGACGTAGGGAGATTGTTGGTGAGTTCAGAAGTCGAGAACGGAGGCTGTGAGGATGGGATGGGTGAAGATGCTGTGATGTCAGTTGGAGAGTAATACGAGAGACGTGGTGATGTTTCAGGTTGCGAATCCAGAAGATCCTGTTCAGACGGCATAATGAGGGTATCACGATCCTGTGATGTTTCATCGACTTCGGGCTTAGACGTGGGTGGTACAAGAGGTGTGGGTTGGTAGGTTTGGTGCAGGGTCAGCTCGGAGGCCGAGCGGACGTGTGGATCGCGGAACATTGGTGTTGCCTCTAGGTCGGAGTGTTTATTCTTTGACGCCTTTCGATGGCTGATCCCAAGTCGGTCTTTCAAGTCGCCACCAACCCATGCTTCCCTGACAATATCCTTGTCAAGTGGGGCGTACGTGGACCGGACGAACTTGTAAATGAAACGCGGGGCTATGGAACAACGTGTTCGATCAGTTATAATCGCCGTCGGAGAAGGTAAGGCCACCTTACCGAGAGCAACTAGAACAGAGAACACAACACAACCCCAAAAGACGAGATTGCTGAAAAGTATTTCCACCTCGTCGACAAAAGCCCCAGTCGTAGTGAAAAAGTTGTTGGGAGGAAAATATGAATAGATGACCACCCACAGGATCATCACTAGAGATGATCCAATCACAACGATCCAGGTGATGAACGTCCAGCTAAAACAGGGAATCAGAATGTCAATGTCGCATGAAAAGAAAACACCGTACTAATGCGTGTTCATTCCAACGTAGGTGTTAGCAGCAAAGATAGCCCCTACTGCCACAGTCGTTCCCAAATCGGCCAGCGAGTCTATCCCTTTGCCGTTCCATGATACAGCCAATCCAAAAGACCAAGCCAGATAAGGAATGAAGAAAACTACCGCAGATTGGTATAGACCGTCCAGCATGAATGACCAGAACTTGAGCCGCGTATATTCTAAACCCCGAATGCCTCGGACGTATAATTCGGGGAAAGCCAATGCCGCTTTAGCGTTAACATCTTGATCGAACGCTAAACGGACTCATAAATGATCGACGTTCCACCGAGAACAACAAAGGAAGCCCTACCTCCCAGAACGATCACGGGAAGCGCGGTAAAGACCAGGTTATAGAGCAGAATGAAGCTATAGTCATACAAATATGTGGCGTCGAAGCTAGAAGGAGTCCATGTAAGCGACAACAGTAGTCCAAGGAAAGTTAGACTCACTAGCAGAAGGGCAAGAACCAGAACATAGCCAACGTCCACATGACAGTCTACACGCTGTATTCAACGGGATTCTCTTTGTGATTGGGAATATCGAACTTACTTTGTAGAAGAAGTTGCTATGCATGTCAGCAATACGTTGGTAAGACCATCGGCCATGCACGAGTAATAATTTCGTCAAGAATCTGAACTGGCCGAACGCGTAGTCTGCCGACATAGCGGCTTGTGAACCCTCATGCCCAAGCAGACCACAGCCCACATTAGCTTCTTGAATCATCGCCACATCATTCGCGCCATCACCGATCGATAAGGTCATGGCCTTGCGCCCTTCCTTGACCTACCCAAAGACATCAGAACGCGAATCCCGAAGTGGGTGCATGGGATGACCCACCAGCTTCACGGTAAGTGCCTTCTGCGCAGGGGACACGCGACAGCAAACCACAGTTTCACACTGCGTACCGAGATTAAGGAATAGGGGCTTAATATCCGGCAACAGCGCATGCCGCAGGGTTTCGCCATCGATGACAACGGCAAAAGCAGCTTGCGCCCCTGGCACGAAACCACGCTTCTTTGGATCCCAAGACGGCGGCCCCAATACCGATGAAATCTTGTTCAGACCCGCTTCTATTTGCGCCCGTGCCTCTTCTGGGGAGTCGGCTGAAAGGATCATGATCTCCATGTCCTGTTTCAGAAGGTTGCAACTGAAGCCTACACGAATGGTCAGCGGAAAAAAATGGAGCCTAGTAAACTTTGCCATCACACACCGATCTCGATAGCTGTCTGGAGTTTGTCACCTAAAAAGGGTCAGATGTGCGTAATTCGCCGCCGGGGGCTACAACTGACCGGTAAGAATCCACAGCTTGATACCCGCGCGATGAAGTGTTTCGATAGCCTCTGGAACCCCCTCCTGTAGCTTGTCTTCCAAAGCCGTGGCTCCCAGGATCAAAAGAGACTGCTCAATCTCAGACGCAGCCTTCTCGATCTCTTCGTCCCTGTTCTCTGTTGCGGCAGCCGCCGCTTCGTAGGTCCTCAGCCACGATAAAAACTCATCCTCCCTCAGGACCCTATATGCAACACACAACGTCCTCAGACCACCATTCGCGAACATGTCCATGTCTTTGGTTGTTTTCTCTTTCAACGCTGGATCGACATCGGGCGAAAGCCGCTCGTAGACGACGGTGTCGGCACCCTTGCAGTACAGAATGATCCTACCGTCAGGTGCGCGAACGATGACACTCATCCGCTTCCTCGTACTGTTAAACTCGAGCGTCTGGAGAAGCGTGTATCGCTCGGGCTGACCGAGAACCTCGATATCGATAGTGTCCTTGACCTTTCCCACGAACGGGAAACCGACATCCCGTGCGGCGGCAACGAGCGCAGCCTCATCTGGGGACTCCGCCTTGTATTCCAAGTAGTGCGGCTTTGTTGTAGGGTCAGGCTTATCGGCCAGCACCGTGTGACAGACAGCGAGAGCACGGAAGAACGCAGTGATATGGGACGCCTGCTGCGACGAGCGATCCGCGATGTCCTGGGCCAGCTTCGGCGAAATAAGCGTCAGCTTATCAACTTGAGCGTATCGGTTCTTGAATAGCCGCACAAGCCTATCGACCATATCGGCTTTGAGCGCGGCCAGTTTCTGCGACAGCTCTTCGGGGTCTACCTCGTCTAACCCCTGTCTTTTGGCTGCTCCACGCTGCGCCTCCGTCACGCCTTCACCGTAGACGACACCGGCGATCGAGCACTTCTGGAACTCCATCACGTTCTGCGTAAGCGTGCCTGTCTTATCCGAAAAGATATACTCGATCTGACCAAGATCGTCGGAGATACCCCAATTCTTTGGAACGCAGGCGGCATCAAAAGGCTTGTAGTACATGTCAACGTCCTGTGCGATAAAGAAAGCCTGGATAGTCTTGACGATTTCGATGGAAATGAAAAGCGATACGGGAACGATGTTCTGGAAGGCTATCAAGCAAGAGCTGCAATACTGTCAACTTCTCGATCCATTTCCACACCGTTTTGGAGTCGACTTACACAAATGTCACGAGGGCATTCAAGACAGTGGAATTGGTCGGATCGACGCCTTGCTCGTATATCTTTGTGCTGGTATCCTGAAGACCGTCCATGACACCGCTGATAATAGCCGAGAGCGAACAGATTATGACCAAGAAGATAAAGTTGACTATGACATTGAAATTGGTCTCCTTCGAGATCTTGGACTGCTTGGACGGCGTCAAACCACCGTTTAGATAGATCTTGGTGTCTGGGCCAGTGAAGGCAACCAAGCCAATGATCCAAGATGTATTCCTGACGGTACAACCACGCAGCAGGAGCTCGTTGATCGTCACGCCCTCTCTACGTGATTCACCCGTAGTGGAGTCGTTGTATCGCAGTACAGCGTTGTACAAGTACAGGTTCTGGTGGGGCGGCTCTGAGTCGAGAACGAAAGACGCTTTCTCGATCTCCTCTTCTGAACCAAGCGAAGACGTCGCCCGGAGAGCTTTCCGCGCCTTCAGGTTCGTCTCGCCGTCCAAGTTCTTGGTCTCTACGTAGCAGAGACCGCTGGAGTCGGAGGTCGACAGAACGACGATATCGGCCGGTACCTGTTCGTTCTCCCGCAGAAGCACGATATCGCCGACCTCGAGCTTCTTCCATAGCGTCCTTTCCCATTGCGCGGTCCCGGTTGTTCTACGCTTCCAGTCAACGACGCCAATCGAAGACCGGGAAGTTACGGACTGCTGATACCTAGAAAGGGATGGGTTTTGCCTACCCCATCCACCCGCTTCGTCGGCTCGTGGTAATCCTGGCGGATACGTGTGCGAGTCGATGCTTTGTATGTCCTCCAATCGACTACCACCTTCACCGGGAAGACGAGGCAAGTTGGGCATGCTCTCGTCGAGGTCTGCGGTGCTCAAGCTTATCCGGTCCCTAGAACCGCTCTTATTCAGTATCACCTGCATTCCCTCGCCGGCCTCTTTCTCGCGAAGTTTCTGAACACCCTTCGAGATCTTTCCTGGCGGATTGATACGCAGGAGGCGCTGATACCAGGGTCGGGGGTCGGAGCGCAAGTTGACGTTGCGCCATTGGCCCAGTTTCGTCACCGCAGAGGTATTCACTTCCTCGTCCAGTTGTGCACGGCGATAGTCCTCTACGCCATCCTTGATAGCAGTCACTGCTAAGATGAATAGAAGCGGGAGTGCAGCGGTGGATGCAGATGCCGCGCCGAACACGGGGAAGACTGCGGAACACGGTTATGAAAGCGAGAACGTGTTAAGCACGAGCTGCTTACGTTGAAATATCACCAGCGCCAAAAAGTAGATGTTAGCTATCCTATAGGAGTTTAGTAAACAACACGCGGCTACTCCTATCACGAAACATACCCGTGGAACTGCTCGTACAGGTTCTTTGGCAAGAAAGTTACGAGGGTGTATCCTTGATGGATTATGAGTACGAATCTCGTGGGGGTAAATCAACGTCACGACGCTTACTGCTTGTCCGAACTTTGTTTCTTGCATACCGCGCGAGGGGTTCATTATACTGATCCAACTCTGCAGGCGATAGTGGAGAGTTGACGTATATGTTCCGCCTCTGTCCAGGGATGTGAGGGCCAGCTGAAGTGGCATACGAGGCTGCTGAATCCGCTGTCTTTGGTCTCTTCTCGCGCCTGAAAAAACGAGACCGTTTTGTGCGGACGGTCTTTCGCCTCTGAGCCCGTTGTTCTGAACGGATTGACTCTGCGATGGTCGAGGCGGCTGTCCGAACGGTACGAAGACGTAGGTTGGGGTCGATAGCATTGTCTTGGTCGTCGTTCTCCACGAGTCCGTCTGGCTGCGGATGTCGCCTGAATAATGACATAGTATTGTCAGTATATTCGACAAGGGGGGTATTCTGAGGGGGCCCTAAAACACCGAGTGCCAGCACGGAAGGACCGGAAATGAAAGAGAAAAGCAGTCAGAACCAGCCAGCAGCAGTGGACGAACGCGAGTTGTGCGTCAAAGTGAATAAAGTAAGTGTGTAACAGAGAGCTGTGCTTGTTGGCCGTCGCCGCGCGCTATGCACCACCACAAACGGGTGTCTTGGAAAAAAAAAACCAAAAAGACAACAGCCAAGCTTTCTGATGGAAAATTCACTGTCATGTATACTACTACAAGCTAGTCGACGTGTCAACAGTGGTCACCGGTCATATCCCAGACAAAAAACCAGATTGTAGGATTACCGTCAGGCTCGGTGACAAAACGAGCGACTCTCCTTTGCACTGCCAGCAGCACTTCGCATCAAGCCAAGGCTGTGAAACGTTTAGCCACGGCTGCGGGGCTGAAGCAATAATGCATCCGTGCTTGACAATTCTCGAGACGGCAAGCTCAGCGGGCCAGCCATGATCTCAGCCATACATTCACCAGAGCCATGGAGGTCAGGCTGCCTTTGGTTGGCATGCCATGATTCTGCGCTCCACGAAACGCGTGGAGCCTAGATCAAGCCTAGGTGCAAAGTTTTCTAGCCCTCTTGGACCAAGGCTCGAATCGCTCACAGCAAACAACATACACAAAGCCCTCCCCGCAGTCGAAAGCTCTGTGGGTATGCGCTAAACCTGTGAAAAACCAGACTATGGATCTGAAACGCTGCTATTTACCTCGTGCTAGCTTCAGCGCACCCATAGACCTGTACATTACATGGAGTGTGGAGACCGACGAACCAGTCGTGGCGTCCGATAAGACCAACGTGTTTTGCCATCTGCAAAACCCCGTCTACCCGGCGTCCATACTACATAGCCGACTGGAATCGTGGACAGCCAGCTTAGTTCCCCCCGGCATAGTGCGACGGGGGGCCATAGCCATGGAGTGAGTTGTACGTTCGTATGTACCTCTTCCATTATTCTCTTCGACGGTTTCATTATTAACTGGCACTCTTGTTTTCGGGTGCATGCCACGGTCGTTGTTTCACCTATATAGATAAACGCCCATGTGATCAAGTACATACTCTCGGGACCCGTTCAAAATCCACGACAACGGTATCGTGGTTATCGTACCTATTCGGGCGAGAAAGCACGGAGCAATGGAAGTATCTCGGGTAGAAACTCCACTCGAATTGTGAAGTTCAACTGTGTACATCTGCCTCGACCATGAAAGAATCCTTGCTTCTGGACTGGATGCACGTATGTACTTGTTGACTGTATAACAAACATCCGTTCGACTTCTCAACGGTCTACCCAAGGGAGACTAGCGTCGGCATAATTGTATACAGACATAGCCTCTGTCTCCTCACGCGGGAATGATTTGGTTCCATCGTTAAGACCTCGACTCCATCCAACTCTGCTGTAGCCATGCGATGGCTACTTGAATCCCCCTTCGCTTAATTCCGCCGCAGTTCCAAGGTATGTCCACCACGAGGCCGTGATAGAAGCTGCACAACCCTTGTAGAGATCACTACATGCGTTAACCTTACCTACATCGTATTGTCCGTGCCATTGTGCGATGTGCGTCTATGTTCTCATATCTACCTTTTGGGTCCTAGTCTCTCAAACCCACGGCGCGGAGGTCTTTTGTGGGGCTGCTAGTCCCGGAGTTTCAGCATCCCCAGAGTTCGTTCCAGGTCATCACGGATCCCAATTGTGCATGTTGACTCAGTGGGCCCCGCATGCCTTCCCAGCCCTATCCACCTATGTACGTTGATGTGACCGCCGGGTAAACGATATTGTCCTCTGGCAATTCTGTGGCAAAATAATTTATAAAAGCACGTTCGTCGACTTATGTACGATAGTGGGTCCATCGCGATCTCATTAACACGCATATGCATATGGCGGCAGCTATTTACAACGCATCCAAGTGGCATATGTAAAGTGAATGAACCAACCATCATACATAAATGAAACACCAAAAACAAACCTAGAGTAGGCATACATAGGAAGGTGCAACTCGAGAGATCATGGCGGAAGGGGGGAAGAAAAAGAAGGATCCTCCAATAGACTTGCTACACAAGCATGCGCCGGAAGATCTATATGTAACGTGGTACGACAGCAGAATCGATGACAAACAATACTCGAGAAATAACGACGGAGACAATGCAAGGGATAAGAGATATTTTAGACGTCGGCGGGAGTGGTGCGGGTAACAAGAAAAGGGCGGGATACAAGTCGTCGACGATGGTACACAGGACATGGACGGAGTGTACACTCTTTTGCAATTGTCTTCACTATAGCAAAGGAACTGCCATCGACACCCGATAAGCTTCCTAAATTTAATACTTCCATCTCGTGAGAAATGGAAGAATACGGCGGAAAAAAATATTAATTTACTGATCCTTATGCCTCTGCTTCTGCAGCAGCTTCCGCTTCGGGGTCTTCTGCGATTGTTTCTGCTGCGGGTGCTGGAGCCTGGTTTTCATCCGTGGGGGCTTCAGCCTGGAAAAATGGTGTCACCAATTCGTTTCGACAGCAAAGAGGAAGCGAAAAATAATACCTTGGATGCTGGCTTCTTAGAGCCAGCTCTTGAGACGGGTTTCTTGGCATTCGTCGACGCAGGTTTCGCTGATGCACGTGATGCCGGTTTTTCTGCCCTGGAGGCTGGTCTGGCTGACGCAGCCCTAGATGCGGGCTTCGGAGCTGTCTTAGAGACTGGCTTAGAGGGTGTCGCTTTGGATGCGGGGCTAGCTTTAGATGATGGCTTCGCGTCGGCCTTGGACGCAGGTTTGGTAACAGCCCTGGAATCAGGTTTGGCCTTATCATGCGGACCAGATCAGCATTCACACGAGTTTAGGGGAAGGCGAGCACGCGATATGCATGCAGCACACCTTTTTCGCTGGGGGGGCTTCGGCCCCGTCCTCGGGGGCAGCGACATCTTCCTCTTCCTCTTCCTCCACGTCCTTCTCTGTTACAGAACGTTTCTTACCTCTGGCGGATTTCGGTTTGGACTCTTTCTCGCCGTCTTCAGTGGCCTCTCCATCCTGCCCTTCGGCGGCGGGTTTAACCTTCTTCGCGCGGGGCTTGGCGGGTGGTTTCCTCGCGGGAGGATCAGGCTTTGGCTGCTCTTTTATGCGAGTGGAGCGCCTTGGTTCTGCAGGTGCACCTGTGGCGGCTGCTGCTGGTTTGCGGGGCATCGCAAGCTCTGGGTGGGCGGGGGACAAGTAAACAGGTTAGTGGGAGGGGGGGGAGGAGACGCGCTTCAACTTGACCCTAATTGCATGTCCTGAACTTTATCTGGCTATCAACAAAACTCGGTCACGTGACAGAGGAGCGCGTACACAGACACCAACAGCGACAGAGGGACAAAAAGAGGGGATCGACTACGGGGACTGGTCTCTCGAGATTGCGACGGGGGATGTTAGCATTCCATTGTACTATACAGGAACCTTAAAATACACTCGTTCGACCGGGACTTCCAGCAACATCCTAGAGCGCTTCAAGAACAGCCTCTGCGCCAGAGACAGTGACTCCACGGCCAGGTTCAACCTGACAGATATTCAATGTCGGCAAAGGGGATAAATCGGAACAACTCGGACGTACCCCGAGGTATTTGACGACCAAGTCATCCAAAATGATCGCGTACCGGGCAGTGCGCAGGCCAAAGCCGATGTTAGAAAGGTCCACCGAGAGACCCAGCGCTTTGGACCACTCAGCATTGCCGTCAGAGAGCGCGAGTATCTAGACGAACAATATCGTCAGATGGATGAACCGAACAACTCCTGGGACTCCTTCACCTTGTCTTTCAGCCCTTCAACACGACCCCAACCGCTCATGACAAAGGCGTCGTTCGCAGCAAGGACTCCGACTATATCAACACCCTTGGATTTGAACTCGTCATATTTTTCGAGGAAGGGGGGGAGGTGGTTGACGTGGCAAGTAGGCTGTAGAAGTCTGATGATGAGACTGTTGAGAAGAAATGAGAAACTAACTGTAAACGCTCCTGGGACGGATACCAGCACCACTTTCTTTCCAGCGAAGAAATCAGTGGTAGTGATAGTGGTCGCTGAAAACGTCGCATTAAGGTGAGGAAATATGCTTTCAAATTTGTGAATAAGAACGTACGAATACCACACACGAGCTAAAGACAAGTATGAGCCGGTAAGCGCCGAGACGAGCAGAGTACGTGAAACTCACGGCATCGTCTTGTTCTGGGGTGTATGGGATGTAGCTGAACGTGCCAGGGGGCACTTTGTCACCGACAGCGATCGTTGGGGCTGCCATGTTAACAGAAAACGGGAATACGACGATGAGCTGGCGTATTAGATTTAATCTAGCCGCTATATGAAGGACATCTTGGCTTAGCTAATCCGGAATTTTGTTGCTCGCACCATTATCTCGTCAACAGGAGTGCAACGTTGCAATGTGCGAGTGGGCATTGCAAAAAAGATTTCTAGTTCCTGTAACCGTGGATAGTCCGTCGTTTCCTGGGAAGGCATTGGTCCGCTCGTTCGAAGATGAATCGACAAAGATATTGTTCTAGAATTACCAAGAGCACGGCGTGCACCGCACACTACTGGCAATGATTTTACCCGTGTCCGCTGAGAGCTCCTCCGCATCGCGCATCCGTTTGAACCCGCGTCTGATTTTTTTCGTCAGGTCTCAGACGGGGAGGGGTTCGCAAGTCAGCCGCAGTCCTCTGTGGTAGTATCTATCCACGTGTACATACACAAGCCCTCCGAGTACCCCTGTGTTGAGGCTGCAAGCCGAGAGCGCACCCAAATAAAGAAAGAGATAAATGTCTAAAGGCGAGGTGGATGTCATATCCCCAGAGGGGAGAAAAGCGGGAGTGAGATCACATCGTCGCTGACTTGCACCATTCGCGCCCAGATCCGACCTTGCTCCTAAACGGAATCTTTCTCGTCATTAGCGGGTTACCATTCGGAAAACCTCGCCCTTGACGGGATAGCTGTCCTTAACGACCTAGGAGGAATTCTCCAGGCATCACTTGAGTATTTCAAGTCTGTTGCCCTGCCACCCCTTCGCGGACAGATCGACATCGCCAAAATCAAGACTTCGTTGGATGATGCTGATGCTTGGTCCGGAGACTCGGGGATGGACTGCGATTAAGAAAGAGCCGAAGCTTTCTGGTGTATTTGAGGAGGACGCATTCGAACCTCTTTCGAAGGTTTTTGACGAGGTCGTATGCGAGGCTGGCAAAGTCGCCAACACCCCAGCAACCCTAAGATTTCCATCGCGTCCCTCGCATTCGCCACTCTCCGACTGCTTCAATACCACTCTCCCGGATGCCTGTTACCAGTCGAGAAGAAGAGTATTGACTTGCAGGAGGCTAAGAAGAGCATACCAGCCACATAAAGTTCTTTTTCATTGATTCTTTGCCCTCTGATGACTTGGGGCTACAGAACCCAGTAGACAGCTGGGAAAGCCTTGAACAACTGTCATTAATATGTGACCGTCGCGAATGGGAACCGGCAAGTCGAGTCCCCTTGCTGGGTGGCTCAGAAAGCGACAAGAGTCAGGTCAGCCATCACTCCACGTGCAGCTTTGACGTTCGCAAGTTAACAAGCACACGGAGTCTGTAGAAGATTTTCCTACCTTTACCACAGGTTGCGAAACTACTGTGTCTTGGATTTTGAAAGCATACGATTGTCCCACACTTTATTTCTGACCACAGAAGACGGTTTCTTATATGCAGTAAGTGGCTTATTTATTTTGCAGATGAACTATTAGGAACATTGATTGTCAGTGGGTGGATAACGAGGCCAGCACTGTTTTGAACAACTGGCGCGAACCATCCCGAACTTTTTCTTGCACTGGAATGAAATTATATCTCTGATCGAAACCGTCCGTCCACAGGCGCTTAACGAGCTTGTTAAGTTGTTGTTAAGTTGCAGGTTGTGTACGATTCAGCCTAGCAGTTATTATAGATCAGTAACAGAAACTGTAAGAGATTCCTCGAACCATTACACAGTCGACAGTGTACAGACGCACCGCGACATCCCTGCACGAGATGCAGCCAAACCTTCATATCTTCGTGGTCGGACTAAGGAAGACTCGAATTGATACCTACTCAATGAACCAGGAAATCATGCTAGAGCCGTCATAGTGTTTGCAGGAAGTCTTTATCATTCATCAGTAAGCGAATAGATAGTGTAAACCTATCACTAACTGGTCGTGACCGTAATTCCACCATTTCCTGTCCCCCTGATGTTGGGTCGCGCAGCCATAGGCAGCAGATACAGGTGGGAGTAGAGTAGAGGGACACATACTTCTGTGCATTCTCAGGACGTCACCATCTAAGTGGGACGAACCTGGGTTTGCAGACAGTGTGGTACCAGAAACAGTGTGTTTGATAGCACGACCCTTCGTCAGGTGGGAGTAGCCAACACACTGAGATGGGTGGGTTGGTATTTTCTTCGGGTAGGGTCAGTCTCCGAGGTAGGGACTAACCCCGTCACGGTAGGTGGGGATGCTTGCGAAAGAGCAGCCGTTGTGAAAGAGCAAGTCGAATGAGGGTATTAAACGAAAGCGTATGGATAAAGGATGTAAACAGGTACTGACTTTGATACTTGATCGGAGAAGAAAAATACAGCGTTCGACTGTTCGAAGGTGGTCGATGTGGCAGGTATAGGCTGGAGTGGAATTTGTTGATGATAGGTCGAGAAGAAATGAGAAACTAACTGTAAACGTTCCTGGGATGGACGCCAGAAGTTGTGATAATTTGCGATTAAAAACCTACGACTACCATGCGAACTGAACAGATACGTGCTGGTGAGCGCAGAAGCGAGTAGAGTACGTGAGACTCACGGAGTTACCTTGCTCTCAAGTGTATGGAATGTAGCTGAACGTGGCAGCAAGTGCTTTGTCGCGGCCATACTGAACGAGAAGTGCGGTGGACACACTATACTTATCAACTTAGCTAATCTAATGGACCGTAGGAGTTCTGTTAGTTCGACTTACAAATTGTCTGATACCAGACCAGAGAAAGAAAGTACAGCTGCTGACTGTTCGAAGTGCCAAAAGGTGGATGTCATGAAAGGTAAGCTGGGGGGTGTTGCGAGCGTGTGTAGTCTCCACCCATTTTAGTTTGTCCGGAGAGTCGTCGTGAATTACAGGCCAGCAACCAATGGTGAAATCGGCGCCTTCTGTGTATGGTGTCTATAAGGATGGATGGAAAGTAAAGGACGTCATACATACTGAATGACAGAGGGATATTTGTTACGGATGGTGTCAGTACACATTCCTGATCACCCAGACAATCACAGCGCAGAATGTCATATGCATATCTGCCATCGTCACCCCCTCGTGTGACAGCCACGTCCAAGAAGCGCACACCCCGGTCCGTCTGCGTAGGCTGTTGCTGTGGGACGTACTGTGCGCGGCCGACGCGCTGTCGTGTTTCTTTCCCTGACCGTTTGTGCCCACCGGCCCCATATGTCTGACTGGACCTCTGACCATCGATTTTCAAGGACAAAAGGTTGTCCCAGACCTGGACCAGACTGCATCCGGGAACACTATAATGCTGGTAAGTTCGTGTATCTTACACGCATGTTGATGAGTTCAAGATTGATGCAGATGGCCACATGCAATCGGACAACGATCTTCGCAATTCCGAGGTTGCGGAACCAAATTCAGCAAAATCCCCTTGTTTAGCTAGAACCTATAAGGCCGAATGTTTAGAACTCGAAAATCTTCGGCCTTCACAATTACTGTACTTCCCTCAAATGGAGATCTCTGAATTCCTCTGGTTCCGAGACTACATATGTATACCTCCAGATGTAACATCCTCCTCCCAACTTACTCAAATATCTGCATAGACAAAATTATGAGCATCCTGCATCAGGAAATTAACACTTTACTATTTTTGACCTTTTTGTGACTTTTTTTGACTTTTTCATGACTATTGTGACTTTTTGGGAAGGAACCTACTATCTGTACTTTTTTTTTTGGCCATATACAGCATTTTGAAGAATGAAAAGAGAACAGAATCTATTGAGACAACTAAGTGATGATATATCTAAGCCAAGAAGACTAGAAAATGTCTGAAAATTCAGAGATATTGAGCCATTGGTGTGATGCACACTGTCTGAGAGAAAAATCACAATATCTCTTTGGAACCTTCATCAATTTGAATGTATGTGGTATCTACTGAAAGCTATGAATTAGGTGGTTTGAACAAGACCAAAATCAGCAAGAAAAGTACAGCCATGCCTGCAGGACATGGGTAATGATAGTAGATTCCTTCCCAAGAAGTCACATTAGTCACAAAAAGTCAAAAATAGTAAAGTGTTATTTTCCTGATGCTGTGGATCGGGCCCCTCCGTGTTTTCGGCTTTTTTATGTACACCGTAGCGTGTGACTGGGTACGAATCTGTGTTCGATTTCACACCAACTGTCTTCTGATGGATCTGATTCGTTGTATATGGTACTGGGTGCACTCCGTAGTTCACTCGTTCCCGTAACACTTCCGCGGTTCTTATGTTATCCTGTAAATGCTATTTGTACTGTAGATAATATCAGATAGTCAACCACCGACCATGGTTGTACTCTTTGTCGCTGCGCAGTCTCTCTTACCAGCCTTCGTCGCCCTAAACTTCGAGTCAAGTTCATGGCGTATCATTGCTTGCGGTCTCATTATCGCACTCATTGCAGCAGACATGACTACCCATGACACTGGGGTAGGATATTTTGACTATTGTCTCGGTGGTACCATGGGTGTCAACGTGCTGGATGCCATCCGCTTTTTGCTATTGACCCGACCCCTGGAGGAGTATCGTCACGAATCGGATAAGGTTCCCGCGTACCAATTGCCTTTTATCCAGAGATACTTCTGGGTCGCGAGTATCTCGCCAAGGGGGATCGGGTGGTCCTTCAAGGTGAGCTTACACCACGTTAAAGCCAGGCTTAACATTGATTGTACATGGCAGGCAAACCACAGCATACCTGTAGTCGAGCCACACCATCGCACTCGCAAAGTATTCATCGCCTCGCGGTTGCGCCGCATATTCAAACACTACTTTCTCTTCGAAGCAGCACTCTTGTACATTCGTAACAATCCTGCCTTCACATCCACGGCTTCCCTCGCTTCTCAAGGGTACCTTCTGTGTTGCCTCAACGCCCTCGTGATGCCATTTCGCTTCTACTTTGGCGTGACGTGCATCCAGTCTGCCGCAGCAATATTCGCGGTGGCCGCTAACATCCACGAACCGGAGTCGTGGCCGGCCCCATTTGGGCACTGGGGAGACGCGTACACTATTCGAAGATTCTGGGGGTGTGTATGAATCTCGAGTACCCCGGCGAACGTGCACTCACCATTACTTATCTTGATACTCGCCAGGAGGACATGGCATCAAAATTTCAGATATGTGAGTAGTTAGTTTTCGTGGTTCTCGCCCGTTTTCTCAGCCGAAAGCGTGTAGACACTCACTATATTTGGCCCTAACACACGGAAAGATCGACCGTGGGAAGATAGGTCGCCTTCAAAGGGATCTTCGACTCAACAGCCAAATCAGCGCGAATCTTGGGCGACATCGTATCACAAGCTTTGCAATGCTTTCTTATGTTCCGCCTTCATTCATGTGTGCGGGGATGTCGTGCTCCAAATTCGGATACGAAAAAGATTTACACTCAGCCCAAACATAATCGGATTTTCTCTTCCATTTTTCCTTCTGCAACCCATAGGTGTGCTGATTGAAGATGCCGCCATAGGAATAGGGAAACGCACGGGCATGAAGATGGGAAGATGGAGAAAAATACTCGGATACGCATGGGTGTTGGTATGGATGTGTTGGACTTTGCACCCCTGGATGGATGGTTTGAAGGACGGCATTGAAGCTGCGTACCCCACGCTGGAACCTGGAATAACAAAATACCTCCGTGTGACGGTGACAGAGAGGATCGTTAAGAAGGTTTTCGGCATAGACCTTGCGTCTACGATATCATCGTGGTTCACAGCCTTGTAGTCGTGATGCTGCATGTTGATACGTTCCAACGTTTAAGCTTGTCAAGATTGTTTTGCAGATGGACATACTAGCCAACTCTCCACACTAAGGGTACGCGATCTATAGGCGACGTGGATAACGCTGTGCTGTATCATTCTACAATTTTCCGAGCGTGCTCGCCATGAGATTTTATGCTCTGCTATGGGCCACGAGGTGAAAGTGTAAATTACAGTGTGGTTGATGGCATTGGAAGTTCATTGTAGAAATTCAAGTTGTTTTATCCTCAAGTTTTGCTTTTTGACGCGTACTTGACTCCGGCCGATCTCAGACTACAACTTGCTCAGAGGTCGACGTCGTGCAGTACATAGTCGAAAGTTAGCGGACAGCAGACCTCTAGACATCATCAGGAATAGGAACCAACCATACTACCCGACATGACAACCAGTGCCTACCGTAGTCCAGGAGTAGTAACATTTTGTTTTTTATTGTTACGTCGCACCACGTTGTCTTTGTAACTAGCTAACATAGGGACCCCAATAATCCCCTATTTCCCGCCGCGCGTTTTTAACACACGGTTCTTCTTCGGTGTAGGGTGGGCTTTAGAGCTGCCCCGCCGGCGCGATCGCGATGGTGATGAGTGATTGTGAGGTAATGTCGAAGAACTACTAGTGGGTGCATGACCGCCTTGGGTTCGTTTACCTGCAACGATCAGGGGTGTAGGATTGACTTTAGAGGTGTTCTGTCGGCGTGACCGCGATGATGATGAGTGATTGTGAGGTGATATCGAGGAGCTGCTAACAGGCACATGACCGCCTTGGGTTCGTTCATCTGCTACGTTTGTGGAGGTGAGGAGGCTGTGGCCAGTTAATCGAGTGTTGGGGCGATGCAGTGCTACATCCCGGGCCGGCACGATGAGTTGAACGTCCCCATGTACCCACGCCTGTGGTCCAAGAGCGGTTGCAAGCTTTCCGATAAGAGTTGCTGCTGCTGGGCCGCAAACAAATGCTTTACTCGTGCATATAACCATGGTCTTTTTGCAGCGGGTAAGCATAACGTTGGTTCGTCGCTGGTTAGTCAAGAAGCCAAGTTTGTCCGATTTGACCACAGAGACGATGATGTGTTCTGCCTCGTTGCCTGGAAATAGATTCAGCTTGGAAGGGCAGAGCCAGGACGGGGGAGCAAACCTTGAAATGAATCTACGTTGAATACTTTATCTTCATGACGTAATTTCGCCGTTTTCAGCTCGTGTTCAATGAGAGCGCGTTGGGCGTCGTATGGTGTGATGATACGAAAGTCAAGCCCTTTAGCCTGATATACACCGGCAAGCTGCACTACAACTCGTGCCTCTGAAGAATTCTACCTTGATGTCAATACACACTCATTGGAATCAAGAAAATAACGCACGATCCAACTCTTTCCTGATTTTGTTTCCCGCCCTCTTTCAACATCGACAAAGCGGCACGGTAGACTGACGGAGTTCCCGTGACAGGTTTTCAGCTTCCCATTGTAGACTGCTTGTGATATGAAGTCGCCGATGGCGCTCGGCATGCGGTCTGGAGACGTCGGTCGACATATGTGAGCCCGAAGGAATTAACTCACATTGTGTATCCAAGAACAGTTTTTCTTTGTGAAGGTGGCTGACTTCGAAGACGCTTTGCAGCGTCGAGATGTCCTCTTGACCATACGGTGGCACTGGAACGCGTTCAAGGAACGAACAAAGGGCCATGGGCATAACTCACACTGCTTATCGTCTCCAATGAAGACGATCTTCGTTAGGGTGCGTCCGAAACGATAGAGAACGGGAACGTAATTTCCGAGTTCTATCTGACTGCCCTCATCAAAAATTAGCATGTCTACTGGATTCACTTGGACATAGGGTGCGATATTGTCATTCGACAACATGCTCAGTGTGCACAAAATGATCCTGGCGCCGCACAGCTGCCTAGATGCGCCGACTACGCCCTTAGCGAACGAGTCGGAGCGAATGACGCACGATGGAAGCCTCTCATACAGGTGCTCGTGCCTGTAATACCTGATTAAGGCAGAATCTTCGAGTCAAGTAGGAACGCACCAGTCGAAGTGGAACTCCAACGACACCAACAGCTTAAAATCATAGAATTTTATTTTGTCAAACTTCTCGGCGACATTCTTCACAGCGACATTCGACTGTGCAGCTATCCAGATGGTCCGGCTACTAGCAGCAAGACAGGAAATAATGCTGGTAACTGCGGCAGTGATGACCGTCGTCTTGCCGGTTCCCGGGGGTCCCTGAATCAGCACGATTCGATCCGCATCCGATGCAGACAAGATTTTCTTGATGGCTCTTTCCTGAGAAATATTGATTTCGAGACCTGGGCAATGGATCGGTATCTTTGGCTTCGTGTGGCCGGACTTCGGCCAACGTATTGCATCATTTGGGAGCCATACGGCTTTGAAAAGCGGATGTGACAACAGGGTGGATTCCCCCTTCAAGGTGACGAGAATAACGAGTTCGCGAGATGCCTCTGCAGACGTGAGATCTGGCTTGCCGATTGTCCTCACCGACTTTACTTCGTCGCCATGAAAGGAACCCCGAATTTTGATCCGAGCTTCTCGTCCTTTGACGTGGATGGCACGACCTGACACTTGAACACCCTTCCGTGTTTCTATTTGGAGGGACTATGCGGAGAAAATGGTCATGTACACTCGACTCCAATCCACTGTTATTGACGTACCTGCTGAGCCGAGAGTCTGATACGAGTCGGATAGCGACTACAGGTCAACTTAAGGTTATCCATCTTCACCGTAATGTCTGGCATAACGTCGTTCTTCACAGAGAGTGGCTTCAAGGAATCTAAAAGCTCTCCATCACGGCAAATCTTAGAAAGCGCTGACATATGCTGAACCGGAGACAAGCCGGGCAGTGTGAGCAAACAGATTGATTTTAGTGACCAGCACGTACTTCATCCGGTATGATATTTGTTCTGATCCTTCTCAAAGCGTGGAAGCGCACGGCCATGTGAGGAAGGATAGACGCCTGACAAGCTGCCCAGGCTTGCTGGACAAGGTCTGAATTTGACGCGGGGCGTGACTGGTTACTAAAAAATAACGCTTTGACGTTTGACTGGTGTAAAGTGGACTCGCCACCCATTGCATTCATAAGCGCCTGCGGGGATCGCCTGTCATCAGATGGCGACACGGAGAGCATATCTATTGCGCTATCAATTCGCAGTGCCATGTCCAAATACAAGGCAACCGCAATACGATCCATTTGAAATGCATACTTCTGGTAGTTTGCATTGCAGAGAATTTGTCTCTCGAGGAGGCTCCTTGCTCGGATGACTCTGTTTCGCTTGCTACAGTTGCTGCCTAGAGACAGATCACCACTAGCGAGCTGTACTACCAGAACTCTAGTTGGTGAGGAGAAAGCGATAGCGCCAAGTTGGCAATGGCGTCGATACGAGGCTGAAATGCCAATGGCACCTTCGGACATCACTGTATCGAGGAATGGACGAAGGTGCCTTGCATCCAAAGAATCCTCTGATAAAATCTCGAAGATAATCTCGGGAGAGCATTCCCGGAACAATTTGGGTATGACTGTTGATGATGAGAGAGACATTGAGAGAGAGAGAGAGAGAGAGAGAGAGAGAGAGAGAGAAAGAGCAGAGGGTGGGATTTGATGAAGGCAAGGAACAGCGACCCTGAAATCGGCAAATAGGCCTTTTATATTTGATACCCGTAATGAAAATGGGCCCAGGACATGACACAACAATAGGAAGCCTATAGATTGATACTCCTGTGTAACATGAGTAAGTCACGTTTGGGCACCTGAAAGATACTAATAGATACGCACCTGAATGCTCCACCTGGAGATAGTCGCTTATGCAGAGGTCGGAAATTCATGCAAGTTTGCAATGCACCTCAGCTTCAAAACTAACAAGCGACACATGTGTCCTCTATTAAGATAGAAGGACGGACACAACACAAAGTACGAGAAGATAATACAGCAAAGAAGTGCAAAACAGGGAAGTGCAAGCCACGTGGGATTCCCTGGAATGTGACCAGGCATCGGAATCTAGGCATGAGGTCGAACGCATACAGAGGCATGATGTGAGCATGGAGATAAGTTCGACGCAGAGTTGCGGAGCGAAGAAGACCGTGAACGGCTATTGAGCGGGGAAGCCGCAGAAGTTGGCTCACTTATGTAAGTAACAACTACTCTGTAGGAACCAAGTAGGAACCATAAAGTTGTGCCATTGGTAGCAACTAGTAAAGACCGGTAAACGGAGAAAGAAGGTGATATGTAACACCCGTGCAATGAACTGTCTTCTCCCAGGTGCTGCATGGAAGCCCTACGTATCGATACCCTCGAACCACCAGGATCCGAAGTGCAAACCAAATCGTACTTGGCTGACTCCGGTTTTAATTATGTAAGTAGTTAGAGCTATGTATCGACGTCCGCGCCGTGCGCGTTTCAGTGCAGTCTCGACGAGTAAACTGCTGGGATCCGCATAAGATGAAGATGTTGCGGCCCCTGACTTGATCACTATACACGAACACTTCGGTATCAGAGTAGACTCCCAAGATGGCAGCAGATAAACCAGGAAGTACTCGCAAATAGTGGGGGATGGTTAAAGCAGCAGGCTTTGAACAGCACGGACTGCCTAACAGTTCAAACGAGTGCGAAGGGGGAGATCCAAAATCAAAACAGTGAGAATGAGGGAATCCGGTACCTTTGATGTCCCAAGCCTAAGTAGTCACACAAATGTCTCCTTGTGAGGTCAATGAATGAGAAGCTAACAACGAACATCGTCAGCGCAGTAATACGAATAGGTATTCGACATCGTCAGGGAGCGCACTCTGTACAGAATATTCTGGTACAACTCATGTTTCGCAGTGCACGTCGTCGGGCTTAGCATCCACCTTCTATCTTCGCTTCGACACTGATATCTGTGGGGGTGAGACCTATCCCAATACTTAACACACGTGACATGCTTCTCAGCCGATGACCACATTGAGGGTAGGAGCAAACATGTTTTCGAATTCATGGATTGTGTCTTTCAATCTAGTAGGAGAAAAGCCAGTTATGAAATTGCTCATTTAAAAAGGAAGGGAAACTCTGAGATTTGTGCAAGCCTGTTGGGTTGTGGGATAAGTGAAAGCCCTCAAATGACAACTGCCCATCCATAGTGTGTACAACCAGTGAGTTTGACCCCATGTAGTCCATTTAGTCACAACATATAGGTAGCCTGCATGCCAAAATGCCAACATTTATATAGACCCCATGATGGGCCTGTCTAAATAGATTAGCCATGACACATGGACAGGCCTGAGGGCCTATAGTGAGAGCAACATATGTACAGGCCTGTAAGCACAATTCCACAACATATGGGAGGGCCTGTGGAGGGTAAGGATGCTGCAACATATAGACAGGCCTGTGACCAAGTAAGTATGCTGAGCTACTGTAAGACATGGATGGGCCTGTCCATGGTAGGGTGCACCCCAGTCACAATATCAGGATGGGCCTGCCTATTGTATCATGAAGAAGGTCACAACATATGGATGGGCCTGCCCATCATATGCTTTATAGGGTCACAACATAAAGAGGGGCCCCTCTATGATAGATTACAGAGTTGGCAACATATGGAAGGGCCCATCTTTGGGATAATATACCCCTGTCACAACATATAGATGGGCCCATCCATAGCAAGATGTATGCCTGTTGCAACATAAGGATGGGCCTGTCAGTAATATCATTGACAGTGTCACAACACATGGATGGGCCTGTCTAGTAAGATGCATCCCTGCCACAACATAAAGACAGACCCATCAGTAATGTCATTTATAGTGTTACAACATATGGACAGGCCCTTCCATAATACCATTTATACCATCACAACACATGGGCAGGCCTGTCCATAGTAAGATGTACCTGTCACAACATAAAGACAGGCCCTTCAATATATATCATTTACAGGGTCACAACACATGGACAGGCCCATCTAGTAAGATGCACCTGCATCACAACATAAAGATGGGCCTTTCAGCAATATCAATTACATGGTCACAACACATGGATGGGCCTGTCAATAACAGCATGTATGCCTGTTGCAACATACAGACAGGCCCATCAGTAATATCATTTACAGTGTCACAACACATAAATGGACCTGTCTAGTAAGATATGCCCCTGTCAGTAATATCAATTACACAGTCACAACACATGGACAGGCCTGTCAGTAATATCATTTACAGTGTCACAACACATAGATGGGCCCATCTAGTAAGATGCACCCCTGTCACAACATAAAGATGGGCCAGTCAGTATTATCAATTACATTGTCACAACAGATGGATGGGCCTGTCTAGTAAGATATGCCCCTGTTGCAACATAAGGTCAGGCCTGTCAGTAATATCATTTACAGTGTCACAACACATAGATGGGCCTGTCTAGTAAGATATGCCCCTGTCCCAACATAAGGATGGGCCCATCAATAGCAACATGTATGCCTGTCACAACATAAAGACAGGCCTGTTAGTAATATCATTTACAGTGTCACGACACATAGATGGGCCCATCAGTAATATCATTTATGGCACCACAACATATGGAAGGGCCCTTCAGCAGTATCATTTATACAGTCACAACATAAGGACAGGCCCTTCAGCAGTATTATTTATATGGTCATAACATATGGATGGGCCTTTCAGTAATATCTTTTATATTGCCATAAAACAAGGACAGGTCCATCTAGTAAGATCCACCCCTGTCACAACATAAGATGGGCCCAACACCAATAGCACATATAGCATCACAACATATTGATTGGATCACAGTAAAATATTGAGGCAAGCATCCTGACATGCTGTAATTTTCCAACAAGCTGCAAGCAGCTTGCCCACTATACAACTCTGACCTCATCCACCCCAAGCATGAATACTATGCAAGACAGATCTAAAACCCCCCATGGATGGTGAATGGAACTGACAGATTGCATTGTGTCATACATGAAAGCCAGATTTCAAGAGGAGGTATTCAGCAGACCTTGTGCCCTTCCAGATATATCAATTCCATTTCCAGTGTTATGTGAAGCAGATTGCATATTGTCAGTAATTTCACAGGCCTATCATCACCCAAGTAAGTCCATCATAATGGTGTGATGGAAGTTTTCATCTTTCCACAGTCAATGTTGGGAAAAATCAGGGTGGAAAAACCTGCAATGCAGAAGCTGCTGAGAGATATGTGGAAGTGACTGAGCCATCCATTCTGGTGACCAACTCAAACACCATCCATGTATGGTATTTGCTGGATGCTTTTGGCCTGAAAAGAAGGGTAAGGAAATGCAGAATCTCATATTCTACTGACTTAATGGAATGGCAGGCTGACATATGGAACTGCCTTCATCTTCTGAGGGAACCACTGTGGGAGAGCATAAAGGCTTCCCCACAGGCATGGTGGATGGACAAGTCAAATTTCTGTGATAATGCTGAGTTGAAAGGTGCCATCAACCTGTCACCTGCATGTTTCAACAGGGTCATGGGGTGGGTGATCATTTCTTGCCTTGTGAATAAAGTGCTCATCCATCTTGAAGCCCCAAAATGGCTTCCCAGAAGCCTCATGGCTGCTCAAATCCAGGACAGCAAACACTTCTACAAGGGAATGGGTCAACCAAATGTCTGACACCAATGCCCTGTTATCTGTGATCCTGCATGTCATCCATCCATGAATGTATGCAGATGGCAGGGAAGCATTGATCCACCTTGGCAAACAGGTGGAACAGTGGGCAGATTCAGATATGAGCTCCATACTGCTGATATGGAGCTCCACATATAGCAGCATGTCCATGATGGTGAATTGGGCAACTTGTTACCGCAGGGATATCAATGGACAGGATCCATGGTGTGACATGCTGGTAACTGTGGGTGACTACCTGCCCTTGGACTTTGTCATTCCAATGTTGAATCTGTGGCAGCACTACAACCCAGGGATGATCATTGCATTTTCAGGTTCAGCATTGGAGCATGGGGTGGGAGCTGTAGACAGTGACAGAGCATGCCTGGCATACTACATGTGTGCCAATGTACATCAGTCAGTGCATGTTCCCATGTGTCAATCACTGCAGATGGATGACCTACTACCTAGACCAGTTGCAACTGGAGAACTGTTGATTTGAAGCTGCAAAATTTAATGTAAGATTTAGTAGGTGATGCAGATCTTGTATTTTATTAGGATATGCTGGCTCTTGAACTTTGGATGGGTGGTGTTGCCAAGATTTTGCAAATGGGTGGGTGCTTTGACATCATAGATTGGGTGGGTACTCAAAGCTAAAGGGTGTGCATCATAAACTGCAACAAAAGTAAACCTACTCAGGCCATCATGCAGATGGGTGGATTGTCAGACATTATGTGGATGGGCAGGGGTTCAGACATCATGCAACTGGGTGGTATCTCATAAATGATTGACATTCACAGCAATGTATATACAACCAACTCCACAGTCAAAAACATGTAAACTATTGAAGCGGTGTCACACACCAAAGGTGTTTGGTGAGGTGGACATGGATACAGCTGATGAATGGAGATGAAGACCATAGCCCTCATGCAAAGAAGGACAGCCAGAAATGTTGGCAGTCATCCCTCACACAAGAATGAGTCATCAGTGCCAAAGAAAAAGAAAGGGAGTGAGTTAAGTGC